CTAAAAAAATAAAAAGTCCCAAAAAAACATTTTAGAAAAAAAAAAAATTGAAGTTTTTTGAAAATTAAAAGTGAAACAATAGGGCCACAATAAACTACAATTATGCTAATCTTTTGGTCAGTTGTTAAATTTTGATGAAAATCTGAAAAAAATGAAAATACTTTTTAAAAAAATGTTTAGAATATTTTTTAGTAAAAAACCTGTTTTTGAAAGCTTTTTAGAATTCTTCTTTAGTTTTTAGAAAAAAAAATTACAATTTTTTAGAAAAATGTTTTTTTTTGTTTAGAAAATATAAAAAACGTTTTTGAAAAATTTTCAGAAATGTTTTCTTAAAAAAACTTTTTTTGAAAAAACGATTTTTTTTAGTTTTTAGAAAAAAAATTGGGGACTTTTTTTTAAAAACAAATTTTTAGAAAAATAAAACTTACAAATGCTTGTACAAAAGATTTTCTTCCTTTTTAGACTTTGTATTTATTCACACAAAACAACATCTCTTCCATTTAGGCAACACAATACGTTATATACATAAAGTCATTTCTATGTATTCCATATCTGATGTTTACTGTATATTATTTATACCTCAACAAATAACATTTTCCTGTCACTAGCAAGTGCAAATAAATATTTTTGAAGGTTTTGTAAAAGAATGTAAGATGCAAAACTTTCAAGGCCTTCGGTTACAGTACATCCAATGCAATAACCTTTTTTCTTTAACTTAAATGGCCTTTATTTTCTAAGAACAAATTATGCGTTCACTGACTGACCTCAAAAGTGAAACCTAAACCACATAAGTCAAACTAATCAGTTGTTTTAAATTTTACAAACATTATGGCAGAGTAACTACAGGAAATAATGACATTAATACTGACATCATCATTGGGTGCTGGAGTGGACGGGGTCCTGAACATTTTCTGAGGTGTTTTTTTTTTTTTAGTCTACAAAAACTACCCAGTGTCAAAAGTCCTTCTTCTACAGTAACAGACATGCTGATGGGGCCTACGGTGTGATGACGGGATTAGTGTTATCGAGTTTCACATCTGGTCTTCCCACAGCTGACACGTTTGTACAATAATATACAAAAATATATTTCTACTCTGCATTAACAAATGAAAACAGTGTTTAGTACCACGTAACAAGTCGACAGGTCATCAAAGACATTCTTTTAAAAAAAAAAAAAGTCAGCATTTATATCGAATCACCTCTTGTTGGTAGTAGGAAAGAACATCAGTGGTTCAGTGTCAAACTCACTGACCACTGTGTACGAGGTGAATCTAAGCCATTTACAGCCCAGTTATGACTAGTTTCTTCTCATTACCAAACGAGTTCTGCCCCTTTTTGTCTGTGTCTGTGTCTGTGTTAGAATTCTACAATAAAACCTCATGATGTGGAACATTTCGGACAGCAGAGGCGTCAATAGCAGCTGGAATGTCAAAGTGAAGAATCTTTAAACAAAACCGATACGCTAAGAAAAAGTAGCATCGAAATCTGGCCCCTTTGTATGTTTTAAAAATAACTGACTGCATATTATTTTGTAGAATATATAAACTACTTTATATATTTATATAATCATATCTGAATAATACTTTAAAATATTTCAAATAATTTCTTTCACATTCACAGTACAGTCTGTTGGACGTATACAGTACAATGTGAGTTAAATTAATATGAGGTGTACATTAGGTGTAAACTATAAGGTAGGGCTCAGTGGAAATTTAAAAAAAAAGTGCATCATCAGAGCTAACAAAAAATAATGATATATTTAGACAGGGGGTCATCTTAAGGCAATGTAGTAACTGTGGGTTAACATGAAAGGTTCATATATATTCAAATATGAGCAAACCCCAAAAGACTGTGTTAACAGTAGGGATAGTGCTGAAGAAACATGTTGAGTCAATAGTCTTGTGTACACACCATTATGACATGTGACATGTTTAACTTGACTGTTACTGTATTTAACTTTAAATTGAAGTATATTTGGTAAAATATGATGTTTCCGCCCTTCTCTAATATCCATCCGCTCTCCTAAAGGTTCCATGTGTAATATCTTATATAAAAACAAACCATAAAATTATGGGGAAAAAATGGTAGCTAGGCTGAACCTCAGAGAAACACTAACTGAGACAATTTGGGAAAATGATGTCTCACTAAAGGACCACGATGACAGACTACAGCACCACCAATCAACAGGTGCTAATTACTGCAGTACCAAAGGAGGGCAGTGTGATCTCTGGCCTGTCTACTGTTTCTACTGGCTCTGACCTGCACTTGTTTACAAAGATAAATGTATTAGTTACAGTTGTTATTTGATGGATATGATTAACAGTATCACATTTATACAGATAATGTGGTACCTGTGCAGTAACTCAGAGACCAGTCAGGAAAATCTACATCTTCTGTGTTTATAAACACATTCGGAAAATATCAAATTCAAAACGGTTAAAAGAAAATTTTAAATAAATGCAAAACATGTACTGGGAAAATGACTACTAATATTTTGTTACTACTTTACGCTAAATTGTGATCAAATACAATTGGACAAATATTAATTTTGCAGAATCATGCATCTGATTTTTCCCCAAATTCTTCCATTGCAGAGAATGTAAAATAGAAATGAAGCCGTTGCCTGGAGACTGCACTCAATCAGTGAATATCTGCAGGCTCCAGTGGTCCGGCTTTATAACAGACCATCATCTCTAACCTCCTTTAGAAACTATAAATAAAAGACCATGATGTGATGGACCATGTAGCATCACGATCGTGGACTAGTGGACAAGTCTGTGAAGAAGCCTTTTCCTGGTTCGCACAGTTGTAGCTTTCTCCAATTGTGAGACTGAATTAACTCATCACAATCAAGTGATGTACATGCAGTGGGAACACACACACACACACACTCACACACACACACCTCAAACCTTAGGATAGGTGAAGTTATAAGAGCTAGGCTCCTTTGGAATGGGAGGAGCCGCTTCAGGGATGGTGATGTTCTCCAGGTCCAGGAGGCGGAGCTTCATCTCCATGCTGATGAGAGTATCTATGTCACTGCGTGTGAGATCGCTGCCCATCTCTCTGCCCAGCAGGGCACACAGTCCGTCAGTCCAGATGCAGTACTGCCCAAAACATAAACAGAAATATCAAACACACAAACAAAAGCATTTTTAACAATGAAGACAAAAAAAACCTTAGGAGAAACTGACAAACTTGACCGGTGATGTTTTGTCAGGCTGTGTTAGGACCCCAGTCGTAGAGACAGAATAACTACATACAGAAGGACCATCAGTTACCCCGGGGGCAGGGCTGTCGCAGGGTAACTGCAATATTGAGCCATCCTGACTCACCGCTGGTGCGACGACCCTAACCCCGAGGATCAAACCAGTGATCTTTCTGCTGGTGGGAGGGAGCACAGAACACCCTTCCACTGTTTGACTCTAATTCAAAATTATTTCTTTAATTTTTTTCCTTAAACCCACCTCATATTTGTTGGGGGCAACAAAGTTGAGAGTTTCATCAGGATCATAGAGAACAGAGAAGGCCAACTCCAGCACCTCCTGAAACAGATTGACAAGATCTTTAGGTAAATAACAACAACAAGAACAATAAAAAGAATAATAATAATAATAATAAACAGGTGTCACCTTGTTTTGCTTCAGAGCACTTTTTTCTTTCATGTGTGGGCAGTCTTTTCCTGTTACTACAGACTTAATATCTGACACAGGAACTGGAAAGAAATGTGGGAAAAAAACATTTTATTATAAGAACAGTATGAATATGGTAGCATTGTAATGTGGTTTTATATTCAATATTAAAGACATTTTGTGACTCACTCTTGTCACTGAGGAGTTCAAAAGGCACTTCTCCCTGAGGAGACTCATCCAGGTCACCGTAGTGGAGCACTTTGTGGTTCAGAGAGAGTCTGCAGAACCAAAACTTTTCTACAGAAAAAAAAAAAAAATGACGGTTAGCAGCTCATATGTGACAACAGGTCAAACCCAGACTCAGAGAGTGTGATTCTACCTTGTCTTCGACGGTTGCCTAACTTGCGGAAGCAGCTTCCCTCACACAGCCGGTTGAGTCGCTGTTGCTTGATGAGCTCCAGGATCTCTGGCTGTATTCTCTCTCGGAGCTCACTGTTGACAAACAGGGACGAGAAAATGAGAACCAACATGAAAATGAACGGTGAAAGTGAGTCTGTAACAAACAAACAAACGTACATGATGGGTGGAGACTGGAAGTCGTCCTGACTCAGTCTCTCCGACTGTCGCAGACGTAGAATCTCGGAGTAGCTCAAGCCTCTCAGTTTAATCTTCAGCTGGTCCAAAGACGACGGCTTCATGGCCAGAGCTCTGGTGATCTGCTCACGGACCACCTGCATCACCTGGTCGTGGTTAAAACACATGGACTTGATGAGGTAAAAAAAAAAATCATCATTTTAGGAGTGATAACTATAACTGACTAAAGGAGCCAAGTTTGGAATCAAACCCAAAACCCTTTAAACACACAATGACTGCTACATCTACCTAATGAAACAATGTTAATCTCAAAGGTTGAATTTGCTCAAAGGTCATGTTTTTTCGCCCATTATGAGCAAGTAAAACAAGTGGAGCTTCTAACTACTGGTAAAAACACAAGTAAAAAAAAGGGATGGATTAGAGCAGCAGATCTACAGTAAGTCACGGCTGTTCTGCTGCAGAACTTCACCACCTGGAGATTCAGTCTTTATTTTAGAGAAACGAGAATTCAGATTGACCTACTTCTCTGATCCAAGTATCAAGAAAACCTTCTGAGGACATGCTTTGAAGTTTAAAAAGTTTTTAATCCTTATTAGGAGCAGAAAAAAGCACATGCACAAAAGACACTCCGACTTACATCGTTTTCAGTTCCTGCCTTAAGTATAAAATGTTCAGATCCTTAATATTCAAACTGTTGAGACAGCTGCCTCAGGTGAAAACCACAACGTAAACAAACCTACAAATTGACACCAACCTGTTTATAATATTAAAATTTTAGGTCTATAAATATAAACTCCCTTCCTAATTTTTCTGGGCATGGACTGTTACGTATCCTGCAAATTACAAATAGCACTCTCAATTATTGGTCACTGCAGGGGGCGCTACATATTATTTGTGGATAAAACATGTGCAATAGGTCCTGTTTAGGAGTGAAGTTATTTATTATGAGCTAATGTTATTTTCAATTCCCTCTTTTTCACACTTTCCTCCCAAAAAAATAGATTAAACTGCACTCATCGGTGCCTCAACGTCACCTTGTTGAAGTCCTCGGCTGTGGCTCTCATCTCTTTCCAGGTTTTGTTAAGCAGCTGAATGCAGACGCAGAAAAACTCCTCCCACGCCCGATCATGGGTGAAGAACATGGGATGGTAGTCGTTACAGCCTTCGTTAGCTGCGTGAAGAGAAAGATCTTTCAGCATAAAATAAGGTAATGTACAACGACCATTTTCTAGTTCTATCTGCTCTCAGTGCGTCAGGCATTTTCACGGTTACCACAACAGCCCTGACTCCAACCTGTCTAACACAGATTTACTCACGCAGCTCTCCAACCTGGAGAATCTCACACAACATTCTGGTGAGTTCAATGGCACATCGGCCAAATGGACACTCGTGTTTGTCTTCGCGGCTGCTGTTCTCCAGGACAATCTGTCATTGAGAGGGGAGACACTGTCAGACACGGTTGACCTCTAATCCTCTCTCTTCTGTGTGAACAATCAGACGACTGCCAAGACTGACCCTGATGTACGTGTCCTGGTGAACTTTGGCCAAGTAAAGCATGTTGTCCAGAGCGAGCATCCCAGGAGGAGTCTGGGTAAAATCCAGGGCTGGATTCACATGGTTCTGCATTTGAAAAGGTATAACGTAATGATTAAAATCATGGTAATTCTTTTTTTTTTTTTTTTTTCCATATAACGTAATGATTAAAATTATGGTTATTCTTTTTTTTTTTAATGCTACAGCTACACCATTTGGTAAGTATTGATTTATACAGAAACATTAAATTGTCAGGATGTTCTGCAAAATTTAATTTATTACAGAAAACATTAAAAGTATTGTCTTAGGCCTTTTGCATGATAATCATAATCAATCATTTCCAGTGGTTTAACAAATTAAATTTAGTTTTTTGTTACATTACACAGCTCTCTAAAACGGCTTTTCACCACAACCAGCTGCCCACTGTTCAGTCAGTTTTGTAGACTTCCTACGTTTCTGGAGAAATGAACATCGAGACTCACAGTGAAACCCAGCATCTTGTAGTCCTTGGTGTACATGGCCTTCCTCTTCTCTGTACCAGTTGGGTCATTCTCTCCCTCAAAGGCGATCCTCCGCAGCTCAAAAATGATATCTCTCTGGGCCTGAGTCACAAAATTAGGTTTTAAATTAAATCAGAAATGATGCAAAAGTGTTTGTGGTGTTTTTTGTTTTTTTTTTAGAAAGATAAAAATCTCACCTGGTCGTTGGGATCCATTTTGGTCATCATACGCTCTTCTAAAAGGTTAAAGGTCAACACCTGCAGTACGTACAGTTGATGTGCCATTTCAGCTTTGATTGGTCGATTTCCGCGAATGACGTGCTGTAAAAAGAACAGGTGTTAGATTTAAATCTCCACGTCATTAGAAAAATGAACTAAAACTTTAAAATTAAAAATACAGGCAAAGAATGAAGGGTCATTTTGTTGTGTTGAACTGAATATAATTTGACTCCTATGTCAATGAGTGGGATTTGATGTCTGTCATTATCAACCAAATTCTGAATTGATACTCACATTTAGGATGATGGAGCGTAAGTGTTTTTGGGCCAAAGTGCTCGCCATTTCCTAGGTGAAAGAGAAACAGAAAATAGTACAACAGTAATGTGCAGAGACGTCCTGCTGGTGTAGTTTGTTTACAGTCTACAAACAGATAAATGACAATAGTAAACAGCTCGTGAAATTAAGCAACAATCCAAAACTGTGCATCTGTTCTAGTTCACATGCATCTGTGAAAGTGAATGTGGTCGGAGTCGAATGTTTCTGCCGCCATCTGCAGTGCACTGCGAATCCTTCTCATTCTGATTGTGCAGCAACTTTTTTTTATGAGACGGTGAGAACTCCAGCGTGTAGGCGGAGGAGAGCTGACGATGGTATGAGATGCCGAGGGATGTGTACTCACAGTGAGGTGCTGCTCCAGAGGGTTAGTATACTCCTCCTACAGGTGGAAGGACGGGAGGAGGGATGTGGGTGGAACATATAATGAGAACAGAGAGTGGACACACAAACACAGACAGATCATGAGATACAGAGAACTATCACTGACGCAGCGTGCAACAGAATAAAGGTGTGAAACAAGACAAACCACAGAGATAAAAACCCCACATTTATACCCTGGAGTAGAGCAGTGGGATTAACATCTAATGTTACATCACTTCACAATCATGTGACCAAAAATGTTTCAACACACTTTCACATTTCTATTGAGCCTTTTTGCATCAGTGAAATGACAACGTACCACATACTGATGCAGTACACCCTTCATAGAGCACTGGAACGTCCTGCTGCAGTATTCAGGATTTTTTTTTAATAATAATATAGAATTGACGACTGTGCAGGATGTTTATCTGAAGGCACGCTATCAAGTCTTATTTTGTACCCATTACAGTGGTCCCTGCTGTAATGCAGGGGTTATGTTCCAAGACCGCCTGCAATAGGCCAAAAATCGCAAAGTAGATACGCGATAGTTATTACATTGTCTACGTATATATTAACACTTTAGGAGGCGTCGTACAGCAAAACTTTCACAAATGAATCTTGCAATGCCCTGTATGTATGCGTTACAAAATGTCTTTTATTTATTTTTTTACTATAATTTTTACTGTTTTTTTTTTAGAATTTTTTTTATTATGAAAATAATGAAAATATTGGAAATGTATAACATTTTATATACACCGCAGAAATCCGCAATACAAGAAAACATTTAAAACAAACATTTAAAACCCGTGATGCACTGAGGGCATGACAGCCGAACATACAGCGAGGGTCGACTGTATCCAATTTCTAGTTGAAACACTTCAGTAAAATACACAGTAGGTGGCAGTGGTGCAACTTAAAAGCTGCTGAGTGGGCAAGGTCAATGGTTCACATTTTCAAATCTGTGGTTTATGTGATAAAATAGGCTGAAAATTAAAGTAAAGTTCCCAGGTCATCAGAAGGTTAGCACAGTATTAATGTGGCCAATGAGACGTTATGTTTGTGCCGGTGTTAATCAGTGCATTAGCTTGTAAAGAAATATCCGCTCCATCTGTGTCTCCCTCTCTCAAAGTGTCTGAAAAGAACACCTTTCCTCACTTTCCTCAAATGATTCATACTCTCCCAAATTAGGTTCAACAAGAGAGAAAACATCAAGCCTGTTGTCACAGACACAGAGCGGCGCTGATGTCATACTGCAGACGACTGTGATGAGAGAAATAAGGCAGAAAAACTGTCACCGTTTCAAATATTTTAAACAGTCACTGTGGAGTCTGATTATATTTAACACGGACTGACGATTCCACACCAACTTATTGTCAGAGGTTCCACCACCAGAACAGTTGTGACCTTGACTTTGGGCCACCTGAACTTCAGCCATTTTGGCAGTACTGTGTTTACTGGTAAAAACAAACAAACAAACTGACTTCCAGACAACCCAAAAATAGTATGCCAACAATGTTACACATTAAAATATCTTATACCGATGACACCTTAGAAGTTTCTGTGGCTGTTTGGAAAATCGTCATCCAGTGAGACGGAGAATTTTTTTATTTTTTTTTATTTAGATGAGATAAGATATTTTAGTAACAAAACACACACACACAGGGACCAAATGGAGCAGGAGATGGAATGAAGTAGTGCAGTTGCCCGGTTGCACTATGTGAGGTGCCTACAAAATGTTGTCAATGCAGAGTGAGAAGAGACTCGTTAGAATGGGTCAAAACATAAGAAAAGCCTTGATCTGTGTGAGCTCCTCACATATTTCAGATTCATCACTCACTGTTACAACCTTCAACGTAATTGTTATGTAATAGTTTGACACTGTTTATGTTCATTTCTGCCTACACCGCAGAGGAAGGGTGGGATAAATTAATGAATGTCAGCAGAGCCGGTCCTTGACATATAGAGAATGCAGCAGTTTTATTCTTGAACTGAGCCTAAAAATAATCCAGCAATCTGCATGTATCTCCTCCCAGATCTTTGTTAATTTGACACAGTCATCCTTCAGCCATTTATCTTTTAACTACCCGCAGTACAAATGCAGCATATTAGTAGGAAGGTGAGTACTGTTTATGAACATCAATGAGTTTCAGACAGAATCTTCAACATGACAGACGTGAGGTGATGAGATTAACTGGACAAATGTGAGTGAGTGTGAGTGAAGAGTGAGCCTTTTTAAATGTTTTACAGGAACAAAAAAAACTAGTTTAGCAGTGACATGTTTGATGTCTGTTACACGAACTCCGTGTTGCGAGAGGCGTTCACTGACCTGTCGTCTGTCCTCTGGCGCCTTCAGGAAAAGTGCATTGATGAGAGCGATGGCGTACGTCTGGATTTCCTGGTTTGACCTGAAGGACAGTCCAGCATCAGAACAACCAGTTAGAAGCATCACGCTCCAAAGAGCTCCACACACAACTCCACACACAGCTGAGACCACACAGACACATGATGTGAGAATGAATGGAGAAAGGTTTTTTAAAATAACATATTTACACTTTTATTCTTTAAAACTGAATGTCTTCCGAGCAGATTTCTGCACTGTCGGATTTCCTCCTTTTTTGTAATAATTTACAAACTCCTTTTTTTTACCTCCAACACACGGTCATGTCATCAGGTCTCAGTACAAGGTTGTGAGCTGTGACCTTAGTTTATACCTGCTGGCAAAAACTGAGCCCGTGATAGATGCTCCTTTTATACAGCGTTAACTCAATGATGAAGAACTCTTCCTGAGTGTTACTTTGTCGCTGAAAGCACATTTATTCTCAGGCTCTTTTCTTGAAATAAGGAGAGAAATCCAAAAACAGAGTGTAGTTTTTATTACAATTTAAGGTTTTTGGATGTGAGTTGTTTTTTTGGCCAGTGAGTCAGTCAATTAATCAATGATTTAACAATTAACTTCCTCTCACTTTGTGCTAAATATTTGCATTTAGAAAAAGGAGGAAGAATGATTTAAGTTGACGGTTTTTGGTTTTAAAAAAAAAAAGATAAACGAATGTTATGGCAGTAAAAAAAGACGAATGAAGTTAATCATAACTTAAAATACATAGATTAAAAACTAAAAGATGACATGAAAACAACACAAGTGGCCCCCAGCCAACCTACGTCCAGACCCCCCACCCACATTCATTCGACTGGCCCCACGTCAGTGGGCTGGAGGCCCCTGTGCATGTGTGTGTGCTCACACTTGCAGGTGTCCGATGAGTTGTCCCACGGTGATCTCCTGGGCCACTCGATGGTACAGACTGTGGCTGTTGAGGACCATGCTCTCCAAGATGGCCAGAGAACGTTGAAGGATGGACACGTCCACCATGGGCTGGTTGACGTAGCCTGCAATCTGGGACGACAAGACATGAAGCTCAGAAGAAAGAAAGGGAACTGTATACAGAGTTGTCACTCTTCGCCAGGATTTTTCTAGGACATTTTCAGCAAATATTACATAACAGACACAGTTATAACGCACTAACACTAATCCCTCCTTACTAATCCCTTTTAATGCGTTGAAAAGTGTTATTTTTGACTGTTTCATCCTACATTTTGTACAATTATTAGGATTACTATGTTTTTGACAGAGACAGAGCCAGTGGCCAGGGGAGACCAAAACATCTTCTTTGTCCAGGATCAATACTAGCAAACGACACTAAATCTAGCAACAAGGTCAAATGGAAACTGGGAAATGAAATGCTGATTTGTTGGTAATGTCACATGGGACCCCGCACAGCTGGAGGCCACCAGCTAACTACACTGATAGTGGAAAAACTGAAAATAAAATGGATGCAGAAGACTTGAAAAACTCAGCAAATTGTTTGTAGTCAGTAAACATGAGCTTTAAAGATTTCCATATATCATATTCAGAGGGAAATAAATGCAGAGAAAAATGTAGATGTTATAATACGCTAGGGATTTCACAACAGGGTTGCTCAAAACTCATATGCATATCTGACATGAGGTCAAATGGAAGTTCACGGAGAACCTTGTAATTTGAAAAGAGTGGAAATATATCAGCTGGGATTTGTTTGAAATACTAATGAGTCTTTGTTTGCAGATGTACCTGTTTGATGAAGGAGATGGAAATTAGGTCCCAAGACACAATGCCATGGTCCATGAGCTCCAGGAAGGCTGTGAGGGTGAAGGCCAACATTTCACCAAAGCTGAAGGAATAACAGAACAGAGAGTCATTAGTTCCCAACACGGCCTTTACAGAAAATTACTCTCAGCTCTGATGACGTTCTGTATATTATACATGAAGCGATCACTGCCAAAAACAGCAATAGTTCTCACTGTGTGCCACTTTCTGCAAGTCGTGCCAATGTCCCTATGCCTTCCATATTAATGAACTCTGTGGCAAAGGTTGGATCTGCAGACAGCTTGGCCAGCTCCTTCAGGGCCTCCAGCCGAGCGTCGATGCTGTGGGACTGAATCCTCTCCAAGAGCTGACGCGCAGCACGGCCCTGTCAGCCAGAAAGAAGAAGAAAAAAGTTAAAGAGCTGAAGATGATTCTAATGGTTAAAAAGTTAATATATTAAAGATATAGGGGGTTTATTTTCTAATCTGTTGGTTTTGTTTTGTTAGACATCATTTCTGAATAGCACATAGATGTTTCTATGTTTCATAAAAAGATTCATGTTTATTTTTTAAGTCAAAATTCAAGCTTGTAGTGTTGTGGGCACTGTGAAAGTGTCTCCTATGGAAAAATACACATCGCCAAATTCTACAAATAATGAAAATCTGACTTACAGGAGAAATGGCTAATCGAAGGATGGTTCCATTTTTGATATCACCACGACTCTGAAAGGCAAGAGGAGATATTTCATCCAAATAAAGGCCACCTTATAGAAAGAAAACTGTAGACACAAAGTTAGGAATCAAACCCATTGACATTCACCTGCTCAGTGATATAAAGCTGAGGACCATCGGCGTAGCGCAAAGCGAACTGCTCTGATCCTGACAGAGACCAGCTGAGGAAAAGACAGAGAACAATATAAAATTATAAAACTGTTCTTCAGTGGTGCAAACGCCTCGCCAAAATCTCAGAAAACACAGGCAGAAATATGATAATGGAATACAGTTTGCATGAAGAGAAGGTGACTGAAAGTCAGCCTGCAGATGTATTAACACCAGAGACTGTGGGGGAGAAACATTCAGTGGGTGTTTACAGGGAAGTAAAAATAATATTTGCTGAAAATGTTATGACCTTGTTTACTTGTCGGCTGCTGCTCAACTAAAAAGTACAACTTTTGCCGAGGACGCATCTCATTGTAACTTTTAGTTCAACAGTTTGGCTGCAACTGTACTCATTAAAACAACTTCAGTAAAAGTAAAAACAGTCTATATAACAGTCTATATGTATTTTTCTTTAAAAAAAAAAAGTTTAGTATACGTACCCATCACATACTTCTCGTATTATTGATGACAAAGGTCTTTTCTGCAGACATTAAAAAAAACTTGTTTCAGTGAAAAAAATATTTTGTTCAAAATTATTTTTATTGCTTGGTGATGTTCTGTTCAGTCTGCAGAAAAAAAATAAAAATAAAAACTATACACAGACCTGGTCCAACTCTATGAGCTGAGCATTAGCCCCTGGCCACTCAATTGCCACCTTCACTATGTCAGCAGGGGGCGGCATCACTGAGTTATTGTAACACCTGAAGGAGAGAAGAAGGAAAGCAATCATTTGGATTTATCTCCACAGGATGTCACAGTATTTAGGGTTCATTCCTCTACTGCAGTATGAAGTATAAGTCATACATCACCTAATAAAGAAGAGTTGTGGGGTCGATCACTCTCTCAGCCCTGCTCTATAAACCAGCTGCCCTGTGAACACAGAAAAACCCACGCACTGCTCAATTCAGTGCAAACCCTCACAGTGCACAAGTCCTGTTTGCTGCCTCCCTGCATTATATCCCTCCTCTCAAGTGAAGCTGACAGTGAAGGCATCAATAGGCATGACTGTGCTCCAAAAACCACCCACACACACACATAAACACACACACACAGTATCTTGACAGGGCTAAGGCTCAGCATGTCTGAGTCACATGTGTCGATGATGAGAGTGTCGTTTGGGCATGAACCCAATGTTCACTCTTTTCTAAGTTTTGAGACGTCTGTGCAGCGATTCTGCAGAGCCTTTAATTACAACTGGTGCAAAACGGTCTTAAAATGGTGCGCACACCGTGAAGGACTAAGAAACAAAAGGACAAAAATAAAACTGTAGCATTTTTCACATTTTCAGCCTTTAAGCTGACAGCCTCTGAAAAACACATTTAATCTACAGCATATTTAAAAAGGGTTGACACTGTCCTATATTATATGTTCCATAACATAGTTTTACCGGTACTTAACATTCACCCACTTTAAATAAAGCTACTACTACAATGACTGGACAAAAAAGTAAACCTGTGGTGGACAAGAGTTTAATGTTCTAGTAAAAATAAAATGTGTATTTTTTTTAAAAACTGCAAAAACAAAACATTTAAAGAGAACATGTTTATCACCTACAATATTTATATAATGATTCCTTTGTTTAAATCATATTAAATATTTATTATATAAAGTCAAATATTGTAGGAAGATATTTTAATTAAATATTTTAAATATTCTTCTATTTAGATTTGGTATAATTTACATTGGAGCTGAAAGAACATCTGGCTGCTCACATTCATAAACTCCTTCTTGAAGGGAGTTTGTAAATATTCACAGTATTTGACATTTTTCAAACTTATTTAGCCAGCAGCTGTTCCCACACATCTTTAATAGGCAGGTAATACTTTTATTACTGAATTTTTATAACATCATTTCTCTCTAAAAAAAAAAACGCACTACTTTTAATACTGAATTTTTATAACAGCATGTCTCTCTAAAAATATATATATATAAAAATAAATATCTTATTCTGCCAACAACACTCCTGAAAACACGATGCAGAGAAGCACAGTAGGGACGAGCCAGTGGCAACTGAAACACCAATTAAATAAATGACATCAAATAAAACATCTCCCTCTCTCTCTCTCTCAAATAAAGGAAGCAGAGAGAAGCTGGCTGACACAGAGTGAAGGAACACTACTGTTTCCCTAAAGGCCTGAACACAGTCATTGCAGAAAGCTTTCATTAGAGCAAACACTGAGAGGATATTTGAGCCATTATCACACCGTTGCAGGAGAAATAGACTTTAAAAACAGCACGGATGGAAGGAGTACTTTTTTTCCCCCAAGCTCTCGCTGAGTGTTTTTGTTCTGTACTTCGAGAAAATACCATTGTTGTCAGTGAACAGAGGGAGAAGGAGCAGCTCCTCTGCAAGAAGTCATTTAACATAATAAATCAAATCCAAAATGTTGATGAATAATGAGTGTCGCCCATGAATGATTGGATCTACATTTGCATTTATGCATTTAGCAGATGCTTTCATCCAAAGCGACCTGATAAGGAGGATTAATAATGAAGCTACATATACGAACTTCTAGTTAGGAAAGTGGGGCTTCCTAACTAGGGTGGGAGTGCAGGCATAGAGACAGGGAGAGAAGAGAACTATGGAGAAGTGCCAGGACAGGAGGCACTGTATCTGTACAGATCAAATGAAGACAGGGTGTACAGCTTCAGCTACAGTCATTTACATGTCCACCAATGACATAATCCCAAAGAATAATTTCAAATACTAAAACCAGTCATTGGCTTGGCAAAAATAAACAATCAAGTTTGCGTATCTTGAATATTTGGTCTGATTAAATAGACTCATGTTGATGCAATGGCTGTTCATCAATCAATCTGGGATTGATAGCCAAAGTAGCTACTGTAGTACAATAAATCAATACCTGTTATATACCAATGCTATTTCTGTAGAACAAACCAGAACAATATTTGCCGACATTACTGGCCTGCCTGCAGTCCAGATCTGAACTTCCACTAAAGACATCTGAGTGAATAATGTATGTCTTTTATTCTACAAAACAGACAAAAATGTCTGCTGACTTAAACAATGCAATTCCCCTTTTCTTTGGATTTTATGAAAGAAAGAACCTCTTCTAGAAACATCCCACCACAATTGGAATCGTCACTTAATCATTTTTATTTTTTGTTAATATTATCTTATTTTTAACTTGCCAAGAAATATAAATGTACGATCGCTTCTCAGTTTCTGCACCAAGATCGGCTGGAGTACGATGAACATGCAGGGTTTTTTTCCCCCCCACATGTGAACAACAGGTATGAATATACAAACACACACAATCACTGCGTTTCTGTCAGTTTACGACTACGTCTCTTTTTTTTCAACACCGAAGCTGACAATGTGGACGACAACTTATTGACGTGGGTAAAACCTGAACATTGGTAATCGATTTGGTCACTTAACAAACAGAGAAAACACACACACTTACACTGATGCAGCGGCGACTGTCGTTTGCAACCTTGTTGTGAGCATTAATCAAATGAATGATAAGCGTAGCTAGTTAATGGCGGTTGCGTCCTCACCACATCCTCTGACTCACCTCGGCCGAACAACTCCTGGCTACAGCCGGCGTTGAAGCCGAGCAACGGCGGTTAATAATACTGTGTTCTAGTCATGTAGCCAGTCTCTGTCTGATCCTCCATTGCTGTGAAGATGCAGACTCTCACTCTCTCTCTCTGTCTGTCCCTGTTTCTCTGTTTGTCTCTAATTTTTCTCACCACCTGCTAATAAAACAGCTTCTTCTCTGAACCAATTTATATTTGTCTTCATTTTAAACTAAATTTAACATACCGGCTCATGTCGACGCTCGCTTTTACTCACCGTGTAGACCGGCCATCGATGATGCCTTCACTGTCCCCCTCTAACCAACCGAACTCTTTTGGAAAAGCACAGGCACGTTTCCACGCCTTGTGGGCGGGACACGGAGTAAAAATGTCACCTCTATTGTTAGGTTTTAAAATATATTTTTTAAAAATAATAATTTATTAGGATATGTTAGAATAAGTAGCTAAAACATGAAAATAGTGTAGCGATCATTTTAAGTTCTTAAATATTACAACTAAGCCTGTAAAACTTCAAATCGTTATGGTTTTAGACATTAAAGAAATCTTGCATAACTTCAAGTTTCAGTGTTTCACTAGTTTTCTATCAAATTCCAGTCCTTTGTACAGTAATATTACTTCGTTTCCAAGCAATACGTTATAATACTGTGCTATAATATAGATAGATAGATAGAATAACATTTTGTAGAGTTACTAGCAAATCCTAAAACTAGGAGAAAAATAGCATTAGCAATCAGAAGGTCAACCCAAGCCTCATTAGCTCATGTACAGTATTACCATTTGCATGAAGGAGTTTATGGAATAGTGTAATGCAGTTTCATCTTACCCATCTTCAGGTTTACCCGAGAACATGTAGGACGACGTTGCACCAGCTCCCTGGAACTAGAGAGAATGAAAGTTACCAACACAGAAATTGTCTCCACACATTCAACAAGGCACTGTCAAGATGCACAGTAAATACTGAAGTAAAAATAACTTCATTTAGCTAAATATTGAGTGTGAAACACATACATCTGTCTGATTGCATTTTAATAATTTTTTTGTTAGTGTCATATTTTGGAATGTTGATTTATCTAGATTAACCATGAATAATCACAATTAATCATAACTAGTCATGATTAACCCACAACTACTTTGTGATTAATCTTAACCTAATGTTACATTTTTAATCATCAATTAAAACATTGTACTAAACTGTAAGTTTAGAGGCAAAAAACAGAGTAAATTTTAGCAAGTTTAGAGGCAAAAAACAGAGTAAATAGTAATAATTGATATTAAAATAACTTGTAAAATAGACTAGACAAATATCACTTCCTTATTGTGACTTAAATTGAGTTAATTTACATTAACAGAGAAACACCATCAGTCCACCAACTGCGTTCACAGCACAATGGATTTTAATTCAACACAGAAGCCATGTGTATGTACAGGAAATTAACCACAGCTTCCACTGAGTTTGTAACACTGGCTCACCTCAAGGAACCGCCGCTGGTGAAACTTGAAGCAGACGACTGCACGTTAATTCACTGAAGAAAACAACTTTGGAAAATCAGAAAATAGCGTGACATTTCTTTTGTTTCATTTTACATCACATGCATGACATCAAAAAATAGCCTTTTGACTTTTGACAGTTGAGTTTCATCAACACACACACGGACAATCTCAATATTGTTTAAATACAAAACAACTGAGCACATATGTTACACCGGAGCATTACATTTAAGTTTAGTATGAGTGGATGGAAAATTAACCATTAAAAAACTCCTCTACCTTCCATTCCAGACCTATTTGATGCATTTCACTCAGTAACACATTTTGAGGGTTAACAATAACTAGAGTAAACCCCCAAAAATATACTGCAGATTTGTCCAGATTTTACATCATGATTCAAAACCTTCTGCTTCACTATTTCATGACATGTTATAAAATTGATTGAAACAATTCTAACAATAATCAGGTTGAATTTAAAAGGTCATTTTAACTCACTGCACCAGACACACATGAAAATGAAACCAACATTAACAAAACGCTAACACGGCATTGTAAGGCATTCCACACATCATCAAACATGAACATGTTAAGCAACATGAATGAGCCAGGAGTGAGTGGTTGTGTTTTCATGTATAATTGCACCGTCACTGATGTTACACTACAACAATACTGGCTTTGACAAAGACAAAATGGGTCACTGAAAAAAACCAAGTCTGCTACAGTAAGGCCTACTTTGAAATCAATTTAGAATGTGGAAAAAGAAAAACATGTTCGGTACTGTGTACTCATCAGTAAACTGTAACTTTGAGGTAGAAATGGGCATGAAATTATGTATTTCGATCTCTTCTTTTATTAGTCTTTGCTGGAGAAATATAACATGTCATCTCACCAAAGTGACAGACATTACAGAAGCTGGTTTTATAAATTATGTTCATTTTAGAAATTTTCAAATTCACAATCATTAGTCCCTTATAATAGTATCAGATTTATTTGAATCGACAGCAGCTTCCAGCTCTCTTTCTGCAACAGAATTGAACTGTAAGTGTTTTGAGAGCCCTGACTTGAACGTCCAGCGTATAATTAGCCTCATCAACACTACATCAGATGTTAATAGTGTGAAGAAAGCTGTGACATTAAACAAGCAATGTTCAAGGTTCAACAACACTTGACACAGATGTAGCGTGCACAGGGTTGGTTCCAAGCTCATTAATTTTACAATAGCTTCTCTGCTCGGCTGAGGATATGAGTTACAGTCCTATTGGTTGAGCTGTCACAAAAACACACAGATAACAATTTACACTTCCAGTTTTACAACAGTACAATATCACTGCTATGAGCAGAGTGTTTTTAGATGAAATCTTTTATACTATACTAAAAGTTGGAAATGATTAAACAACTGACTATGAAAAGTAACTTTATCACATGAGCAGTTAGTTGTTGTTTGGATGAGCAGGATTGTGGAGATAAAAACCTGGTCCCATCATAAACCCGGTTAACTACAAAAAGTAACCGTTTATATAGTCAAACTGTCTCAGACAACACCGTCTGATTCAACCTCTCAAGATTTCCCAAGGTAAAAATCAACATTTGTGTTAAATTTCCATTCCAAAATTTGATCCACGTGCATCATAATCAAGGTGTTGGGAACTCCCAGTGATAAAGAGAGAGCACAGCAGATGAGTGGGCTCAAGAAACCAAAAGCCACACTGCAGGTAAGGTCCAAAACGACAAAAAAAAAAAACAAAAAAAAACAATAGATGATAACAAGCAATGCAATCCAACCAATACATAAAGAATTCAATGTGTATAATTATATAATATACCACAAATAAAACAGACTACTGTAAACGTCGCTGAAGAGTGTTGCACAGATCCATCTGAATAATAAAATCACAATATATAAAGTAAAGTTACACGATAGACAAGAATAAAGTTAAAGGTAGGTAAAATCATTCATGGGATAAACAATCTCAGTTTCCGTGAGAACAAATTAATCAATTTGAGACAAGTATTAAATCCGCAAGTAACACAAATCCAGCATGGAACAGTGACCGATCTCAAAGTAGTATCTCTCAGCGTTGCGTGGTAGAACGTTAGGGTCTTTGTAACAGTAAAATAATGACTTTTTGTATAGTAAAAGTGAGAAACTATAAAGGGAATGAAATTATCGTTTGAACATGAATTAATGTTACTAATTTATCTAACTCTATTGTCCGGGGATGCAAAATTACATTGTAAAAATGTCAATATCATGCATCACTGATCTGCTCAAAACCAGTGAATTATTCCCATGATATAATATAAATCTTGTTCATCAATATGTGTATTATTTTTTGAAGGACTTCAGGCAGTAAAATTATAACCCATATCTACACCGACTTATCAGGATTCTCTCCATTGTGTATGATTTACATTAATATACAGCATATGACATAAGTCGTATGGTATTTTTATATTTTGAGACTATTTATTTAGTATAAGCTCATATCATAACCCTGGGTTTCGTTCACTCGTTCCTAGGATTACTGTATAAATTAATACATCTTTGACTGAAGTGACAGAAATGATGCAGAGACAACTCCTTTTCCTGACTCCAACTCAAGTGAGATGAGGAGAGGAACAGGGGAAAGTGTGAGGTATGGTTATGAAGTCACTACCAGTCTGCATTCTCCCAGTTGTCCTCAGCAGGTTTTGTGGGACTCTTCTTTGTCTTACCATCTGCATTTTCCCAATTGTTGTCCCAGGCCTCCCAGCTCTCCTCCGTGCTGTTTTTGTTGTTGGATGCTGCCTCGGAGCCCCAATTGTCCCAACTGTCAGAGCTCTTCTTTGTAGAATTATCAGCGATGGTCCAGCTGTCACTGCTGGGAGATTTCTTGGCTTTTAAGGAGGTGTTGCTGCCAAAGGTTTCCCAAAAGTCCTTTGCTATAGGCTGGGCAGAAACGCTCTGATACCCCTCTGTGCCATCCATGTTTTGATAGCTTTCTCCAGCAGAGCTGATAAACATCAGGAGGTCAATCCAAGCCTCATTAGTTTATGTATTAACATTTGTGTGAAGGATTTTATGTACATGCAGTTTCCTCTTACCCATCTTCAGGTTTTCCAGAGAACATGTTAGACAACTTTGCACCAGCTCCCTGGACCTAAAGAGGATGCAAGTTAACGAAATTCTCTCCAACATTCAACAAGTCACTGTTAAGACAATTACTAAAGTAAACTAACTTATTTAGCTAATTACTGAGTTTTACTTTTACATATTTCTTTTGACATTTTTCCATTGGGATGAGTACAAACAAGAAACAAGTGTGAAACTCATACATCTATCTGATTGCATTTATAATATATTTTTTAGCAAAATAAAAAAAGGTTTGTCATATCTCAGAATGTTGATTTATCTTGATTATTGACACCAATAACAACTTATAAAATAGACTAGAGAAATATCAGTAACTTACTAACAACAGCACTAACAGAGAAACACTTTCTAACACAGTACTCACCACCATAACAATAAGGGCAGCAAGAGAAATGAGATTACAGACATTAGTATCATTTCATGAACATCTATCAGTTGCTGCAAAACCAGTCTTCCAGGAAGTGAAGTGTGATTGTGATCTGTGCTGGTCTCGTCACACTGCTATTTAAATAAAGCGGCTGTTCTGGCCTGAGAGAGAGGTTTTGCAGCTCTGTAACATGGCAGACATCTGCCTGTCCTACCTTGTTTGCCAGCCCAGTGATGCTGACTGTCATTTCATCTAGCAATTTGCCATCTTTGACCTGTATCGATGTAAATCAATTGATGGAAAACTATTACAAAAACTCATAAACACAGAACAATCTCCAACTGCATGACAAACAGAGCACGTGGAGAAGAAAATTCTGTGCTGCAAGGATTTTGTGTGTTAGGAAGAGAATCAGTGAAAAAAATGGACATGATTTTAGTTTGAGTCCAATGTTATATTACAGATTATTGATTATTCATCCGAGGGCAGTAATAAAATCACTATTATTTTGTAAGAGATGAAAAAGAGAATCAAACCACATTATAACCATATTATATACCAGTGTCTGCAGTACATTAGACGACAAAAGCATTTTGTTCTCTCACAGTCACCGAATCAATTGTAAAAATCTATCTAAACAAACTGTTCTTTGAAGCTCATGGAGGCACATCCAGAAGCTGCCCACTTGACAATAAGAGTTAGAGCAACTGTGTGAAAGCATCTATGCACAAAAGACTCGATGTGATATGACCAATACCATGCATAACAAAAGAAAGGCTCATTTCAACAGAACTCTCAAACATGCTGCACTGAGGATGCCTGTAAGATGGCGATTGTCAAGTGAAGCGCTCCAGGTTGTGTCTTTTAGACATGGTGCATAACCAGCATTTCATTTATTTGTCTATTTATGTTTTCATGTATCTTTTCTGTTTAATTGACAGAAGACATTATTTAGGATGAAACCTTTGCATCTAAATTAGATTTGTGTATTTTAAACCGGATTAAAATATTAGGACTTACAACAAAAGGAACAAAAAAAATCATGCATACTTTTTCTAAATGTTTGAAAAACATAAATATACCTATATATGTATAGACATAATTAATATACCTTTTTTTCTTAATCCAGTGACTGTGTAGAGTTAAATTGCCAAACACCTGTTCTCAAAAAGTATTCCCTCCTGTTTGTAGCATTTGACGTCTAATGTGAGCTGACGTTCAACAGCAGAGGTAGAAGTGCCAAGCAGTGAAGAAAGTAGCGGACATTTTACATCTGAAAGCTGTGTATTTCCTAAAGCACTACACCCCCGCCACCATATCAACAACCACACACAGCACTGTTACCTTTTCCTGCGTTGGCTTGATAACATTCTCATTTAATGACTGTCCTAACTCTGTGGCCTAGTTGGAAGTCAGAGAGGAGAAGTAACTTGAATGAAACACGTTCAGTACATTCCCTGCAGTGCAACACACTGAGCCATTTGTTCTGCCGTTGCACAAAGTGACCACCATTCCCCAATTACAATGACGGCAGACAAGCACCAGAGGGTGTAATGGTTCAAAAAACACTTTCTCAACGTAAACATCCTTCGAGCCTTTACATTTTCCCTGTCTGGTTTATAAAAACAAGTATTGTTTTGTTTTTAAGGCGCCTGTATTCTACAAAAGAGTTTATGATTTATTTGAAACAGTGTTCACCAGAAAAAAAGCTAATTCCTAAACAAAAATATTCAGTTCTTTGAATCCATTACACATTCATCAGTGTTTGCATTTACCACAAAAATTGTCATGCACGAACAAAAAACTTTATGAGTTAGCATAACATTGACATATTAAGAGTATGGATTCAAGACAATGCCAAACTCATAATATTGTCAATCCTTTCTAGGCCTTGTTTTAAATGTAAAAGCTGTAGCACATGAACTGAGCCAAAAATAAAGATGGTGGATGACATGGGTACATAAAATAAAAAAAATAAAAAAAAGCTGCATGCGCCTGTTATTTGCTTTACCGGTTCTGGGGGAGCTTTATAACCCCTCAACTACATCCAAAGAAGGCCAAGAGAGTAAAAGTAGTCGTATTTGTTAGAGTTTAAGAATTTTCATAGCACGTTAACAAATTCACAAAGAAAAACTACTTTTACAAAAGCTTTATGTTTAAAGTACGAAGATAATATTTATGTCTAATGCATACGTTAGTCTTACCTTTAGAGTTGCTTGGTTGGCCAGTTTTGTCGTCTGGTAGTGGAGAAAAAGTAAAAAAATCATTGTTTTGTATTTGTAAATTTAATTCACATGCAAAACCTATGACCTTATATAACAAGCTTACATTATCTTTAGCAATGGAGGCGAACTTGCTGGCGCCAACAGTGAAACTGCTCCACCCCTGTTGAAAAAGACATGGTCAGGAAGAAAGGAAGTGACAACTCCATGTTTGAACTTAGCAAAAAGGAATACCGTATATATAGAGGACATGGCGTTGTTCAGGAAGTCGTCTTCCTTCTTCTCTGGAGTCACAGTGTTGCCAAAGCCAACGTAGCGATTCTCTTGATTGCCACTGTAACCTCCTCCACTAAAAATGAGAAAAGAATTACAGAGATTTTTTTTTTAAACACAGGAGGTTTACTAGGTATTGTAATGAACTTCCACAGTAGGAGACGCTCACCTCTGGTAAGAATTGACATCATCACTCAGCCAGTCTTCAAAAGCTTTATCACCAGATTTTGCTGAATTTTGTCCAGATCCTCCTACAGAGCTAAAAATAAAAAACAGAACAGAATTGTTTATATTGACATCCTCCTGTTTGACTTATTAACAAGGCCTGAATATTTTTAAAAATGAAGGTTTCTTGTACCGATGAGAGGAGGAAAGGCTGGTCTTGGGTTGGGGAGATGTCCAGTTTCTGGCAGGCGACGTCTCGATGGACCACTCTTTGCCCTCAGCTAAAGTTGCAACCTGTCATATGCAGCATTCTGTCAATAAGTATTCGTGATGGTACTTGGTATTGCTAAGTACACAACTGAAAATACTCTAACTAGTATTGATTTGTAGAAATAACATTGGGACAACTTTACTTTCTACAATACATTCTATCAAAATAAAAGCTCACACTGGTGAACGTAAACATTAATTATAGTTTAACATTTCAAATTTTAAAAAAGTATCCAAGGCTTCATTTTATTCTAAAAGAATAAGGAGAAAATATTTTAATTATACTTTCTCACTAAGGACAGTAGAGTTATTTAGAGCATGAAATTAATTTCTTATGATTCTGCAAATGGAATACCAGAATAGTTATTTAGTAAAGGACATACATATGTGGCTCTGATTCAGTAGGAAAAAACACAATATTATCAGAAAATGTTTGGGTTAACACAGCTCACCTTGTCTCTGAACAGCGCAGCAGCTTTGCTGTTGTATTTCTCCTGCAGGTTCCAGGTGGGATCATAGTCATCTTGGAGTTCGAGGAATAGGCGAAATTTTCCATTCCCACCTGCTTTCATCTTCTCAAGCTCTATGTCTTTCCACTTGTCCATAGTGACAGAGCGCACAAAACTGACCAACACACACACACGAGTTACCAAACACTTGAATGGAGGAGTTCTTTAGAATTGGTCTGTTACAAATGCAAACTCCATGTGTCAAGGTTCTTACCTGAGATGAACTCCAAGGCCTCTGTGTTTGCCAGAGCACTCAAGACAGATCCAGATGCCATACGTCACACTGACCCACTGAGGGTTAAAAGCCCCACATTCAAAACACAACTGCAGGAAGGACAAACATACATTTAGGATTTTGTGTACATTTTGAGTAAATCTGTGTCCATTACACTCGTGTTCCTCTCCAAAGCAAAGTTCAACTTCTACTTCTAACAGGTAAATGTAATAATTCCATCTAGTAGTTTCTTGTTCTGGTGTGTGTGCGCGTGTGGCATTAGATCTTACATTATTCTCATCCTGAGTTCTCACTTCCTTTAGAACCCTTCTGCTCCTTGGACTTGCCATTTCAATCCACACTGCAAGACATTGCAAAAGACGATTAATTACTGGGTGAATTTAATATGGTGTAACTAAAGTAATAAAATTGAAAAGGTAATTACTACAAATTGTTTTCCATTCCAAAATATACAGAGTGCTTAAAAAAAAAAGGTAATTACTACAAATTGTTTTACATTCCAAAATATACAGAGTGTAGTAGTGAATATTTGCAAAAGCAAGTGTATTGACAACAAAGTAATTATTTTGTTTAAAAAAAAATCACTGCTAATTGCTGGGTTACCAGAAGAAATCAGTGTACCCTGAGGGGTTGCTGGTTATGTTATATGTCCCTTAAAATTGTTTTCAGCTCTGCCATTGGAATCTCAGGTATTGGTAACTTCTTTAGTTCAACGTCTGAATGTAAATCAAATTTAAATCACATACAGAGAGATCGAGCACGAGTGTTGGTATATTAAGAGAAATATCTCTCAAATCACATGAAGTGTCGTCGTGTCAAGTCGTAACCAACACTACAGACCCACAAGGCGGCCCGACGTCAGAAAATATCATAGTATAAGAACCCCGTGGCGTGTCGGATAAGGCAGTGAATTAAAAAAGGATCGTTTGAATTCAAACGCAAGGATCAAATATGATGAATTCAAGTCACTAGACTCGAAATGGCAGGTGAATATATATGCTAACGTTAGCCACAAGCTATGTTGTTCTGTTACCTGTCTGAGACTGAAGACGACGCTGGTTTTAGAGTCAGTAGCTCCGCTGATAACCCCTGCAGAGGATGTTTTCTTCTCTCGGAGGGACAAAAAAAAAGTTTACTGACACACAACGGGGGTTTAAAAAAGAGAGTTTGTTTCAAACACCGGTAGCCATCATCCTGTTTGCATACGTTGGCAGTGCAGAGAACTCTGGGAACCCGGCCTCCTCTTTCCTCATTGTCTTCTTCACTTTTCTATTTTAGGGCGCGCGGCAAACTAAAAAATGTTACTAGCGCCACCGACGGCAGTGGTGGTTATTGGTTATTTTTTGTAGACAGCTTTGTTTATGGAGAGATAAGTAAGAGTACTTGTGGAGATTTAAGTAAGAGTGAATTTGATGTCATGGATTTATTTTGGAGTTAGAGGATCAGAATACGGTTCTTATTAGAGTCTCTGTAAGGATTATGGTAATATAACATTTAAAAAAAATTAACTAGTAATAGTTAATGTTAAGTCTGAAAAAAACGGACAAAGCCAAAGGAAGTTAATGTTAGGTCTAAGAAGAATTCGGACAAAGCCAAAGGAAAAAGAAGAAGTTAATGTTAGGTCTAAGAAGAATTATGTCTATGTGAAAAACGTATTGAAGAGAGTATTATCATTATCATACAATACAGCAGGTTATAAAACACCAACTCTGTTGTGTTGTGCCGGGATATAGACCAATAAAAATGAATAATTTCTAACCTAATTTTTTTCCATAGACTAAAATTAAATGGGCTATCTGAATAAAAAACAGAACAGATCATTAATCATCAACAACACTTGTCTCCTTGACAACAAAATATAATCATTTATCACAGAGTAAAACAACATGAGATTAATAAGTGCCATGTGGAGCTTCATTATCAACAATGTATCTATTTGATAAAACTTTCTATTCAATAAACTCTATCAATATCTATCAATAAAACTTTATCTCTGTTTTCCGGCTCTTCAGTATCCTGATGTTTCATCTAATTACATTCGTCTCTGCAGAAAATGATGACATTGATATAACTTTACTGCTGCTGCTGTAAATGGTTTGTTCTGACCATGGAAAATATTAATCAATCTCTAGTCATTCTCTCTGTGACTCACAAACTGCAAAAACAATCGTTTTTGCAATTCTTGACTGTACCTTGTTTCACTTCCTGCTACATGCAAGTTCCATGTTACAGATCTCCCCTGCCTGTGAGAAACAAACAAACAAACAAACAAAAAAGAAAATCTTTATTTTTTAAGAAATGTACCAGTGAAAAGTTAAATTTCCCATAGCACAATTTTTAACGCAGTTCACGCTACCAACAGCTTTTAAGTCAATGTTCTATTCTGCAGTCTTTACATTGCACGTCAAAGGGACCAATATAACATTAAATCTTATCTTATAGTCCATATAACATACTTTCATTCATAAATTGCAGACAGGGTTCATCTGATCTTGTTATCTTTATCACCTTTTCATTAGGTACATTCCTCAGACCTACTGTACGTGCTATAAGGTCGTTTATCACTGCTTTTTCTCGATTTCCCCGAACTGCTCCTGCTCTACTATCCTCCCAACAGGGAACTAAACTTAAGTGCCCACTAGAGGGCACTGTCTTTTCTTTCTAAATTCTTCACTTTCACTTCACTTTCGGATAAATAAGTGGGAATTTAAAGCAGTGATGCTTTGTCTTTCTCGACGTTTTTGTTCTGATATTTTACTAGTATTTTTTGATGATAGCTACATCAGATTATTTCTAATTGTTTACGAGTAATCCACGATTAACTGATCACATCTGATATATCCTCTTAACTCTCCCATTAACACATAAATGGTAAATCCAGTACTTTATTTTATCTTATTTTATCTTATATCTGTGCAATAAATAAAGTATCAAAAGAGATTATTTTTAGAGGCCTGAAAACCACCACCTAACAGTGATGGCTTAAAATGTTTTGGTAAATACTTCTATTCTCTCAACAAAAAAAATGTAAAACCAGAAATACAAACTTCTTCACTTAATGATTTCCTGTACACAAAATACGTTTTTCGGTTTTACCTCTAGAGTTCTTTCAATTGTTTCACGTATAAGTCAACTATTTCCCATTTGTCGATTCGTAGCAGGGGCCCAATCCTTGTCTCACATGCTGTTGTGGCCCTAACTAAGGTGCTTAACCCTAGGTTATCCTCAGAAGCTGTACTGATAGCACCGGTTGATGAGTGTACACAAATTAATGTGAGAGTGACAAAAACAAAGACAAAATGACCTTTTGTATGATGCAACAAATTATTGTGAGAGTGGTTGGTCAATGACAAAAACAAAGACAAAATGACCTTTACTCTCAAGTCAAGATGCCAAATGTTAAAAAATAAATAAATAAGGATTAAATAAATTTTTTTTTAAATTACCCTCCCAGGAACTTTTCAGTGAAATTTAATTTGAATGCTGCCCTCCCAGGAACTCTTTTTCAGTGAAATTTAATTTGAATGCTGCTACTTCACATTGTTTTCCAGGTCATCTTACTTTCTTCTTTTTTTTTTTTTTTAATTACTTCACACACACTGCTGGTGACCTGCTCAAAAAAAAAAATCCAAAAAATGTAGGTCTAAAAATGACATGCTGAGAAGAAAAAGTTACACTGAAGTACTCCAGGGAATCAAGGCAATGGTCTGAAGTATAGTTGCAGCAATTTAAAATAACTGTGTCCTAGGTCATTCTTATCTGATTAAAAAGAGGCATAAAAGGGATGTTGCTCGTGCAGCTCAGACAGAGACTCGCTGCACTGTGGGAGCTGTGCATCAACACAAACATGTCTACGAGTTTGAGGGTGCGTTTGCCGGTGTTCGTGCTGGTGATGGAGATTGTCATGGTGACACTCTTTGCTTTCTTTGTCACCTATGATGAGAACGCCAACGCTAAGTTCCAGAACAATGAGACCAATCCAATGGAGAACTCCATGTATCGCGACTATCCGTACTTTGCCGACGTGCAGGTGATGATCTTCGTCGGCTTCGGCTGCCTGCTGGCATTTTTTAGGTTTTACGGTTTTAGTGGAATGGTGTTTAACTTTCTCACGGCTACGTTTTCAATCCAGTGGGCCATCCTGATTCAAGGTTTCTTCCAGTTTTACTATGATGGAAAAATCCACCTGGGGGGGTGTCCACCCTGTGGACCGAGAGTTTGCCCGGGCGGGTGTGCTCATTTCTTTTGGAGCTGTGATAGGAAAGACCAGTCCCATTCAGCTCTTGGTGATGGCCCTGCTGGAGATCCCCATATTTTCTGTGACAGAGTGGGCAGTCCTGAAATACCTCAGAATCAATGACGCAGGGGGCAGTATTCTCATTCATCTGTTTGCATGCTATTTTGGTCTGGGAGTGACTTTTGTTCTGTACCGTCCAAATCTGAACAGCGGACATGCAAAAGAGACAACTTGTTACCAATCTGACATTCTGTGTGTACTGGGAACCCTGTTCCTCTGGGTCTTCTGGCCTTCATTCAACTCTGCTCTGACCTTAAAAGGCGACGATCAGCACAGAGCAGTTCTCCACACTTTCATTGGCCTCAGCTCATCAACAATCACTGCATTTGCCCTGTCAGCAGTGTTCAACAAACGAGGTAAACTGACCATGGCTGACATCCAGAATGTGACTTTGGCCGGTGGCGTGACTGTCGGTGCTTCTGTGGACATGATGATTTCTCCTGCAGCTGCCTATGGACTGGGCATCATGGGCTGCACTGCCTGTTTCTTTGGATATCGTTACCTGACTCCATTTTTAGCTCAACGCATGAGGATCCAAGACCAGTGTGGGATTCACAATCTCCATGGTCTCACTGGACTCATCTCATCCACAGCTGGAATCTGTGCAATCCTCCTAGCCACCGAGGAAACCTACGGCCCAAGCATGTACCAGATCTTCTCACATCGGGCTCCACCTGAAGGACATGAAAAGCTGCTTGAGCTGCAAAAACTGATTCCTGGACTGAAGCCTGGTTTGGGCCGTACTGCAGAGGAACAGGCTCTCTACCAGGTGGCAGCTATCTTTGCTACCATTGGAGCATCAGCAGTTGGTGGGCTCCTCACTGGTCTGGTCTTGAAGTTGCCATTCATGGCGTCTCCGTCTGACGATGACTGCTTTGATGATGAGCTGTTTTTTGACACACCGTCAGACTTTGACAGTTCTGTCACATTACCTATAATGTGTGAAGATAACAGACAGAAGGAGTCAATCAAGAATGTCTGAAGCGTTGCACTGAGAGAATAAAAGAAAAAATCTCTTTTTTTTTATTCCCAATTGTAGTTATAAAATCTCAATTGTTAATGCAAGACTGAACATACAGTATCTATAAATATAATATATTATGGGATGGGATATGTGAATAATAATCATTTGTTTACTTTCAATTTTGCTATTAATAAAATATTCCTAATAAAAATAGTAGTGGAATTATTTTGTTATTAGCTGTGGGATATGAGCCTTAACAATAGAACCCACTTATCTACTTTATATATATATAATTATACAAGTTATACAGCATACAGTAATATACAGTTAATGATCAACACTGATACACTGCTACAAGACAACTACAATCATAACTGTAATAAAAAAATCTTAGAATTAATAACCGTTACATTATTTCTTTTGTTCAAGATTATCTTTTGAGTTGAAATTATATAATTTCTCAAAAGTCAAATTCCTTATCTCATTTAGTGACATTTTATTACTAATGACATCCAGATTATGACTTTTTTCAGAATTTTATCTTGACATTGATGTATGACTGTGACACGTCGTATCTCGGTGTCACTAAAGTATCCCTGGTTCACTGTTATTAACGGGGCATAAAAACGAATTACATACCATAATCACTTATATCATGCATTAGGTAACTTTATTGCTGGAGTAAATTCTTATGTAATTCTTATGTTATGAACCTTAATATATATTATCAATTTAATATAAACATGACATCAGGTGAAATTATGAAGTGACATAAATTGTTCTTTCAGAACAAATATTTAAAATCACCCACATCAGTCACTTTATTTGTTCTTAATCTTCAATTAAATGATAACACAAACACTTAAACCCTTCATTTCTATAAATAATTTGGAATCAAGTATTTACTTAACACACAAGGGCTTGTTCTTTCCTGTGTATTTTTTATCTTTAGTTTATCTTTAGTTTAAAAGTCACCATAGTCACATCTTGTCTTAATATAAAAGTTTTATTGGTTCATCAATATAATAAAAACAAAACCCTAATAAAATCTTATGGCTGCTGGATGCTCCTCAGGTCATGTGTGTAATGAAGTGGATGCTGCCTTTTGAAGCAACATTGAGCCTTATCTAATCACACAAATATCTAGTGTGTTTATTTAGTTGCAGTTTGTTTAAAGTCCATTACTAAAAGTGCTGACAGCAACTAAAAGTGAAATTCTCTCTTTTAAAAAGTACGTCACGTAAAAGATTATTTACGTAAGTATACATGGTGACGTCCAAAGGTCTCAGAGTGTGGAGAAACGCTGTAAGACCGAGACCTGGTTTTAACTTTTCTTCTAGTTATTTCTTCTCCTGCAGTGGTGATCCTCCTGATTTCTCCTCGTTCTCAATAACCTTTCAATGGCATTTGTAAAATATATTCTGCTTTACTTTGTATTGTATTGATAATATTGATAATATAAACCCAGTATATGCATTCATTCATTCATACATTTTTTTCTCTGTTACAGTATACAGGGTATTTAGGCTGATAATTAAAATTTGAATACAATTGACTTTACTTGACCAGATATACACTTGAATTAAAAGTTTAACATCCATTTAGATAAATGTGTTTTGTAATTTTGGGCTGTACAAATACGATTGACTTTACTTGACCAGATATACACTTTTACTGTTACTGTACTGTTAGAGAGGTAAGGGCAGTAAAATGCAAGTTACTGAATTTGACTTTTAGGACGTTTAACTCATCGACATCTTTTGTTTCCAATTCTGGAGCTTTTTTGCAGTGCAGTGATGAATTCCATATCATTTTATTATGTAAAATAAAATTGTAATGTAAAATATGTTAAGTATTTATAATAAAGCTAATATACTGTAGGTCTATAATACATGTGTAGATCTATATGGAATATAGATGATTTTAATGTTTTCAACATTATTTAAAAAAAGTAAGATGTCTTTAAAGGAACGTTTCAATATTAAATTGTTGTTTATTTTAATTTCCTTTATTTTTCTGTTCATATCTTTTCAATCAACACATTTTTTTTCTGTTACGTAGAATTAAACATCACATCACAGCACTCTTACTTTTTACGCATACAGTTCACGTTGACAGCTTATATGTAGTGGCTTTATATGAGGAAGCACAGTGCCACCCTGTGGCGTTAATGTACAATTAAAAAGACCTATCGGAGGCAACGTGTTTGAAACTACTAACCCTAAATTCCACTTTAATAGAATCTCATATAATATAATCTTTGTCTGCAAATCCGTGTGACTTTTTTCTGTACATTTGATACGATCTTGTGGGTCATATATAATTACACCATGGTCCAGATATAAACAATACAAACAATAAAACCTAGGAAACTATTTTTTTTTAATTTCTGGTAAAATTGACTTCTCAAAGTTACAATGAAAGTTAATACAGTAAATACAGAGATATGAAAAGATTATTATTGACAAACAAAACAGCACAACCCAATAGTTTTCAAACACTTTTCAAGGAGTCGAAAAATGAAAAATGACCCAAGGGCCCTGTAATATCTTAGACCAGTGGTTCTCAAACAGTGGTGCAGTGCTCTCTAGTGGTACTCGGGGAAAATTCGTATTTTCATATTTACATTTTCAATTGAATCAATCTGAAACATACGATGCACAATTATATACAACATTTAAAAACAAACATCTTTATAAACATTTATAAACATCTCCCCTGTGTGGTGGAAGCTAATAGTGAAGGCCTACGCTGCTATATTCTAATGTTGGTCAACACAAAGAGCTCAATGTTTTCTCAGGTGGTACAGAGTATAAAAAGTTTGAGAACCACTGTCTTAGACCATATCGAACAGTATGAGTTTGACTATGATAACTTACAAATACATGACAGTAAAGTACGGCAAATACATGATAGCAAGTACGGCTAACTGATAGCAGTAAGTTAAAAACTGAAAAATACGTGAAATATACACACACACCTATACATATATATAGTTGGCATTGTTGATAGAAGCAGTGACTGACTTTTGGCTGCAAGAAGCAGCCAACATAAACATACAATGAACACAATTAATATACATACATCTTCAGTTTTGGAATACTTAGCTGTAGGGCCAAATTTGTCGGGGGGTTTCAGAGTTTTGCTTCTGTTAGATCAGTTTGCGATCTTCAAATGTATTAGCTTTTGAAGATATTAAAAACAAAAACAAAAGTCAAGAAAATAGCCTGTACCTTTTCAGTAGTGGCCTCGTACCACCTTACTCGTTATGTTCTCTGGTGTTTGTTGTTGTTGTTCAAAGTCCCAGCTAAGCCCCCAAAAACCCACCAGGTTGTCAGCTTCGGTGCTCCGTTCACAGATGGTTGGCGTACTCCTCTCCACTATTCGAGGTGCAGATCGCTTTGGTTCGCTGTGTTTGTACAGTTGCATACAAATCCGACATATTGAGTCTATCAGCGTTCTCCTCTTCTTGTGTTCCTGCGTTTTCTTCTTCTTTTTCTTCTTCTTCTTCTCCTGCTTCCGCTTGTTGCTTTCTGACCTCCGGTGCCTCCTCTGTCGGACTTCCATCTACAGCGTGCTGTGTCTGTGGAGAGCTGCGGCCGCACTGCATCCTGGGAGGTTTGAGAGCGAGATTGGCGTAACAGTCCTGCTGGAGAAACAAGCAAAGTGTCCTGTGTTATTTTCAGTGATGACAAACGATCAACAGTTCTTAAATATCGAATATCGTGTTTATTGCTCTTCATTTCTAAACTCAGTAATGTAGATTGAAGGACCGTAGATTAGTCCAGTGTTCCCCAACCACCGTGGACCATAGACAGTTATCCAAGTCCACTTCATGGATCTGAAAACTAATATTTATTCACCGCGAATAATTTGTCTTTTTTGTCAACGCACCAGCGATAGGAAGAACAATTAAATAATCTCCCACTAGGTGGCAGCAGATGCTATAAACTCTAATTCAAAAAGAGCCGTGGGAGACTTTTGGTTGTGACTTTGTTCTGTTCCTGTCGATGGTGCAGGCCCAGGTTTCAGTGGGTAAAATGTGAGATTGAAAGATTGTATTTCATTACATATAGTTTATGTTTTATGTTATTTTTATCTTGAGGTGAGCTGTGGGAATTTTTTAAGAAATGTAAAATATGTGTTGTTGCTCAAAGAAGATGGAGAACACTGGATTGTTCTACGGCAGGGGTTCTCACATACAAATCTTGAAGGTCTATGGAAGCATTTTTCAACAAAACAAAGAGTGGGGGTGGGGGGTTCACAACAGGGGCGCACACAAACATTTTTCAGTAAGCCAAAGGTCCATTTAGACTGTGTTACAGTATCTCTAATATGTCATATTTAGACTATGACAGCATGAATATCTATTATAATAATGGACCCCTTTCTTGTCATTTCCAACTTTGAATATGCCATTTTTTATTCTATCTAGTCGCCCACTGTTGACAAAGCACAGATGAGTGTACCACTTGAAAAGCAAAAGTTTAAAAAGTTCCATGTTCCACCTATAACAAAACATTGGCAGTGAAGGAAAGGAAAATAGCTTACGTGGGAGAGTTTGAGAGCCATTAGTCAGCAGTGTTTTTCTTTTCTTATTTTTTTAAGTTCTATTTTTTAAGCTCGGTTTTACCTTAATTGAATCAAATGTATGCTAGAATTTTTTTTAAATGTTACAAAACAGTTACTTAACCTGTGAGGTGTAAGTGAGTCTCTGTTGCTCCATCACAGGCACAGAGCTGAATGAGGAGTGGGGCCGAGGAATGTTGTCTGTCAACGGAAGAGTGTCTGAAGATAAACAACAGTAATGTACATCATTGTACATGTGAACAAACATATTTAAAACATAAAAATAAAGTAAGCACACCTATCACCCAACGAACTTACCTGTCTGTTCGTAGAGGATGTTTCCATAAATAGGATTATCTTCCATCTGCTTTGGGCTTTGCCTTATTTATTCACAGAATATAAATACATATGAAATACACAGACATGATATAAGTTTTAACATTTAAGCCGTAATGGCTACGGCACATACCTCTGTCGTGGGTGTTTTTTTTTTCCTGCACAAAGAATGAAACAGTTACAATGCAATACAGAAAGATTGTGTTTCCATTTGACCTTTTGAAACAACAGAATAATCAGGTACCTGAGCAACATTGTAGCACACAGAAAAGAATGTTCAATGATAGTGAGCAGACCAGTAATCCGCCCAGTGCTATGAACAGCAGCGGTAGCCAGGATGCTGCACATAAATTGTGGAACCAAAAGTTACCTGGAAAAAGCAGGAGGAAGCGTCATTTACAGTAGGTTTCATCCGACCTGAGTGTAGACCAGGGGTCTCCAATGTTTATAAATATATGTCTGAATGTACACAATACAATCACTCAGGGCTCTCGCTGTTTTTGCAGAATATTTACATACATTTAAAACATTTTACATAGATAGATATAAGTTAAGACCTGTGATTCAAATGTATGCATGCTAATGTGCCTCTAAGCAGGACAAATAAAGTGTAGGTATGTTAATTGTCCATTTTGTCCAAAAAGTGAGGGAGAATTATGAGACATTATGTGAAGTTTCATAAACTAATGTAGAACACGAAGGTGGAGGAATCCTGTGACCAAATCTGCAGTCTCATCACCGGGTTCTGACTCTTTTTTCTTGACTTTTTTTGATTTGTTTATTTATTTATTTATTTTTGGATTAACGCTACATTATTTAACTTCTTGGTACTGATTCCGATTCCAATCATTTTTAAAAGCCAAGTAAACTTTTTACAGTATGTTGTATAATGGGAACATTTGTCAACTTTATTATGTAAATAGTGTTACATTATAATTAATGTATGTTATAAGGTTTATACATGGAAGACTTAACTGACATTTTTGAACATTTTAAGATATTGATTTACACATTGATTTGTGCAATGGGCCGCCATTAGATAGATGTCAAAGATGAACAAGTGATTGGAAAAGAAAAATTCTTTAAACTACAGGGTAGTATTTCTATTCTATAAGTAGATGATAGTTGATACGTAACATATAATGTTATTCAAAGTATTAACCCGAGCTTGTGCAGCCTGTGTTACCGTAACTGATGAATCGTCCTACAACATTTCGTCAAGATAACAGATAAAACTGTAAAAATAACTCGACTGTGAGAAAGAAAGAAAAAAAAACATACCGTCAGAACAAGTGCCGTTGCCGTTGCAGGTGGTCGACATGATGAAGAAGAAGAATGAAGTTATCTGTCGCTTCGTCTGTATCTGTTCATCACAAGACTGTGACTGTGTTCATGCCCATACAGACACATTACAGGATGTGTGCTTTTGCAGAAAACCACAAGTCCCTAGGTTCTTCGACAAAGAAGAGATCCAGTGAGGAGATAGTTAATGTCTATAAAAAGCCTCTCCGAATTATAATAAAAACAGAGGCACAAAAGAAAAAATAAAATACATTTCTAACAAATTTCTCTTATTTTATCTTGAGGCTTGGTTCCTTTGAATACACATTTCTGTTACTGTAGTGACGTTTTGCAATTGAAAAAAAACTGTCCAATTTTGTAAAAATATTCGTTGTATGTGTAGTATTTCAATTTATAAGGTAAAAGATTATATACGTCTGTATGTATCTATGTGGGTTTATCCGATATTAACTTTTTGCCGATATTCAATATGCTGATATTGTCCAAAAACTTAATTTCCGATTCTGACATCAACCGATACCGATATAGGCTGGTAATATTTATTTATTTATCTGTACAAACCACTGTATTAGTTGCTAGCACCAGCATTCTGCGTACAATCCCCTGAATATTAAAATAGATTCATTAAATAAGCTGCAATTCTGGCATCTAGTGACTTTTACTTTCATGTACATCCGTTTATCACCCCAAAACTATCTCTATATGTATGTAATACACAAACGTTGTGTGTTCATGTACATATGTATGTAATACACAAACGTTGTGTAACGGGCGTAATTTTATAGGTGCACCTGAATCATGAGTCATCGCTTTCAAATCCACCCCCTGCAGGTCAGGGTGTGGAAATGCATGCTTTGTGTGTATGCTGTAAGAGAAGACACAAATACAGAGGAATTCAAAAAGTTCCAATACAAAAAGGGGTTTTTCTAATATGATACTTAAATGTACTCAAACGTAGGCTCCTCTCAGCAACCAAGACTTCGTGGCCGTGAGCTTGGAGCTTGAAGTGACCGCAGCACCGCCCTCATCCACCGACATCCCTCCCGGAGGTGTTGGAGGCGGGTCAGACTGGAGCTGGTCCCTCCTTCTCCCCCTCCTCCCCCCCCTCCCCCCCCTCCTCCTGAACGCTGATGTGTAACTAAGTTCTGTCTACAAGTCCACCAAAAATGTTCAACTTCGGATCAAAATTACTTTTGCTGTTTCTTCTGGCTTTTCCCTGCGGGTTGATATCCATCGGTGAGTCCTGTGTGTGTGTTCGTGTGTGTTTTCACTGCCTGGAGTGAACGATCCTTCCCCGAGGATCCCTGAGATCCTACAGAAAGTGAATGAAAGTCTCCAACCTGACTGACGTGGCACCGCAGCCTCACAGTGAGATTCATCCACAGGCTTCACATTTGAAATCACTGTTTTGTTATTATTTATGAGTTTGTCATAGTAGTCAGGTACTTTAGTCTACACTGGACACTCCGAGGCTCGGGAGAGTCCAGGCTTCGGTTTAACACGAATGGTAACGAATTACGTCTGCAGGAATAATCTGAAATGTTCGATGTCTGCACAACTGATATTTACACTTTATTCCAAACATGTGAGGTTTGTGCGTGAGTACGACTGTTCGTGTGTGTGTGTGTGTCTGACACACACACAAACACACAGTTAACTTCGCTGTCTTTGTGGGACACGTCACCATAGATAAGATTCTAAGCAGACCTTATAGGTTTTCCCTCAGACACCCTACATTTACAGTGCATGGATGGTGATGTAACGCGTTACGTGTCCAATATGGTAAAAGCATAGTTGCATTTTTTAAACCATTTTCATATTTTTTTTAACTCATGGTAAATTTGATGCAACACGTAAATTCTACCTCAACGAACAACAAAACGCTAAAATGCTGATTTAAAAAAAGAAAAGAAATGTATGTTACACTTAAAACATAAAACATAAATGTAATGCCAAATAGCTTAGTGGTTGTTAAAAATTGAAATATACTGAAATACGGTAAACAGTATTCAATAGTGTTTCTTCCTCTCTTACAGTTGAAATGTAATGTACGTAAACACTTCAATATAAAAAAAACAACCAAGGTTTAAAAGAAAGTACAAGATGTAATTATCATTTTCTTATGTAATAAACAGTGATTAATTGCCATGGGCAAAATCAGGCTTGTAATTGCTTTTCCAAAAAAAAAAAAACCCTTTGGGGGGGCTGATAACAATTTACCGACACCCTGGGTCTTTAGTGAGACCTTAGGTCAAAGGTCAGAGGTCAAAGGGCTGCTATTGACTCACCTTGAAAATGTAACTGTTGACATCACATTAGTTCTACACAACTAAATAAACGTTGATGAAAACACAGAAACTAAGTATTAAGATAACGTTATCTTTTTTATTCCACTCTATAATCAAATATAGAATAGAATAGAATAAAATAGAATAGAATAGACTAGAATGGGATATAAAGGTGTTTCACAGCTAGTGGCCCAATGTGACAATCCCGCATGTCCTCTCCTCTCTACAGGCCATGTCTCAGCACAGTCGGACTCTGCTGAGGACATCGCTGAGGACATCGCTGAGGACATCGCTGAGGATGCTGATGCTGCTGTAGATGAGGAAGAGGAGGATGATGAAGAGGCTCTAGTCGAGGAGGATCAGATGCAGTCATCGGTATGTACCTGTGATTGTGCAACAGTGTGACAGAAATAAAAAGGTTTCACTTGGAACTGTTCATGTTACGACGTCATGTTCACCCACAGGATGGAGACGAAGATGAGTCAGAAGAAGGTGTCGATAAACAGCTGGCTTCTCACCCCGATGCCGACACAACCATTATCTTCACCACAGGCGAAGGTCGGTCTAAAACCTACAATCTTCAATCTCTACAAAACACATCTGCTGTTTTCTTACTGAGGTTTTTAAAGTCAGTCACAAAGAGCCAACCTAAATAGATTCTAAGATAGAATAATCCTGCCTCATCCTGCTCTGCACCTTAAAACTACACCTAAACTGTGGGCTTACACTGTAGTTTGTGTTCCAGTGCTAACGTTATTTGTATCACTACTACTCTACATTTTAGAGTTTCCTGCCAATGAGATTGTGAGGTTCCTCGTGGGCTTCACTAACAAGGGGAGCCAGGAGTTCACTGTCCAGTCGCTGGAGGCTTCCTTCCGTTACCCGCAAGATTTCCAGTTCTATATTCAAAATGTAAGTTGGATCAGACGACCACAGACAAACGTCTCTGCACCTTTAGACTTCATAGTTTAGGGTGAATTATTTGTCATCGCAGCACACCACTGCACACAACGAGATGTGACCTCTGCATTTTACACATCACCAAAGTCAGCAGGGGGCAGATTAAGCCCCTGGGGTGTGTGGGGACTGGACCAGCTCAGTGCACCTCAGTAGACCTTCTGGACCTAAGTCCACTTCCCTAACCACCAAGACACCACTGCCCCCATCATATTGGATATGTTAATAAAGTTAAAGTAAATTAAAGCTCACATTAAGTTTGATGATCCTTATTCTAAACCCTGAAAATTGCAGTGAATTCTGGGATGTGACTGCAGCTCAATTAGACTCAGACTAATGACATGTACTGTATATGTTCAGTGTGATGAATATGTTATGAAGATAATTACCACTGAGGAAATTAACATAATCTGCTCAGTCCCTGTGATTCTCATTGGTATACAGTATTTTGCATTTATTTGTTTGTTGTTTTTTTTTTAAATACACTGGGGACATTGATCAACATCTATATGTAAATGGGACACATTGTAACCAAGGGCGTATTTACATTTGTGGTCAAACAGGAAGCTGCCCCACATTTCATTTACCCCATATCTAAGACAGATTAACTTCCTGTTTAGGGTTTAGGGTTACGTTTTCGATTGTTCTCTGTCTCTGATGAAAGTATGAGTTGGTGAAATCAGTGGTTTGTAATATGTCATATGTTCGTGTGCTCAGTTCACAGCCTTGCCCCTGAACACTGTGGTGCAACCCCAGGCTCAGGCCTCCTTTGAGTACTCCTTCATCCCAGCACAGCCAATGGCTGGTCGTCCTTTTGGTCTCGTCATCCTCCTCAACTATCAGGACAGTGAGGTGAGAAGGAGTTCATAAATAAACCAAACCAAAGTGTTTCTAGTGGTGGTTTTATTCTTTTTTTCAAAGCTCTTCTCTCTCTGGAAGTTGCTGTTATCTACAAAGCTGTTTTGAACTGGTGTCGCTCTACCGTCATTATTTCCCCCCTGCTGGTGAGATATTTGTTTGCTCATTATTTTTTTTGGCTTTTGTTCAGAGTAACATGTTCCAGACTGCCATTTATAACCAGACTGTCACCATCACGGAGAAAGAAGAAGGACTGGATGGAGAAACGTAAGGATTTTTTATTCCCTGTAACACTGTCTTTCCTCTAACTGAAAAAAAAAACAGATTAAGCTGCTTCTTCCTTGGCAGGAAAATGTGGAAACACTACATTAATATTTAAACTAGGTGATGAACGGAACAATTTTAAGCAAATAATAAGCAAGTTATTTTTGCTGTGTCTCTGAAGGCCACATCCACACAACATCTGAGGGTGTGTAAAAACAAGTGTGAAACTGGCACAAAGCAATTAGTTTAGTCAGTGAAGGAGCTCCAAGCAACACAACACAGAGGAAACAGTTTCCATCTAAAAATACAAAGACACTTAGTTTAGATGATTTTTTTTTGTCAATCTAAATACATCAACACTACAGCTTTATGCCATTAGTTGTCACACAGGGTTGAGTTAAGGCTGCAGCTAATTGCTAATGGTAGAAACTTTTTAACACAGATGTTTTTACTGTGTTGGAAGGATGTTCATGTATGTGTTCCTGGTTGGACTTGTGGCCCTGATGCTCTTTGGGATGTACCAAGTCCTGGAGACCAGGACGGTAGGAGATCTTCTTCTACTGACCTACAACAGGGTCTCTGTTTTAAAGATTAAGTCTCTGTGCAAGGTCTGGCAAACTATTCAAATTCTTGTCGTCTGTCATTGTTGCAGAAGAAACGAATTCCAGTGAAAATTGAGAAGGGCACCGGTGGGATGAGTGACGTGGACATCAGCTGGATTCCTCAGGAGACTCTTAACGTCATGAGTATGTTCTTTTTGTTTTATTCTCAACTGTCCTCAGCCTCATTTTTCTGTTAAACTCTCTTAAAAAAATCTTTAAATCTTTACGTCATCGTTACAGACAAGGCCTCTCCGAAAACATCTCCACGTAAACGAACCAAGAGGGCAGCAGGAGCTGATCAATAGAACTGTCATGTCGTCCATCAGGCTTTAATCCGTCTCCTCACAGTCACCTGATCTCCGATCTCAGTATTTGTTTTTGGATGTTTGAGCAGTGTGGTGAAAATCCTTCTGTGGATGTTTGTTCTTCCTGCTGCAGATGGGCTCAGTGTGCAGCAGGATAAGACACTAAAAGGCTTCATTTGCAATTCATTTCTTTATGTGTGTGTGTGTGTTTCTGTATGTGTGTGATTAATGTAATGGAAAAAAATAAAGTGAAGCGGTACAGGCTGATGATGTTAGGTATCTAACACTGGTGTTAGTGTTTAGCCACATTAGCATCTTCACGTGTTAACTGTGTTCTCAGAGAGCCTCTGTGCCTTATCTCTACTGTGACGAGACGCCACAGATCAAAGGTTCAACATCCTGTCGGCCGTTTTTTTTTTTTTTTTTTTTTCAAATATGGGACTGATGGCAGCTTTAACATCAACCATCAAAACTGTGTTCTCTAGAGAAATGGCAGATTCTTTGTATGTTCTTACCACAAACAGTAAATCAGAGGATCAGCCAAGAATTTCAGACTTTTGTTGTGTGATAATGATGCACTCGTTCAGACTGCATGACATTATTTTTCTAAGAACAATAAAGGGATGAACTACCTGGCGTATGTTTTGGTTTCCTCTGTTAAATCCTAAATATTTCAATATTATAGTTTTAATATTAAATATTACATTAGAACTACACAATATCTGCATATTGGATATCGGCAAAAAGTTAATATCAGAAATCCCTACTGGAAACAGTTCTAGTTCTGCAAATGTCAGAGTTACTTTTTCAGGAATGTTGATTAATCTGAAATAATCATAATTAATTACGTACTGATGCATCATGATTGTTATTAATCCATAGCCACCCTGTAGGTCATCATGATTGTTTGTTATTAATCCATAGCCACCCTGTAGTTAATCAGATTGAATCAGTTGTTGTTTGTTTTTTTGCAGTCTCAACTTTTTAACTACAGGACTACTGTAGAGACCACAACACGGAAACAGCTGCCGCTTCTGTTTCAGTCCTGACACTGCCACACCTGCTATTCTCGTTGAACGGAATTACAACCCAGTGCATACGCTCCACTGGGGGCTAATCGAAGGAAATGTTTAAATCGAAATGAATCTGCCCTGCTGCGCCCCCTGCAGTAGCTCCACACGAACCACCGAACTAAAGTAAAGCAAATAAATAAATAAAAAATAATAATGAAAAAAAAAAACTTAAAATACTTGGCCATCATATATCACACAAACAGAATCAAAACACCTTTTTCTCACTACTGCTAAAGAAACAACAACAACAACAAAAACCACAAGAAAACGCAAATGTATTCACCTTTGTGGTGTGGGGTTTGCTCGATGCTGGAGGAGAAGGAGGAGGAGGGGAAGGAGGAGGAGGAAAGTTTCCGGTGCTGAGGCTCGTCGTTGGGCGGGAGGGGGAGCAGGGGAGCGGGTGTTAACGACAGCACTCGGCCGAAGCAGGGGGAGGCTGGTACACACCCACTAAGTGTTTGTCGCCGTTCCAACGCCGGTTCTCCTCAGGGATGATCGGACGGCGATCTCCTCCATCCTGATTGAGACTCCTTCCGCATCAGCAGCGCCTCCCACAGCAGCAGCTTCATCCCGCGCCTCCGCTCGGACTGAAATGGGATGATATGGGATTGTTCATGTCGACGAAGACAGCGGGGATTCTTGTTGCTTTCTCATTTGGTAAGATGTCTCGACATGTCTCATCCTATAGTGTAATTATTATTTTTTTAATAGTTACTGGATGATCTGACAGAGTAAACTGCAGTTCCCTCCATAATCGCAGATGTCACAGACGGTGCAGTATCTGCATCCATAACAGTTGGACTGGATGGTCCGCTGTACCGTCACATTATCATGGAGTACGGCCGCCCACTGACCACACATGCTGACCGGTCTCCCTGTGCAGGGTTTCAGACTCTGACGTCCAGACAGATTATTCCTAGTAGTAAGGTGTAAATGTTAAATCTCGTTAAGCTGCTGCAGGTGTGGCAAGATATGTAGGTCACTGAGAGAGAGACAGAGAGACAGACAGACAGACAGGTAGATAGATGGATAGATAGATGGATAGATAGATAGATAGATAGATCGCAGTGGTTCTCAACCTGTGGCACATGTGCCAATGATGGTTCTTTCTGGTGGTGTGCTAGATTTTTTACTTTGAATTATGTTTGTAAAATATTGGAGATATTTTAAGAAACACTGTCCTGTTTTCTAATGTGCTTGATTTTTTTTTTTTTAAGTCTGTTTATGCCAGCGGAGTCCATCCACCAACAACCAGAAAGTGCAGCCTTATTAGTTTACAGTGGCTGCTGGGGCAAAAAATATGACGTAAGGGCTCATGATATAACAGATAATACATCAATTGTTATTTTAGTCAAATTTTATAGTTAATAAATAATGTTTTTTAATTTGTATTTACTGTCAGTCAAGACTGACCAAACTTTGAGACCACTTTCTGACCCTACAAGGTCTACATTTTCTCCTGAAAGAGAATTTTTGTCCCACTTTTTCTTTATTGGAACTTAGTGCCCCTAGTGGAGGTACATAAATAAAGCAGCAAGCTAGTGTTGATCAGGGGGAGAATATTAATGCAAGGAATTGCCCTGCAGAGATGAGTGGGTAGAAGTGAACCTGCTGACACTAGCACAGGTGTTGGTGTGTGTGTGTGTATAAATTACCATTTATATGTTTCTTTAACCTGGGAACGTCAACAATTCAGTGACTTTTAAACTGTTTTTTTAATGTTATGAATAGTAATAGTAATAACAAACACATTGAGTTAAAAAATGAAAAATAAAACTAAATGGATCAGAAACTGATCAATCTCAAAAAAACCCTCTCTCCATAAAACCATCAGATCACTTTTGCCTTTGCCTGGGACACTGACTTCTAAAGGTTCCAAATATCACAGACGTATCAAGTTTAGTCAACACTCATCTGTTTTTTTTTTGTTTTTTTTTTTGCAGTGTCCCTAGTCTTCTCAGTGTCAGCAGAGTCAACCAATGTGAAGTGTGAGAATGTTTACAAGGACTTCTCCGACTGTGTCCTGGAGCTGGGGGAGAGCATGGACAACTATCAGGAGAATGTGACCAGTCAGACAGGAGTGGCAGCAGTGTGCAGGTAAGGACAAGGGCATTTCTGATCTGCACCACTGTGCGTAAAATCATTTTTTAGTCTGTTTTTTTTAATCCAGGTGCAGTTTTAAATCTGAGAGGCACAGAGAAGAATTGAATGGTGCTAAGGTATCAGGGCATTGCTTTAAATAATTTATGACTATGGTGCAGCAGAAATGAAAATCCAGGGACCTCCTTTGTCATTGTTACTGCCTGCACTCTCCAAACCAAGCGTAGAATATTGTAGACAAAGATTTATTCACAGGCAGGCTGTTAAAAATGCCCGCTTACAAATCATCTGTGATATTGTTTCATTCTGTGATGCGGTTGCCATGGCAATAAAAGCACAGTTTAAATGACTGAGAACAGCTTGGACCATCTGAGACAATCAATAGATTATTGGCACGCAATATTAATTCACCACAGCCGGTGCACTTGAAACAGGCGGGATGACTACGGAAGAAAATGCCAGATGCAGAGTTAGTCTAACGACCCTTTCTTTGGCACAGCCACTGGGAGACTTTCCACACGTGTGCCCTCACAGCGCTGTCCGACTGTCAGGAGGAAGTCAGCTCCATCTGGGAGACGCTGAGGCAGGACTCCAGGAAGATGCGCTTCCAGGGAAGTCTGTTTGACCTTTGCAGCCCCAGCTTCGCTCCCAGCATATGTTCCCATCTTGCTGGCCTGACTCTCCCGCTGATGCTGATCGTGACTGTGTCTAACTCGATATAGACTGAGTGTGGGTGAGGATATGGGTGAGGAAGCTCAGACTGAGTCTTCCTGAGTTCTAACTTAAGCCTTGGATTAAAGTGACAATGTTTTAACATGGATTTTTATGACAGAGCACCAGAGGAAGATAAGTCAGCGATAGTTCAGATGAATCATGTTTAAATCCCGACACACACTTCACTTTCACTGGTACAGCCACAAAGAAAAAGTCAGCGACAGATTTATCTCTGGTATTCACCTCTGGGACAAACTGAGCAGCATAAGACTGCAAATCAAACGTCTCCCACAGGGACATTGCCATTGAACATCGTAACATAACATATGTGGGATCTGTTCTCCAAACAAACTGAAAAAATAGGGCCCATATTTGACCACATTAATGACCAGACAAATGCAGATGAACTCCCTCAGAACTGAACTACAAAATTAGGAACATCTGGGATGTCGAATTCCAGTCCAGTGAAGGGGCTAAAGCAAGGACATAAGTCTTGATTTCATTATGAGAGTGATGCCGGGCGGACGACTTGAAAACTATGTCACCACCTTACAAAAAAACCTAAATTAAATTAGACCATAGTTTTTGGATTTCACGAATAAACATACTACTATCGCTATCCTAAATTTAACCAGTGTGTCACACTAAGCAGTCCTGACTTTTTTTTGTACAAAATATTGAGAACTGGTTTTTTTTTCATACACTGTACAACCTAGGGGCCATGATTCAGTTCTTATCGACAGAACAGTGATGGACATCACATACCTGTATGTCTTAACATTCTATCAATCAAAGCCGTAGCTACTGTATGAAGAAAACAACTACATAAGGTTCAATTTAAGAAAAAGATAAATGGGCATTTCACCGAAAACAGCAGCATCCAAACCAGACACCAGTGCGAGATAATCCATTATGTCCAATATGCAATAAAAAGAGAAATGTTCGAACATAGGTTTTCCAAATGATATGACAATCAAGTCTGTTGTATTTGCTCTCGACTATTTTAGCTCATTCTGGCTACATGGCTGCCAAAAACAGGTATCAGTTTTGGCAACATGTCTGTCTGGTCTCCATGTCTGTAATAGAAGAAAAAAAATTCACAGTTTTTTTTTTAACTGACTGTTGGCTTGTATGTTTGTCTGCCAAACCTCTTAAGTGTGCTGTATTGTACACAGTGTAATGACAATTTCACCACAGATTACCACAGCATGGCAATTCACCATATGTTACACAGTAAAGAGCTGTTTGTGCATAATAATCCAGAATCAAAAGCATGATTTGTGGTGTTGTACGTATGTATCACTGTATCTAAATTTGAATAATGCCCAATTTAGACAATTATTACGCATTCATAAAATTCAAATTTTTTTTTTATAAATGTAATTTTGTACCAAATGTTTTCAATTAGCTTTCTACCAATTGAAGCAGTAAATAACACTGAAACCAAACCTAATATATATATGACATGCTGCCCTGGTTGAGTATTCTGCTCAGAATTGTTAATAAGCAGAACAACTTGCTCAGGTTCGTAGCAATTTGAATCTGTCTATAATAAATAGATGTAAAAATTAGCAAGACAAAACACTTTGAGAGACATTAACCTAAGTCACAATATTAAACGGTGGGAATATTTACTTAGGATTCAGAGCAAATTCAAAACGTATCAGCATTAGCATTGATCCATCTCACCATATGACAACGGCCCTGAACGTATTTCACCTCATGTATTTTAACTACAAATGCATGACAGTTTGTGTGTCACTTTGTACCTTGGCTGATGTGTAGTGGAAATGATCAGTGCATGAACTTATGCTAGCTCCGCAAACATCATACTATGAGCATGTTTGTTTTTGTTTTTTCTTTCATCCTTGTTTCACCAGTGGCAGGATGTAATCATGCCTTCCAGGTGGCCAGATTATGAGACTAGCCGCAGTCTCCTGTAAGCATGAGCAACATGTATGGTGACTCACTGCAATCCTGTTTTGGTCTTTTTCCATGTTGTGCTATTGAAGGAAGCATGAAAACGACTGTGTTGTGATCGGAGCAAATTGTTGTCATGTTCCCTGAAGTCATTCCAATCAAACTTCTGAATGTCAGTGTTAGCCATGTGGTATTTTTTACAAGCTGATAGAAAAGCACAGTATTTACAGGACTGCACTGTATAAAGCAATATATGCCAATATTTGTAGTAATAAAGCACCATGTTTAAATTTGGTGTGTGTGTGTGTGTGTGTGTGACATGTTGAATCACTAGTAAACAGTTTTCCATGGCATTTCCATATAGGGAATGTCACATTTATTAATCAATATAAAGATAATGCTGGTGCCACCACTGCCGCATTACATCAGTATTGGTTGAAATCCCAATCAGAAATTAAGCGATAGCATGTCAGATATCAACAAAACGGAAAAAAAAACTATTTATAACCTAATTTACTATTTTAGCTTCGACCATAGCATCTTACTTTGGGTTCCAGCAGAAGAGTCTGTTTAGTGTTATGGTCAAAATTGGTTATTTCTATAAAGTACAAATGTGTGAACTGGTATGACAAGGGGTCAAACGAATCAGTGTTTTTTCCATTTACAGATTACACACCACAGCCTTAATTGCAGCTCTGGGTGTTCTTCTGTGGACAAATGACAAGTTCATTTCTGTTTTGTTCTACACCATGTGTGTTGGTAATGAGGATGGACCAGGATTCGTCCACTCATTAGTGTTCTCCCATCTGCCTTCTTCCACCTGGACACTGAACAGCAAGGCAGTGGTGGGAGAAAATAAGCCGTCAGAGCCCGAGGTGGACAACAACAGACACGCTCCGGGTTTGCCCTTCACTAGAGAGGCTTCTTTTTTTTTGTCCAGAAAACAATGGTCATTTTTCCAATGTAAATTTAGTTTTAGGGTTGTCAAAATGTCTGCCTTAATTATTTTGAGAAAGAAAATCAGTCACGCTGTATATACAATAATTCTACTATGGAATTGTGTGCTCTAACACACACTCCATACACACGTCATTTACACAAACAGCAGGGAAGTTTCACTCAAGCTTAAAATACCATTGACTGTATCTGCAGTTATTGGTCTTTCTGTTCCACCAGTGTAAGGGAGGGAAGGTTTTTTGTCATTTTTAGGAATAATGATGTATCTGGTTTTATCCAAGTTAATTATGATTAATTAGGATTAATCGTGAATAATCAAAATAACCAAGTGGTTTTATTCTGTCTACAACAAACAAAACAAGACGTTACTCTTATAATGCACTCAATATACTGCACAGTTCCCACCATCGACACCCGAGCAATGCCTAACTTCTTTTATCAGTTGTTTCAAAGTATGTTTGAGAAAAACACCCGAGCAATGCCTAACTTCAGTTGTTTCAAAGTATGTTTGAGAAATTTTCAGAGGCTCGTTTCAGCACTTTTAACAAGTCAACAATCAGTGGATGATGGTAACAATGTAGCCATGTTTTCTGCAAACAGTCCTTACTAAAAGAAAAAAACAACACCCCTAAAAAGACTGTTAAAAAGGGCTAAAGACACTGACATGGAGACAAAGAGAATGAACCATAGCCCAAGAGGAAAAAATAAAGTGTAATGTACATGTAGTCAATGGTTGTGGTGAGAGCTGATTTCATACACAAGCTTGTTTAAACGAATGTTCGTGTGTATGTGCAGATATCCACAAAAAGAAAATCAAGGTATAATTTTTTTCTCAGCTTGTATTAACCATCTCTATTGACACAGAACTAATGTAACAGCACTGCAGGAAAGATACTACAGAACTGACAGTGAGTGCCAGTGTCCTCACTATTACATTATATACACAATCTAAAGGATTGACATCTCTTTTTGGCTCTCATATTTGAAAATTAGCTTTGGTAGCAGTACCACTACCGACCAACAGAGGTCGACTCTGTAGCTCTATAGACCTTAATTCAAAATTACAAACCTGACTTATGGCATACCCACAATGTCTTAACATCTAATCATAGAACTTCTGAAGTTGTATCAGTAAATACTAAACATGATATAGTTGGTGGTAATCTGCGCAGGTTTAAAAAGTAGGCACAATTTCCCAGTTCTATGTAGTTAATGCATCTCCTGATTCGTTTTATATTTTTATTTGTCAATAAAAAAGTTTAAAAATGAAAAAAATTGAATGGAAAGGGAATGTGGGATTTAGACTAATGTACATAATTATGGGCTATAGTTTTTCAGAAAAAAAACCCCCAAAAACTTGCAGTTGTTAGTTCCTGAAAAGTGTCACCTGGTGTCTGCATTACTCACCGATCTCAATACACAACAGAGTTAACACTGTCAGGTATTTAATGGACACAGAATAAATAGTTCGATTAATGGTCCTCAAGTGTGATTCTTGACAACATTAAACATACAACAATGGAGGTTTGTGTTCCTGTTCATTTACCAATAGTAAAACAGTCTCTTTTCTGCATCAGTTTCTAGAGGTTTAACCATCCACAGATGTTCACTATGGTGTCCACAAGACCTCACAGGTTAGACTTAGGTCCGGTGTTGACTGGTATGGCCCTCAGCTCAGTTCGCATGCACAGGTACTCTCCTATGACTGACATCAAGGCCATGCAGGCAACATTGACCAACCACCAGGAGAGGACAGCAGGGAAATGGGAATTATAAATCCAGCAGCCAATCATGTGGAAAAAATGCACTGTGACGGTGAAGTCTAAGCATTGTTTTCCTCGACGAACGAAGAACCAAAGACCAAGGGCACTGTGCAGAAAAAAAGAGCACAGCAGTATGTTATAAGCCGCAGTTGGCTTTGTTTAAGGAAAAAAATAGAAGAAGAATGATTTTCTACATATTGCCAATCCACAATCTATACAATCAACAATCAACATTAACAGCCACAGGGGCAAGGAAAGGTTTCACATAATATTTTGCTGACAAATTTGTATTTGTCAGCAATAACAACTGTAAAGATTCTCACAAATAACACACTCACAACACTAGGAAACCAGCTACACTTGACTGGAGGCCATGCCTGGAAACAGTACAATATGGACTAAAAAGGACTCCCCATTGTGTATCAAGAGTGCAAAACTTTTGTTTTTTTACCATAAACACTATTCAGTCACATTGGCAATGAATTACTTTTACTTTTTAATTATTGCTTCACACACTATGTTGCAGCATCAAAAATGCACCTTAGGACTGATTCAGTTTGGGCCAAAACAACATGACATTCATAAATAAAATGTGCCTTTTTTCAACGTTTTCTCAAATGTCTTCTCTAATGGGTTTAACCTGTCCATTTCTTATTTTACATTTTAACCTGTCCATTATTTCTTATAAACAAAGACTTACCAGGTGAGTGAGTTCAAGATAAATGCCATCATTGAAAGTCTCCCTTGCATTGATGCAAAACCAAGGGCCTGCGACAACAGAACAAAATACATGAGATCTACTTCAGGAAAGCACAGATGTTTTTTTAAACTGCATATTATCTTGAATCTTACTTCATAGCTGAAGATCTGGTCTAGCGACTGACTGGTTGGCACCAAACTATCCACACCAACCATCCACAAGCCCAAGAAACTGTAGTAGATGCACTGCATCAAGAGAATCTGAGACACTATAAGGACTGGGTCCCAGATGTAGCTTCGGAAGTGGCTGGCCATTGTGTTATGCGTTGGCCCAAAGGATAAAAACAGCTGGTCTTAACTGTTATCAGCCTGCCATTAGGTATGTTCTGTTTGTAAACAAAAAAAACACAAAAGTTAAATAGTATTTACATTTTAAGTATTTTATGCATATTAGGAAAAGAACTAGCAAATTCCAAGTACATGACAATTTCCTAGATTATACAAATATTATTTAGTTCTAATGAAAGACAAAAACAAAATAAATTAAACAACTCTTTCTTCTCTCTGCTGATTGGCCATTATTTTGGACTTTGGTCTGAACTTTACTTCACAAAACAAGAGAATAAGGAATTAATTCCGATGTAACCATATGGCCCCAGTTTAGGCGTGGTGGTAAAACTTTTACAGTTATTTTGAGATTATGTAAATAATGTAATTTCTTTTGTATGCTAAAGAAATAGAACCATTTTAATCTTACTCTAGTGATAACAATTTAACGTGCAATTTCGTTTTTGTTGCACTGACTACCTACTTAACTGAAGTTTGAAATTCGCGGTAATCTCAGTTCATATGTGGGGAGACACATTTGCTGCTTCTGTTTACTGTTTTCTCAAAACAAAAACCGCTGCCGCTAATGTGAACTTAATACGTAATTAATGTAATTAATAATGTAATTACTCATGTATTACATAATTATGTGAATTTTAACGTGTGAGTAGTAAAGCTATTTGGCATGTCTCACAAGAAGACTAACCGAACTCACGATAAACGGTATCGTGTGTTCGGTTAGTTGTCACGAATACATTTAAAAATCTGCTAATGACGATGTTAGCCAATGACGTAGAATGAGCAACATCCTTTAATGGAACGTGTTTTCCTAATATAACGAAAACTGTACTTACTAACGATGACAAGACAAACCAATGCTTCTAACATCATTAGGTAAATTAGCACCACAACAACACAATTAAAGACCGCCAGTTATCAGGCTATATTCTTCCTAAAACAGAGAACACACACACCTGAATAATGTACGTCGAGGCAGCTGACGTTTACATGAACTCCACTCTTTACGTTGGTATCTTCTTTTAAACAAACATGACGTTATCAACTCAGGCCTCGCTAATGTACTGCTGAGAATCGCTGATCAACACGGAAGTCTGGCTTATGACCCCGGAAAGAAAACTCCACTTTTTAATTTTCTTCTTCTTCTACTTCCTCCTCCTCCCCGGTCATGGTGTAGAAGAACAAGCTCAACGCTGCCCTCCACCGTCAGCCAAACTAAAATGACTCTACATTGACATGGGTTTCAAACTCGAAGGATAAACAACTGCGTTATGTACACACAAACAAGCAGACGTTCAATTATACCCTATTGCTTTTCGTTCTTTTTCGAAAACAGTAACAAAAAATAGACCAGACCCCTTTCCATGTTTCAAATTAGAGCCTGCAAGGAATCACTCCGACAGCCGTGTCCATGTACAGTTTTAATGTCAGCAGAAACAGACCATAAGCGTTATTTTTGCTTTTATTTTATGTGAAACATGATCTAAGTTGGCATTATTATGCTCAATTTTAAAAGGGTGATAATAAGATAGTAAGTTAATTGAAGTTCATATTTTTTAAAAGTATAAAATGTTGATGCGCTTAAAATAACCTGTATTTTGTAATGGCATCTGCATTAAGCAGCTATAATAAAACATACTTTAATTGAGTTTTACAGAAGTCCATTTGTCGAGTTTTTTCTTATGAGTTTTGCAAATCCCTACAATTCTCGAGACACCTAAATTACTCTCGGAGCTAAAGAAAACGTCACAAAAAGTTCACGCGCTTACGTCTGTCGCGTGTTTTTTATCTTCATAGTTACATTTTCTGCATGGGTTCATCGTTATCATATGTTTATAAAATTCAAAAACACTGGGAGATTTCGCGTTTTTCACCTCTTCAGTCACAACCGAGTTTCCGTAAGATAAGGTTAGTACAATGCAATAAACCGTACACACATGCAATCTATTCGATCAATAAAATGTTCCGAAATTAAGTTTGACCCCAAGGCTACTGATCGAAAAACCTTAACATGTGGACCATCATCAAATTATGGAGTTTCTAAAGTTATTATCTTACTGAGTAAGTATAGACTAATTTAGTTTAGACTAATATAGTCCCTGACTCTCTCTCTCTCTCTCGGGGTAGCTGAGCTCACATAATGTCCCTCCCCCTTTATAAGATTTGGCAAGATACTGAATGGGTCAAAGGTAGTCGTGAGTTTTTACCCCATTGCTTGAGCTAATCTTCAACAGATATTGTAGTTTCGGTCCAACCAAAGAGTTGTTGCAGCTGAATCATTTAACAGTGACAGAGCATTTCTGTTTTCTCTCACATAATGTATTACCTCTCCGTTGACTGACACTGGTCTTAACAGGTCAAACAGAAAGACTGTCATGCTGGGACGACGTACTATGGCAGCTGTACTACAGCGAATGCTCCCAAAAACATTGCCAAGTGTCTGTTTAAATAGACAACTGGCAAGATGGCGTCACACAGGGGGTGAGAATAATACGGTTTTGTTATTTCATCCGTACATGGAAGCATTTGTCAAATATTTAGAGAATATTTATATTTAGAGAAGTTATCCAGCATAGAATGTAATCCTACGTTTACCTGGAGGAACTGTGTTAGGAATGTGTGTTTTTTCACAAGTTTTGTGATTTAGCTCTAGTCATAATGATATGTTAAATATTCCCGTGACTGTGTTCTATGAGGTGTGTCCCACAGTAAGCATGCACTGCTGTGAAAACAAACCTGAAACGCCATTGATTCATTATTATATAAACCGTGTCGGTTTAAATTGACATTGTTTATGATTTAGCCAAATTTAATAGTTAAATTATATCTTGTTCATATAAAATATAAACAGATAAAGTAAAAGTAAAAAACTAAAATGCTCGTTGTATTATTCCTCAAAACTATGGTACAAATACACGGTGTTACTTGGGTTCCCTCTAGTGGTTAATAGTCTGATTGCCGTTAGAGCTCCGTTAATATTAGAAATATATTTTTTTATATAATTTTCTGTTTAGTGATTATTAATATTACATGACTTCACCGTTTTACCTGTGTAAATGTAAATGTACTGTGCAGTACAGAAGTTGAGCAGCTGCAGACCAGCTCCGGTGTTGACAGCTTCACCAGTTCGTGCCATATTAGATGAACACACGTGCATAAAGGGGCATTTCCTGCCTCCACACTGTCCAGTGACACTTCATGCACACATGTATAGTGAAGACGGTGACCTGTGGGAGGCTTTCGCCCATTACAACACAAAACCAGATGGCACCATCAACTGTGAGTTGTTGATGGACCCTGTTTTCTTTTATGTTTCCACATGTTGTTTATCTGATATCTGAATGTAATTCCAGGCATATTTCACAGTACCTTGTCCTCCATTCTTGTTTCTTCTAATAGTGACCAGGGACCATTCAGTTGGAGGTTCATATTTGGGCTGTGAGCCAATGGGACTCTTCTGGAGTCTGCAACCAGCACCTGGAGGAAGAGAAGGTTTGAGGTGAAATGACCTGGTGTTGCAATCTTTCCTAAGTTAATCTTTAAAGCGAGGACAGAGCCCACTCCAACTTTATCCAGCCAACAAAATGTCAAAGAAAAACCTTCACAGCTCTGCAGTCCATATCTGTCTTCTGGTGTGAATGTTCATCCAAATCCAAATCAGTGTCAAAGACCTTTCACAGTTCTGCAGTCCATATCTGTCTGCTAGTGTGAATGTTCATCCAAATCCAAATCAGAGGGGAATTTTAGGCCAAAACCTTACAGCAAATATGGGCAAGAATTGCAAAACAGTAACTTGCCTGTTGTTTGTTTCCACAGGTTTAGAATGTGTGAGTATTGAGCAGAGATTTTACTCAGTGAAAAATAAGTTTTAATGTGTGAGTATTAAGCAGAGATTTTACTCAGTGAAAAATAATGTATTAAGCAGAGGTTTTACTCAGAACAAGATCTCACTGTACACCGTGTTGCAGGAATCAGTTTCTAAATTACTGTTTTTTTGTATTGGCGCTGATGTGATTGTTTATGTGTTCTCTGCTTACAGACTGAGGAAGAAAAACGTAGAAACTCCTTTTGTTGTGAATATTTCTCTCTTGGATGGTCATGTCTCACCCAGTGAGAGACAGAGAGCTGAGCTGGCCACTGTGACAACCGAGCGCTGGTACATGGCACCAGGTGTAAAAAGAATCGAAATTCGACAAAATGGAATTGTAGGGACATTATTCCTACCTCCTGGTGAGAACCTGAGCGTAATGAGAGATTTCTGAGAAATGTTCTTGCTGTAATATATTTGTCATCATCTGCCCTGACATCTTATAGGTCCAGGTCCATTTCCAGCCATGTTGGATCTTTGGGGAATGGGTGGAGGATTGGTCGAGTACCGCTCTGCCCTGTTTGCATCCAGGGGTTATGCTAGTATGGCTCTTGCCTACATAGGTCACAAAGATCTACCTGGTCCATCCAACTCTGTTAATGTCACCAATTCCTATTTCAAGGTAGGGTTAGATACACTTCTCTTGCCAAAACATCAATCTGTGAATATTTCCTAAAAATGTCCGGTTGTTCTGTTTGAACAGTCGGCCTATCAGCTGCTCCAAGACCATCAACAGATTTGTGCTGACAGAATTGGAATCATTGGTCTGTCATTTGGAGTGTATCTGTCTCTACGTATCGCCACCAAACTTGGCGTTAATGTATGTCTGAATCTCCATAGATAATTTATTCCCTTTTTGTTTTTTTATTTTGTTTTGCTACTGTAAAATTGGCTATTTTTATTTTTCTTATTTCCCCAGCCATCGTGTTTAATTTGTATCAACGGACCTGTAGGAAGTACAGTCAAGCTTCGAGATGAAGACGGAAGGACTGAATGCAATGAGATGTAAATTACTGACTGATTTGACTGTGTTCTCTTAACTGACATTAGACAAAAAGTTGATCTTTGGTTAATGCAAAGCTACAATATATCTTAGTGGTAAAAGTGACAGCTGTTATCATGTGTCCACTTGATGACAGCTGAAAGTGATGAGATCAAAACAGATGTTTTTTTTTCTTTTTGAACTTGACATCATAGTGATACAAAATATTGGACATTTGATAATGAAGGCAACGTAGGTTTCAAGGAAGTTTCCTTTCCTGATAACCTTCACCCTGAGAGCATAGTGAAGGTAATGTAACCAGTAACTCTGGTCAGGCATAAATGTACATTTTCTTTGCAATGTACTGCATATGACTGTGACAACAAGGAGCTCCTGTGTTTCTGCAGCTAGAAAAGCTCACCTGCCCATTACTGTACATAGTGGGAGAAGATGATCTTAGTGCCTCGAGCATGGACAATGCAAACTTGGTACATTCTCTCAAATCACATTTTTTTCCTTATTTAAGTAATAAATTAAGTTTGTTGCTTTGAATAACTCTGGTAAATCAATTATTTTAGATCCAGAAAACCCTGAAGGCTGCAGGGAAATCTCACCTCTTCACTCGTTTGTCTTATCCTGGTGCTGGACATTTGATCGAACCCCCTTACTCACCCAATTCAAGAACGTCCTTTTGGAGCGTCAAACCCATAAAATGTGAGTTCTTTACATTTTGTATGACGATCAACTGCTTAAATATGTCATTAATAAAAAAAAATTCCAAAATAAACAAAAATTGTTTTCCTGCACTGCAGTGGTCACTCTGTGGGGAGGTCATCTCGCACCTCATGCAGCTGCCCAGGAAGATGCCTGGAGGAAAATGTTGGCTTTCATGCAAAATAACCTAAGACGGTGAATCTGTTTTGTGCCGTTGACCTTTGAGACAGAGACAATTATGATATTCTGCATTAATAACTTAGGTTATTTTTGGCATGAATTCCAACCACCATACAATTACAGTTATTTATATTTCACAGAAATTAATCAGCAGCTTATATTCCGACTGGAAACCGTGAGTTGGAAAAATATAAGTGCAGTTTATACTGTCTGTACAGAGCTGGCAGAGGAGCCTCAAGGCATACACTGTATCTCCTAATAAATGAGCAGTAACCTTCAAACGTGGTGCAGCTTTATTTCCATTAAATGCTGTAGTGCTGATGCAACTAACAAGATCACATTTACACTCACACAGAGGGAGATGTTGACTGAGTTAAAACTGATTTGGAAATGCAGCAAAACATTAGCCATTTAGATCATGAGTTGCATTAGAACAGAACACAACGGCTCCATTTAAGGTAATAGGAGTAAGTCACGATGCTCTGTGATCTTTAAGATCACAACATTCACATAAACCTCTACAGAATTTGCTCAGATTTTCTTTAATGTGACTTAAATGTGTTCAGTGACCCTTTATCAAACAGACTTCTCTTGTGCTTTTCTTCACTTTTGTTGGTTTGTGGTGAAGAGTTCGTGGCATGCTGAGGTGACCATGGAGATGAGCGTGATGAACTCTTTAAAGTCAATCTCCAGGTCTCCATTCTGGTCCAGGTCTGCAAAGAGCTCATCCAGAGTGTCATTCTCACATATTTTCTGTTGAGCCAAAAAAAAAATCCCCAAATTAAATTAAATTACATTTAGTCAGAAAATATTATTCAACTGTTACTAGAAAATTGATTACTCATTTAGCCATTGTTTATCTGCTGCTTTCACCCTTTTAATGGTCAACAGAACAATATAATCTATATTATTAAACCTGGTTGAAAAAAATGCAAAAACTAAACTAAACAAAAATATTAATTTAATAAAAATGGTAGGAATTGATAAGAGTCCCTTAATCCATGACCATGTACTTAAAATGATACATGCAACTAGGATGTGAAATTATCATAAATAATCAAAAAGAACACTCACTTCAATAAAACTTTACAAACTTTTCATGCTGTCTAAAAGACAAAAATCTATACTGTACCATAATAAAGTGATTCATCTCATTGTTGATGAGTTCCTTCAGCTCAGTTTTTTTCAGTTTGCATTTGTGCCCGGAGTACTTGTGAAAAACCTTGATAATGGTCACCATGCCACTCTCCAAATCTGACATTCTCTCTTTTGACGCCTACAACAAACAGTTAAAAACATTAGATACCAATATACAGTATTTTAATGTAAAAAAGGGATGTTAAAATCATGTTTACAGAGAAATCCTGGATGTATAGAAATGAAAAAAGGATATCACAAGAATGTAGTCATTCTTACCTCCATCTGAAGGATGTTCTTGTCTCGTGAAGACGCTGTGTTTGACTGATTCAAGCTCTCAGCAGTCAGTCGACTGCCTCACCCAGTTTTCTGTGGTCACTAAAATATATTGATCAACCACTTCCGATGGTATCCGGCTTGCATTTTGTAATGTATGGCTAATGGATCTGGATTGGTCAGAGACTGGTCCAAAAACGTTTAAGCAACATTAATGAAGTTTCTCAATTTCACTCTCTATTCCATCTTGAGGTTTCTCAGAGTGTGCTCTCCCTTTTGATTCTTTTCAAATGGAGTCTGTTCCGAGTTACACATAAGCTCTGTATTTAAAACTCAAAGGTTGTTACTGTATTTTGATAATAAAAAATGATGCCCAGTATACATTATAAACCATGTTTCCCCATTTATTTATGATCATAGATATAGAGAATATACTTGGCTAGATAACACTAATGCTGATTGCATTATTAGTTGTGGGCTCATTTTATGGGCCGGTATTGGTCCTGCTGTGTTTTTGAAAAGCTCTAATGTATGGTGAACCTCGTGGTCAACCTGTACGTTGTCATTAAATTGTTATCCACTATAATACAACTGATAGTAATACATACTGTAGTGTAAAAATGTTTTTAAGTATCAACAAATCCAAAGCGAAGTATCATCTTAATCCAGATATAAAGTAGTGTGTTTTTTCTTGTAAAACCAAAACGTAAAAAAAAATCATACTTTAGTACTATTGAATAAAATGTTTTTTTAAACATATAGTTTTTGTAATACCAATATATATTGTTCTAATCATAAGGAGGCAAACGCCATAGTTTATAGTTCTCATTTAAACGGGATTGTGAACGCACCGCTGTGCTACTTCCTGTTGACCATACCTTATCACACACTCCGCCTTTCACTGACGTTCGTTTCCGCACCCAGTGCTGCTTTTCCGGGCTGTGGGCTGAACCCCCGCCCGCTCTCCCTGGCTGTGACCGTACTGACGTACAGAAAACCCGGAGCTGACGCTTCGTTATGTAAATGAACTGCACTCAGGTCTTTGCTTCCAAGTCACACACAACCTCTTTTGACTAACGAAATCACCCGCGTTTGGACACTTTAGTGTTGTGGACAGACACAGAGCTACCGAGAAGGACGTTGGAGAAAGACACCAGCAGTGTTCGGTAAGAACTGCTGTCATTTTCCATTGGGTTTGTCTCTCCCCCCCCAACCCCCCCCTTTCCCTGACGTTGGAATTCCTCCACTACGTATTTGTACGTGTTTGTGTACAAAGCTAAATTCTTTTCAGCCGTATTCAGCCAGCGATGCGTTCAAATACCTGACATTAAACTACGTGAGTTTCACACAAGCCTATGATTTGCCTCTCCCGGGGCGTTCTCTTGATTACCTTTCACCGCAGGTATTATCGCGTTTTAACACTACGTTGTCAAATATTTAAGTATCAATAAAAAGAGAGTGTCAGTAAATACACCATTAGTACACTCTCCAAAATAGTTGTTACTATTAACAATAACACAATAATTGAAAAAAGACTTGAACACATGAATCCACTTCATCTACTGCAGGGGTCGCTGTAATTGCAGTTTAAATACTGGAGGACATGAGTTGAGGTCACTGTCAAAACATTGGTATTTATGTAGGTCTATTTAACTCATCCTATTAGCGAATATGAATATAAGTTACTTTATGTATTTGTTCCTACATTTGCAAATATATCAATAAATACAATAAAAATAATAATACGTAACTATTTTTATTGTTATTAACAAGTGGTATAGTTCTCAAAATATGTAGGATTTTTTTAGGGTATTTGACAGACTGGCAGAGATGCTGAAAGTGTCTCTCCCCCCTACCCATGGATCCCTTTTTCTTTTTTTAGGAATTGTCCTGTTTCAGTTTTGATGCTATAATTAACACAGCATGAAAGATTGACCTGCTTTTTCCCTCACTCTGAGAAACTCTGAACACGTGAAGAATTATCACATAAAACGGCATCAAAATATTACACAATCTTGTCCAGGTATATTTTGTATACTTATTTTTTATTTAATTCAAAGATGATACAGATAATCTCAGCTAATACTAAACCTCTGTAACCTCTGTAACCCACTTTATTCTCCCTCTGAGCATCTGCCACTCAGCAGTCAGAGTCACCTACGGGGGCCTGTGTTTTCAGTCTTCCCTGATCCTGACCCTGGTGCTCTTTCTGGTGCAGGCATGGCTGATCTGCTGAGGCTGCTGGTACGCGTGGCTGAGAAGGCAGCCAATGTGGCTCGGGTGTGCAGACAGGAGGCGCCGCTCTTTCAGCTCCTCATACAGGAGAAGACGGGAGAGGACAAGAACAAAAAGTTTGTCCAGGACTTCAAGACTCTGGCTGATGTGGTGATCCAGGAGATGATCAGGCATGATGTTGGTGCTCAGGTAGTAGAGATTATCAGTAATGGCCTACAGAGTATCAATGTATAAACACAGTGTTTTTAACCTAGTCGTCCTGTTTGTTTTGTTTTTTTTGTGCAGTTCCCTGAAATGGTTGGCTTCATCCATGGAGAGGAGTCCAACAAGTTTGAAAATGGACTGGGTGATTATTCTAAATCCTCACAATGTACAAAATATGTCTAAAAGTAGCAGTAGTTAATTTATTGTCCCATTAATTTGCCATTTATTGACATATTTCCTAAAATAACTTTTTATTAAATGTGCTTATTATGACAGTAAGAATCACGATTCTCTGAAGCCTAAGATGTTTTTTTTTTCTCCACAATGCTTTAGCCACAGATGCTCACACTTCCTGACACCTAATTAAAAAGACAAAGCCTTAAAACCAATCCATAATTAAGATTCTCGTGCTACTTTGTGAACATATTTGTGATTTGTGGCACAGAACTAAACCCAGACCTCACTGTCTGTGTTTACAGGAGAGTGTGTGACCATCACAGTCTGTGCAACAGAGGAGGAGACTGCAGCTCTGCTGTCCACTGTGCTGGACAGTGACCACACAGCTGCATCTCTGCTGGCTCGAGCAATCCACCAAGACCCAGCCACCACTGACGCCAGCACAGACGGACTGACGGTTCCTCTCCGCCCCTCAGAACTTGGCATATGGATCGACCCGATAGGTGAGAGGTTCTGTGTTTTCTGTTCGGGTGTCGTTTGCTTTTCTGAAAGCAGAGCTGAAGATTTCACCGGAGTTGTTTTTAATTTAGATGCCACCAGTCAGTACATAGAGGGCAGAGAGGAGGTCCTGGCGGAGGGTCACCTCTCTCCCTCGGGGCTGCACTGTGCTCTGGTTCTGATCGGGGTTTACCTCCGGAACACAGGTGAACCAGTCATGGGTGTCATCAACCAGCCATTCAACTATAAAGATCCCACAGATGGACGGTACGTTTTTAAAAAATCTAAAAAAAAATAGTTCTAGTGTTTACATATATGTATATATTGTACATATAAATCAGTGTTCAGAGTTATCAGAGTTGTTGGATCTAGAGTTGTGGAGAAGTGGAGAAAATTTGAGATATTGCAGTAACTGTCAGTCAGCTGTACTGTGTTCCTCTTTCCTGAGTCTGGTTTCTATTAAAATACCTGTGGCTGTTTTACAGTTGGAGGGGAAAACACTTCTGGGGTGTGTCCTTCAGTGACATCAACATCTGCTCCTTGTCTCCACCTAAAATTGGATGTGCAAAGGGGCAGGGTCTGTCAGTGGTGCTGAGCTCCAGTGAGAAGCAGGTGGTAAAAGAATCTTTAACTTCGGTTTGTGGCCCTGAGAAGCTGATGTACGCCTCTGGAGCCGGCTACAAAATCCTCTGTGTCATTCAGGGTCTGGCCGACGCCTACGTCCTCTCAGAGGGCAGCACCTTTAAGTGGGACTCCTGTGCTCCCCATGCCCTGCTCCGAGCGCTCGGAGGGGGAGTGGTGGACCTGGCCAAGAGTCTGGAGTCCAGCTGTGAAGCACAGAATCACCTGACAGAACTGAACTATCACCAGCCTCACACTGAGCGTAAAGGAGCTGACCGCTGGGCCAACCACGGAGGCCTGGTGGCTTACAGAGACTCTTCTCAGCTACACATCATCATCCAGGCTCTGAGAGGCAAGTTGTAAATGGACCAAAAAAAAATCAGCATTCACTGCAGCAGTTAATTATATGATCGTATACTTAATACTAAATAATACTAAATCATGGACAAGAGGTATTTTAAATATATGGAGTTCGTAATTTGAATGTTTTATGTTACATATGCAAGGTATGTTTAAAAAAGGCTATATTTCAGGTCTGGTATCAAACAGTTTTTGTTTTGTATCAGAGGTTTATGTTGTAGAGGTTAGGCTCTACACAAAGATAAGTAAATTATAAAAGGATATAAAGATGTCCATGGGTTAAAAAGCAAACTGCCTTCTCACTGTATTTCTGATTTTATATTACACAAAGATGTATCCAATAAATATTTAATTTACATGTCAGATTTTTTTAAGGAAAAAAAATGCTTACTGTCATGTTATTGATTATTTCTGTTTTATCATTACACTGATTCCTGACCACGCTGAGTGATCACCAGGTGTACTGTGGTAAATCTTCCAATCTGCTGAATGCTGATTACACGACAGGGATTAAAACTGAAATTAGACTTTGCTCAGGAATCTGTACCACTCACAGAACCTCCTTTTAAGGAGCAGATTACCACACGTCCCGCCTTCTCTCCAAAGCTCTAACACGCTCTGTTATAAGGTCAGAGAATGGAAAAGACTAACAAGGCGTTAAGTAAAATAGGAGTTCAGATTAAAATGTTCAAGGAAATTTAGGCAAAAATAGAAACGTGTAACTTCACCCTGACACTCAGAGTGCAGTGGTCTAAAAGACAGAACACATTAAACAGTTTATAGGAAATAATCTTTACTTTGAAAACCAGAGAAAGCGGGGAAACGAAACCCAACAGCGAGATTTCAAAGTGTTTTCTAGCAAGGGAACTCTCCACACGTTATCATTCCCTACAAAAGACCCTGATGATTGTCGGATATTTTTTTGCAATACATCTGCATATTCTCTTGAGAAGAAAAGAAAGAAGAAAAAAGCAGGTGCTTCCCCTGTGACTTCTTGGACTTTGAACTGCTACCTCCGATGAACAGAACTTGACAATCTCATGTCCGAGTGGACTTGTCAGAACCACAGGGACTGACAGCAGTTCTAATGTAAATGTGGGAAGAATCATAAAAAAAATAAAATAATACAAGCTGCTGAATAAAAGAAAAATGAAACAAAGTTCTATTGTTCTGCAGGACAACATAAGACTGATATCTAAACTGTCAGTCCTTGATCAAAGTTTAAAGTAAATCTGTAAAGAAACAACAAACGCAAACCATGATGTAAAGAAATAGAGACTATTAAATTTAGCATGCTGCTTCAATAACCTTGAGCTATATTTGAGAAATAAGTCATTTTTGAGCCTCTTAGCTCACATGCACTCTGCATAAAATGTTTCAGCCAAGTTTCAGCCAGATACCAGAGGAGAAATCTGAACGTTTTCAACACAGCTCTGTCGCCAATGTCAGTATAATAAAAGAAAACTAAACGTGAGATATTACTAGGTCAACATGAACCAGTTGTATCTAGGTTGAAGACACAACCCAGTGTTTGTACACGCAGTTGAAAATCCTCATTTCCTTTGTTTACTTATAGCAACGGTTCCTAAAAATAGGGGGCAGGCGCCAACTTCAGGGCACAAAGCTACCACTGCAGAGTCTTAGCAAGACAAATGAATATCAATTTTATAATTGACTATTTGTCCCAGAGTAGGGGACTGACACTTACATTGTACATTGTCATTGTACTTCCTTTGTTCAATGAGAATAGCTGTGTGTAGGAAGTAGTGTTTTACATTACATTTAGTAGAGTTTTAAAGCAATAGCTGTCAATGTGTCAACATGGGAGGGGTTGGGTGGGGTGACTGGTCGCAGTAAAGACATCTTTTTAAACAGATGTACGTTTCTGCCTGGACCAACACTGAGCTTATATTAATCTTGTACAATGTGGTGTTACAAACTGCTAATGTCAATGTGATATTACACTAATAACATTTTGAGCACATTGAGCAGCAACTAAAAATCTCTCTTTTTAGTTTCTTTGTCCATGTTCAAACACCTTTTACATTACTGACATTTCATCAGCTCTGTGGGTTAAAAACAACACGATTTCTCCTTAAGGTGAAGGGTAACGTTGCCTAACTTCAACTTAAAAATATTGTTTTGCAATTTTTTTGAAAGTAAGTTAAAGAAACAGTAAATAGCAGAGTGAGCGACACCACCTGGGCAGCAGAAGCTGCAGGAATCTGCATCAAACACAAATGATTCTTCAAAACCCTGTAACATTGTTACAGGCATTGGTGTGCAAATTAACACAAACCAAAGAAACAAACAAACATGGCGTTTATAATAAACAGTCATTCATTAAAAAAAAAAAGACAAACAGCCTTTTGTCAAAAGCTAAATCACCTAAGTCTCACAATCTTCACGTAATAGATGTAAACAACAACAACAGTTCTTAAATGATCCTCTGAAGATTAAAGTGTCAAACACAACAAACACTGCTCACCATGTTAGACACAGCAACACTGTGGACTCTAAAAAAAGTGAATGTGTTTGGATTCAGATTAAGATCTTCTCCTGACCTCTTGAACTGGTGTTTCCTCAGCTCTGTGATGTCACATTGTTACAAAGCAGCCAGGAACCAATGAAACAGTAGTTCCATTAGGACAAAAAATACATATGTGGTGGGGTTACTTTTACAGCAATACTTCTGCATTGATTAGCCAATTACTGGACAGTTATTCCAGTATTGTCTTATTAGCGCAGAAGTCTTTTGAAAGTCAAGTACGGCTTGAGTTTTGTAAATAAAAGAAAACTATTTCCCTGGCATCATAATTGCCAACATATTCTGATTTCAGATCAACATCTCCCATAGTTTGGATAATCTTTGGAGCAAATATAAAAAAATAATGTGAATAGTTCTTTGTTGCAGCTCTGCATGTCCACAATGATACTTTAGTATTTTTTGTTTAGCAAAACTAAGGCAATAATCTCAGTTCTGTAGACAACTGCAATCAGAACAAACGTATTTTTCTCCTACAATTCGTAAAATCAAGACCGTACCTTTTATTTTTGATGTTTGAAAGACCTGCAACAAAATCAGATCAATAGGGGGCAGTATTATATTTTATGAAAAAAAAATCTTTTCTAAAGGACTTTCATTCTGTTGTGAATCTCAACAACTTCTCAACAAACAGCTACATGAGCAAATTAATAATAATTATAGTAGTAAATTCAACCATTTAGAATGCAAATCTGACTGTTTTTTTTAAACGTACCAAAAGAACTCTCTAATGTAGCAGCAGTACAACAGAAAAAAACCGGGCACACAAAGTTCCTACAATCACAAAGTCAAACTAAATATTTGAGAAGATTTTGTTGATGTGCCAGCAGATCAATGACGGGGACAGAGCGAGGTGGTATGGAGTAAAATAAAAAACAACAATAATTTAGATTTGGTGGTTATGACTAGGCGGCTGTCAGTCTTAGGGTCAGGTGCAGAACAACCAACACATACTGAGTCCACGTGCTGCGAGTAACACAGACACAGGTTTGTTGTTTTAGATGTACTTCATGTCAATTATTTGTTTTTTCGCTGTCCAACTGTCTGAAATTCTCCTGACAGTCTTGTCTTAATCTTCTTGACAAGATGTTTGCAAAACATTGGGGGAAAATATTGACTCCTACACTGTAGTTTTGAAATGCAAGATTTGGCAGAATTTTTTTAAGTTTCATAACAGCATCCTGATGGGTATTTCAATGTCGAGGCTACAGCTGTCAGAGGAACGAAAAAAAGAGTCAAATGAGAGGTAAAGCACCATCACTGCCATCTCCTTCAGCCCTCCTGTACCTACACTAGGTCCAATCACTCTTTCTCCCCCTTGTGGCTGATCTGAGCTTATCCACACAATTACTCACCAGTTCACACTGTGGCATGCCGACAGACAGGCAATACACAAACATGGCCATTATCATTGGTGTCCCTGTGTTGCTTTGTCGATACACTGAGGTCAGCAGACTTCACCTCTGGAAGGGTTTACGGACCTTTTTTCTCCTCCTGGGGGGTTTGCCACCTTCGGCCCAAGGCTCACTGGCCTCTGGTCTCTGACCCGGTGGCATGTGGAAGCCAGTCTGACCTGGGGGAGGAGAGAAAGGCGGCACCCCTGCACCAGGAGGGTGATGATGAGGTGGACTTGATGGGAAAAAGCTCCCATTTGTGGCCGGGTCGGTGGGAGGACCTCCTTTAAAGATGCGGTTGAAGAAGTCCTGCAGATCAGCGGGATTGGGTGGCCCTGGGCTGTGCTCAGGATTTGTCCTGAAGAGAAAAGACGATGTGTTTAAAAAAACTTTTAGGGGTGAAATATTACCTCTCATTTAGTAGTGCTTTTCCTGCTTTGTGATCATTTGAAAAATTAAAAATAATTTATAGCCGTAGTAGGACTTTTTTAACAGTGAAATCCAGGTTTTACTGGTGTTGATTTCAAATGAGAGACATTCAGTCAACATATCAAACAAAGGCGATTTCACTAGGGATGGACTGATACCAATAACAATATCAGTGTCAGTACCTGTGTCGTGTGGCGCTGCTGTTGTTCTTCGAACCAAAGGAAATGTGATAGGGCACACGATGTGTGTCAGGGGAAATGCCTATTCTCTGACAACCGGCCCACTCTGAGACACAGCAGCACAAAAGACATGACACGACATGACAGAGAGAGACACGTAAATCCAGAGACAAAAAAAAAACTCTCAACAACAAAGTCTAATAAATTTATGGCATTTACCTGTAATATCATAGACTTTGCCGTCCATACATGCAAAGTAGGTGATGCGTAAGCCCAACATGCTGGACTCAGCCCAAAGGTCTCCCTCCTCGGCACTATGGCAACGGTTGCATTCGGCACAGAAACGGGCCTCAGCTGGATCACGATCCATCTCAAACCGCCTGCACACGAACAGGTCACGAGAGAAATAAGAATCTCACACAAGGTCTACTGCACAAGACCTGACTCATCAGTGTGTGTTTGAGTTGAGAGTGAGCAGAAAATCCTGAGGTCTTTGTGTGTGTGTGTGATGTTGGTGGTGTGAGTGAGGACGTACTTGTGTTTACCCTCACACTTGGTGCACATCATGGTGTTCATGGCTTCCTTCAGGTCGTCCTGCAGTTTGGTGAGGAACTCATTCATGGACTTTGAGAGCTCAGTCGCTGCCATGCGTTTCCTGTGGGGGAATTAAATAAATGTGATGCCGCTGTGTTTTAGATTGCAGGTTATCAAGGAAGATGTCAATTTTAAGTGGAAGTTTATACTTTATACTATTTTCTGTGCACTTACAACTCATACTCTCGTCGAGTCTCTGGGTTACTGACAATATCCCAGGCAGCTCTCAGCACTTTGAATGCCTCTCCAGCCCGTGGGTGTTTATTCTTGTCTGGATGAACCTGAATGTGAAGTCACAACTTGTGTTTGCCCTCACACTTGGTGCACATCATGGTGTTCATGGCTTCCTTCAGGTCGTCCTGCAGTTTGGTGAGGAACTCATTCATGGACTTTGAGAGCTCAGTCGCTGCCATGCGTTTCCTGTGGGGGAATTAAATAAATGTGATGCCGCTGTGTTTTAGATTGCAGGTTATCAAGGAAGATGTCAATTTTAAGTGGAAGTTTATACTTTATACTATTTTCTGTGCACTTACAACTCATACTCTCGTCGAGTCTCTGGGTTACTGACAATATCCCAGGCAGCTCTCAGCACTTTGAATGCCTCTCCAGCCCGTGGGTGTTTATTCTTGTCTGGATGAACCTGAATGTGAAGTCACAAAGAAAAGCTCTGGTAAGTAAAGAGAAAGTCCAATATTGACATTATTAGTCACAATTTCAGTCATGCTGTTGTAACTTTTTATTACGCACTAAATACGTTTCACACTATTAAAAACATTGTACACACCTGGACAGCCAGCTGTCTGTAGGCCTTCTTTAGCTCAGCCTCAGTGGCGTGTAACTCCACACCAAGCACTGTAAAGGGGTCGAGTTCATTCTCTGGAACCTCTGCCAGAGCCAGAAGCCTCTCTAGCTCCTGGCCTGATTGGCTCCTCCCTGCTCTGCTCGGTGACTCCTGGTTGGACATGGTTGCATGGCTGTCTCTCCTGAACCAACTCTGTACTTTTTCCAGAAGGGAAACTATCCGTTTCCAAAACCTTGAGTCCTGAAAAGCTGTCCAGTAGAGTTTTCCACGCTCCCCGCCTACCCGGACCAACATTGCCTTTGCCCATTGGGACCCAAAAAAAACTAAAGCACAAAAAAGTCCAAAACAAGATAAGGCAGCTGATTTCATCCATTTTACTGACCTAACTATTTTATTAACCACTTCTATTCCTGTGCATTTAGTCCATTTCAAAATTCGATTAGCATCTGCCTTCAAACCAGGGATATCTGTGACCTTCTGAAGGAGTTGCTGCCCAAAGCTGTACAGTTTCAATCCTCCAGTCTCTACACCAACTCCACAGTTGTGAGTTAAAGTGACAATAATCTCAATCATCATGTGGATGCAGGAAATGCACCAGAAGCTGAGAGATTCTGACAGCATTTCTTTGAAAGCTAAGATGATCTGGTTCCCTGTCCGCCTGCGTCCTCGGTTCTGTTGATGGTGGTGATGGTTACGTCTGCGGGTCTGTTTGTGGCGACCACCACTGGACATAACATTGCTTTTTTGACTGGAAAAAAAAGTGCTCTGACTGCCTTGCTCTGAAAATGAACCGCTGCTCTTTAGTTTGTATCTCCGTCCACTGGCCAAATTCCCCAAACCAGATTCTCCATTTATTTCCTGCTCCTTAACAGTTTCATCATAATCTTCTTCTTCTTCTTCTTCATCCTCCTCAACATCATCATCATCTTCTTCTTCTTCTTCTTGACATACAGCCTTCTCGTGATCCTCAGCACCATCAAACTCTATTTCATCAGAAGCCTGCTCACACTCTGCTGTAGATCCGTAAAACTCCACCTCATCGATTCCACAGCCCCGTAGAGTGTCTGGGTTCGACTTGTCCTGAGATTTGTTACACGTGGTTTCCACCTTGTGTTTACAGTCATCATCTGCCTCACACTGACAAGATTCTTCCTCAAAGTTAGAATCTTCGTTGTGGATCTCTTCATTTTTAATACCTTCCTTCTCAGCTGCTTCCTTCTCCATGTTCTTTACAGCTGCTGGACTAAAGTGCAGGAAAGACTGGAAATTAACACTAACTCACATCCTCGATCCACAGAGTAAAGTAAGTCTGTCCAGATTCTTATCAAGATGCAAGACTGGTAGCTCATGCAGGTCAGTCGCCGATTCGGCATATCAGCATCTTACTGGTGTCACATCATGCTGATATTCCTGGAATCAGGAGAATAAGGTATAAACAAGCAGACATTAATGCAATACAATTTGCAAATAAAATAACGTACTTTACAATCCAACCCAGGATTGTGCGTAGTTAAGCATATTTCTATATTTTCTTTTTCTAATGTATTACAAAATATTTCTTTACTTAGTAAATATTTTAATTAAGTACAATTGGTATAGTCATATAAATTAATTAGTTTCAATCTCCTACTGTCTGTACCTGTTTGCAAGTCCATAGTGAAATATACAGCTAAGCAATGGAGTCCACAGTCTGGCAGCAAGCCTCCTGTTGGATGTGAAACATTGACCTGATGGCGTTTAGAATTATAAAACAAATGACTAAGTAAAAAAGGTTAAAAACATCTCTAACATGGCTTCTTGTGTGTGCAGCGCTCTGTTGCAAGCACTTGTAGCTGTTAAAATCAGCAAACAACATTTAAAGAAATAAAAATATAGATGTCCATATATCGGTAAGACAGGTAACACCACAAAAGGTATCCATATATCGGTAAGACAGGTAAGACAGGTAACACCACAAAAGGTTATGCTGAAAGTTATCATTTGCTTGTTCAACTCCACATTTGTAAAAACAAAAAACAAAAACAAAAAAACAGCAATAATTGTGTTGCACTGGAAGCTGCAAAGAGCTTTTATAAAGTAGATGATAGATGTTACAACGAATATAACCATTGAAACGGGGCCTATACTGTAGCTAGAACAACACACTACTATCTGTACACCCATCATGAAGTGAGTGAACTGAGATAGAGACAAACCTGTATGCGATCAATACTGGACCTCAATTCTCTAGATGTTTCATGAACCAATTACTCCATTCTCATGTGTACACATCAGATGACATTTGAACTACAATGCATTTTTGTGTTGCACATTGGTTAGCCATGAAGACGACATACAGTTCGAATACATCATTCGAACTTGGTGCATTCTAGAAAAAGCTGAAAATGTTTTAAGACGATAAAGGCGATCTGACAGAGGTCTCCTACTTAAACTATAACGACATAAAACAGGATGTCTAAGCAGTTAGCCTGTCTGTTGGCGAAGGTGGACGAAAGGCAAAAGAGACACCGACTTAAATTTACGACCGATCACGTCTATATTTCCACAGAGCCGAGCGGAACACGGTATTGGAAAGCCAATACGGCAGCAACTTGCCAAAATCTTTCTGGAGCAAGCAGGAAGGCGAGAAGGAGCTAACTGTTAGCTAATAACAGAGACGGAGTTGTTAATATTTACGACTGTCTCTTACTGTGGCCCTGACGTAGGAAGGCGTGAGTAGGTCTTAGGCGACACTAGTTAGTAGACACGTCGTTATTTAATTGTATATAAAACAAAACAATGTCGTGTGTACCTTTTAGTTAGGTGTGTAACCTTGTTTGCTAACAGACAGCCAAGTGTCGAGATATTTTATACAGCCACCACTTCTTCTTCTGTTGCTTCGTTTTCTACTTCCGTCCGACGTTCTTCTTCTGTGTTAACTGGCGCCAGGGAACAGCTGCTCAATGCTGCCAAGTCCTTCCCTAGCGTTTGAGATGATAATTATCGCTGTCATTAATAGGCTACTTTAAGTCACAAACCATTTTTGCCTGTCAAATCTCCCCAATGCATTTTAAATAATGTAATACTTCACCAAAAACAAGCATGGACTTTCACAGACTGTATACGTAGTTCAGTCTAATTTACAGCTAAACTTTGCATAAAATAATTTATTTTTCTCATATGAAACTGTGACGGACACCGGTTCTTTGTTTATGAAGCAAATGAAAAATCTTTATTTCCACTTATGCACAATATAATAACTATATTGTGTATAATGTTGCAAATAGAATGTGTTTAATTAATCCATTTTAAAACATGAATAAACACTCCAAACGCATTTTCCTACCTGGCATTATATTATGCACAATAGATGACTAAAATATGGCAAGGATCTAGGAACCCCCCCACCCACACACATCCCCAAAAATGTTTTAGCATAGGACCCCGGTCTTGAAGACACACAGGGTTAATTTCAACCCCCCTCCATCACAACCCACATCCCCTGTTTGAAAGCCGCCTCTCTACAGGGAGAGGAAGGCTCTTTTTCGGTCAGATGGCGTGCTGCAGTCCGCCCCCGTCATTCTCCAGCCCACGCAGACAGCAAAAAGGCAGCCAGCAACCAATACGGTTCGCCGAAGGAGGATTTCTGCCAGTGATTTCAGACGAGGTACGATACGCACAGGGGATTTACTACGGCGATCGGAACAGGCGAAGCTTGCCGCGGACACATAGGGTAAGAGAACCAACTGGATCATCAGTGTGTTGCTTTTCTGCTAAAACATCTGTCGTCGGAAATTAATTTGAGTCGGTGTTTCTTTCATGTGAACTCAGACGAGTTGTTTATTACTGCCGTGTTGTAGTTACGGCTAGTTACGGCTTCGCACAAAAAGAGTAGCTTTAGTTTAAATTTCTTTCTTGTCAGTTTTCTGACCTGTGACATCCTTGATTGGAGAGACACCTTTGCGTAAATACGCCCGTCTACTGCGTGTGTCCACATCTGCCTGGCCTGGATACGGTAAGCCAGAGATACACAACTTTATTCTAAACATAAATTTGATTAAAAACGCAATTTAAATATAATTGTTAACAATACAATAATATGCTTCTGTGTTTTACTCTCGATAACTGGTTCTACATAAAGGGTCCTGTAAACTTCTTGTGTTTTACTCTCGATAAATGGTTCTACATAAAGGGTCCTGTAAACTGTAGGGATCAGAGGCACCTGATAAACTGGTCCCTAAACTGTTAAGAACGTACAACTATTTACATCATATTAAGACAGATAGAGCAGGGATCAAGTAAAGGTTAAGGAAATATATTTTAAACTTTTACCTAAAAAAAACGTCATGACCTCCTGCAGTATGGTGGGTCATTGAAGACCTCTGACACATTGGTTTATATTTAAATTGAAACACAACACTTTTTCTTTTTATGTTATTACAAAACTTACTTTTAGAATTGTTTATTGTAATTTCACCTCAAATTAATTTGGTGAGAGTAACCTTTTTTTAAAAGGTTTTTTTATATATACCTTATGAAAAAGTTTTTTGTAAAAATGTTTAACAAAAGTCTCTTGACGGTCAGAATAATCTGGGTTCTAGCCACAGTTTTTAAAAACAGGACTAACTGCTCCAAAAACTACAGGAAGGGAAACACAAGAGAGTCCCTTGATTGATAAAGCAGTGGTCTTCACTTTTCAAAATTAGGTTCCCATGTTTCTGTTTCCCAGACAGGCTCATTTTCTTTACAGTATAAGAAAACTAGTAATCACTGTATTAACCTATCATCTGACCCACCTAGGTCAGTACCACAGCACACGACTGGCTCATGACCCACCCTATTTTTAAGATAAAAGCATTGTTGTATTAATTGGCAAACATTATAACGATCAAAAATGAACCCTGCAGGTTCACATTTTCCTTTTTCTCACCTAATCTTTCAACTTTCAGTGCTGTGTGCCATGTCTTTGCCACGCACACTTGGAGAGCTGCAGCTGTATCGGGTGCTGCAGAGGGCCAACCTGCTGGCCTATTATGAAACCTTCATCCAGCAGGGCGGTGACGACGTGCAGCAGCTATGTGAGGCAGCGGAGGAGGAGTTCCTGGAGATAATGGCACTAGTTGGCATGGCCACTAAGCCACTGCATGTGCGTAGGCTGCAAAAGGCCCTCAGAGACTGGGCGGCAAACCCTGCCCTTTTCAATCAGCCGGTGTCCAACATCCCACTTGGGGGCATCCCGTTGTTCAAAGTGGACTGTATGGGCACGAGTGGGTCAGCAGGTGGACCCAGGAAATCTGTGAGCAATGGGCAGCCAGGATCACCGTGTGAAAGGGAGGACCGAGCATGCCTCACTCCGATGCACAGCGGGAGTCCGAGAAGTCCCTGCTCCCAGGCTTCACCACAACCACCGGACACACACTACAGGGAAAACCTGTCCCCCATGGACCCACACTGGCTCAGTCCAGAGACAGAAGGAAACTGCACCTCTGCATCTGGGTTAGAGGAGGAGCCTCCAAGTCCACCGCTGTCGACATGTCCTCCTGGACCGTCTTCATCTCCAAACCCCTCTGTTTCTTTTGCCCCAGCAGTTCTGTCAGCCTGGCCCGGAGGGCAGCTGGATGGGGAGACGGCCAGAGCAGTTGGGGAGAGTGTGGAGAGACTTCTCATGACCCTGCCCAGGTCAGATCCTGCAGAAGTCAAGACACTGCTAAGGATGAATAAGAAGCTGGCAAAGACTGTGGGGCACATTTTCAAAATGGGTTCCCAGGACACAAACAAAGAAGAAGAGATCCGAAAGTACAGTCTCATTTATGGGCGCTTCGACTCCAAAAGGAGGGAAGGCAAACAGCTGACACACCACGAGGTAATAACCACCAAACAAAGCAGCGCAGGTGAATTCAGACCAAACAAAACAACTTGTATCTGGTGTAATTTGTTATTGCTAATCCTCCTCCTTCTCTTTACAGCTGATCATCAATGAGGCTGCAGCCCAGTTCTGTATGCGTGACAATGCCCTTTTGTTGAGACGGGTGGAGCTGTTTTCTCTCGCTCGGCAAGTAGCCAGAAAGTGTGCCTACACTTCCACACTAAAGCATGCAAGGTAAACCATCACCAGCTCACCACTGCACTCTGATGTATTAAATGTGGGTCAGCACGTGTGTGTTTATACTAACAATGGTTAGGTGGACAGTTGTAACATCACATCACCTCCAGTCAGATTTAGAATAGATTTTAAGTTATTATAAGTTACAATTCTGATCTCATAACAGCTTCATCACCGTCCACCGACTGAGGAGACGAGGCCTGTGGACTCAGTCACATCTTTTAAGTCTCTTCTTAAAACCTACTTTTACAAACTTTCATTTGTGTCATGTTGTCTTCTCACTGATCTCCATTTTTATTTAGGTTTCTTTAATAATATTTTTTGCACAGTGTACTGTAGCTTACGATTTTTAAATGTGTTATTATTGTTTTATCCACCTCACTTTACTGCTCTTTTATATCCTGTTGTAATTATCATTTTTACCTGTACACTTTATTCTATTTCATCAACGTATCTGTTCATATCTTATTTTACACCTTGTTCTTTGACTATTTTGTTTTACGTTATTCATTTTACGTTAATAAAATATAATTTTATTTAGTTTAACTGCAGCCACCATTTGAGAAAATACAAAATATTAACTAACATATGTTGGGATCTTGTATTCATAACCTACACAAGAGCCTGTGCCTAACATATGTTGGGATCTAGTATTCATAACCTACACAAGAGCCTGTGTGTTTAGTAGTGCATTCTCAGATTATTAAACTCTCCTCTACAGACAAGTTACTGCAAGACAACAACAGAACAGAGATTCAGACTTTGACTTTACTGAACACTAGTCTTAAATGGACAAAATCAAAGAAAGAAATCTTCAAATACTTTATAGCCAAGTGGGTTTGTTCTGTTTTTCATAATTACTAAATGAACTCAGAATTCCATGCTGTTCCATGCTGCTTTGTATTTCTGCTAATATTCTGAGCATCATCAGGGGGGAGGCACTGCCTAATGACTCGCTCCATTATGCTTTGTTGTGTGACCCGAGGGTTACATTCACAACTAACAGAAGAACAGAATTAAATGTTTCTCCATTAAGACAGAGCTTGTAGACTTCTAACGACACAACCATATGTCCAAATCAACCCGCTGTTCTCTTAATTCCTATATTCATGAATAGTAAAAAAATAACATCCTAAACACGTCTTTTACTGAAAGAAGGAAGTCCTGTGTCCCATGTGGAAAGTGATGCTTCGATTGTAAAGGCTGCTTTGTTTTTCTCCGGCAGGACGACTGCAGATGAGAACCATGTGGTGTCACAGAAGAGAGCAAGACAAGAGGTGAGTCACTAGGTCAGCGCTGAAGCATTTAATCTTGTTACTCCATGTACAAGTTTGTATTGTGTTTTAATCCATTTCTAATAAGACTTACACACAGAGGTTATGCTTGTTTGCTTCAGGCAAACGTTCCAGAGAGTATGTCTTCATATCTTGGCCTGGAGGCCTCGGAGGGCTTGACCCAGAAGACAGATGACGACAGCCTATCTGCAGAAAGTCTCGACAGTGTATCACAAGGTAGTGATCTCAAATATAATAACTTGAAAATATGTTAACTCTATCAAACGGTAGATTCTGCTGCAGAGATTCCATTTCTTTCTCTAAGTCTTTGAAGAATGTAGCAGTAACACCCAGACGTTTCTGTCATGTTAGACATCGGCTCACAGCGAAACCAGTCTCCTTCAACCCGTCTCCACACTGATGCTTCTAACCACGCCAGCTGGAGTCGCCATCTCATTCAGCAAACACTAATGGATGAGGGGCTGCGATTGGCTCGAATGGTGTCACACGATCGGGCTGGAAAGCTCAGTCTAGGATCAGAAGGAGCTCATCTAACAGGTGAATAATACAGACCATTAATGTCATAAAGACATTAAGTGAAAATTAATTGCTTGCCGTTGGCTGCCCACGGTCAGCTTGACAATGTAGCCAAAGAAACATGGGATGGAGCAAAGCCATGCTGTTCTCCAGGAGAGTGCTGTGTGGCTAAAATGAATAACAACAGGTTAAAAGTCTGCATTGATCTAGAAGATGTTATTGGCCGTAATTCCACCTTAATTTTTTTTTTTGTAAGCAGGACAAGGTTAACTGCCTGCTGCAAAAAACAAAAAAAAGGAGGGCAGCTGATCACAGCCTTTAGAATGCCAGTGGGTTGGTAATGCCAGGACCTTTGTTATTGATATCTTTTCTAATTTAAAAGGCAAGCCAAAGAACCCCCCCCCCCCCCCCCCCAGTGTTGTATAAGTGTTTCATATTTTTTTAAGTTCTGTTGATAACAATATTTGCACAGACAAGACGTGTTACACAGATATATTCTGGTACAAACATATTTTATGGAGCCTCATTTGTTGAACTATTCAGTCTATAAGAATCTCTCCCTACAGTAAAGAAATATAAACTGGATGTAGTAGAAGTTGTCTGTCCGAGGATGAGGCTAACTGTTTCATATTTTTTTAAGTTCTGTTGATAACAATATTTGCACAGACAAGACGTGTTACACAGTATTTTGACCAAATATGGAAATTTGTAAATTTCACCTTCATCGCATCAAGAAGGACACATTTTTTACAAGTGGACGTTGGGAATGAATATAAAACCGTGCAACAGATTTTGGAGTTGAGTTGACGGAGACCTAACCTCCCCTAACAATGAATATTTTATAACTCTACATGTTGAACTCCAGTGAGTCACATTCTCTCTGAGGTGACGCCTCCCACCATGCACAGCTGAACTTCACCAGACTGTAAATTAGTGAGGATACAAGTTAGAAGGGGAAACAGAAGGAGGCGTAGAGCGATATATACAGTAGGGAGAAAAAAAAGAGTATGAGATAAGGGGGTGAGGATGGGGGCCACTATTAAAGCATTTGTGTGATAGGCTTAAGTGTAGAGCTTCTCACAGGAAAAGGGGAAAAAAAACAAACAAGTGATCTGAGCATGTTAGACATTCTGGACTGTGAAAGGCAGTCGAGGAGTTGAAGAAGCGATGATGAGAAGGAAGACATGAGGGGGTGGAGAGAGGAGGAGAGGAAGTACTCTGTGGGCGGCAAAACCATCCCCCCTCCTCCCTCCCCTCCTGAGCAGCGACTGACGTCAGAGTGTGTTAGGTGTGTGGGCTGAAGGGCGGGATGGATGGGGCGTGGGGGCGAAGGAGTGGGAGGTAATTGGAGGGGCGTTGCATTGACTCACTAAGCGACAGTGTACAAAAATAAAACCTGTGGGCAGGGAAATGGCACAGTCTTCTTTATACAACTTCTGCCTCTACCAAAAGGACTGCGGAAATAACCAAAAATGACATACGTTCAATCTCTGACGTCGATCTGCCTCAACGTGGCTTTGTATTTTTTTCCCCTTTCTCTCTAACTCATACATGTTTCCTCTTTCTGTCTACTTTCTCACATTACCCAGAACTGAAGTTTACTTTTTTTCTTGTATGTTCCCCTGTATACAGTAGTTGGTGCCTATGGTAGTGTTGTTGATTAAGTTTTAATTAACCAAATTATTTTGATTCAACATATCACTTAAACATAAGCACTTCATTGAGTCTGAAAGTCAGTGTCTGCTGTCATTTTTTATGTAATACTTGTCCTTTGAGCAGCCCTTTTGACTCATTGTGAACTTTACCTCTCTCCACAGATCATGACAACAAAATAGAGAAGCGGAGCTCATTACCAGCGTGCAGGAGCAGTAGCCCTTGTATCACCAAAGACAACTCCAATCATCGAGGAAAATGAAGAGCAGCCATAAGGTATCCAAGAGAGCTACAGGCTTGTCATGAAACTCCTCTGAAAGTTTCCTAAGTTACTGTAGAGGCTTTTTCACGTGTGCCTCACTGATGTCCCAACCCTCTGATGTTGAGAAAACACTCATGGACCAGACAATTGCCTTTGTTTAACAGCATCTCAGATCACAAACCTGCAGTGGCTTATGGATGCTAAAGTCCTTGGGTCAAGTTCAGAATTGCTCTCCATTAGATTTTAGTTAACTTATTTTAGGGCGCAGTATATGTCCATCAGATCTGTGTCTTATAATAACAGCAAGTGATTTTATATGTAAGATCCTGATGTGTTTTAAAAATTGTAATTAGCAGTGCAGTTGTCTCCTAAAACGATCCACCATTAGCAGGATGTGGTTGACACAGCAGGGGGCAGTGCAACTTTGGAAATGAACTCAACTGATTTTATACAGGCTGAGCACAAGTAAAGTCACACAATACCACATTTTTACAGTAACAATATAATACCTACAGATGTATTTTTTTTTGTGATAAAATCAACATTAAACCATGACAAATTATTTAACGACCTCTGCCTGTGATAAAATCAACATTAAACAATGACAAATTATTTAACGACCTCTGCCTGGAAAACATTTTGGAAAAATATGAGGCTGCTGTCCCTAGGTCCAGAGATATTTTGTACCTCCTTGCATGTAGTATTTACTCTCAAGCACCCTTGTCTAACAGGATGTCAGGACAAATGGCCGCCTGGTATTTGTCCAAAAAATAATTGGTTTCCACCTGTTGGGTTCCAGACAGTGTTTCACTTACTGTATATGGAAGATTTTCTAAACTCGGTTGTATTTAAAAGGTGATTATTCTATTCCCTTCAGTTGTGTCTTCATAAAATGAAGTCATGCTCAGAGTCAGAGATGTAGGCTTTGGATCTTGCTGGCTTGTTGTTCAGACTGTGGAAAAACGTGTTTAATTGTACAGCCTCTCTGCATTTGGAACTTGAGAAGTTGACAAAAGTTACAAAAAATATTTGTTGATTTGTGTAAACTTTTGATGCATTTCTTAAGTGTAGCAAAAAAACCCTATGTGCTGTACTGGTGTATATAGTACTGTATATGGTCTGTTCTTACAAAGAGCTATTTTACTCCCGCACTTAAAGTGCTTTATGCTACAGATTGTGCCATCTCTACTTACTGACAGTAACATCCTGAGGAGGCGTGAATAGGTTGCAATCAAACTGACTCTTGTCGAAGGACAACTTCCACATCTGAGGAAACAAAAACACATGCAGAACTTTACAAACGGACCTTTCATGGTACTTGATTGTTGATTGTTGTAACTAAGTTTAACCAACAAGTCCAATCAGAATTGATTTAAAAAAAACATCACACTTTTGGTGTAATATCTGTAGATTCTTTAATGCCAGTTTTTTTTACCCTGAAGAATAGTGTCATCAGGTAGCCTCCTGTGAATCGGTTACACTTTCCTGTCTGCTGAGCGTTATTGAACTTACTTTGTTATGTTGCGAAACAGATTATTTATTTTGTTACACCTCAATAAACGTTATTTTATTGCTTACTGTCCAGTGGGTTTTTTGAATGTATTTGTATTTGATGTGATTACTCTTCCTCCTATTCCTATCCTTGTATTGATCATCTCGACCAATCCCAGATGATGCTCAGCAAAGGACAACACAGACAGAACACTTCTGTTCAACACACAGAGATGAAAAGAAAACTCACTCTGATTTTTTCAAGGTCAGTTAACGCTCTCAAATAAATACATAAAAAAAAACCTAATTCTGCATATATTCATAGTGTGGGAGAGAGACTGCAGAAAAAAGATGAAAAGGCTGCATGAGTTACGTCAAACCGGCAGCTGTCGTAGCGTTTGATGCACTGACAATCTGCATTGATGCTGGTATGACTCACCTGTGATCTTATCAGAGTCTGTTCACAAGCACGGACAAACCAAACCTGGAGTGTTTTTAGTTAAATAATAAGCACAATTTTGGTAAAAGACTTTGTATCATTTATTTAATTTCACAGATTTTATTTTAAACCCACCATCATGTCTCTCAGTGAAGGGGTTGTTCCTAGCTAGCACCATTATTCCTAGCTACACATTTTCTGTTTAATTATAAACACATTTTAATCATATTTAATAATAGATTCCTACATAAAAAACATAGTTTACTTTTGCGCTGGAAAAAGTTGAGCAAAGCTTAGTCTGTCATGGGACAACAATGAAAAGGTTGTCATATGTGTGGGCAAAAATATTTTAGGCCGACTTCTGGGGTCATTGTTGAGTCACTTTTTCAACTCTGCTAGCAAACCACAGCTGGAGATAAAAACTATGTAAATGTTTTTATTTTGAGCTATGTTTTTTTTTATTTTCAACCCCTAACAACCCCTCTTAAAGCTTTTAATTTTCAACCCCTAACAACCCCTCTTAAAAAAATATCCAGGCCTCTGTGTTTAGCACTGGTTAGCACATAACGCTAGTCACTTAATGCGGTCATTGTGGCTAGCACTGGCAATTAGCACCCAACTGGTTAGCCAGAATTTTAATTTGAAAGCTCATAAAGGACAACAAAAGAAATGTGACAACCCATAACTGTAAATAGTGGGGGCTAGCAATTCACAGCAAAGTACTTTCGGTGCTGTCTGATTTCTTAGATGCATTCAAAACACCTTGACTTTTCTTGACTTGGGCCTTGGGGAAGTGAACGGAGCGCCATCATCAATCACCTGTCAGCACCATCAATTACGGCTTTAAATGCCTGAGCCTATTCTTAGAGCAGTCCCTTCTGTACTGGAGCGCTGAGCCCAGATGACTAAACAGCTTCAAGTGTTTAAAAGGTATAGAGTGGCTGTCAACACAATACATTTTTTTTATACAGAATAATATTTTTTATACAAAATAATATTTAATTTACTGTATAGGTGAGGTATGTACTTCCTTTAAACAAAAGAACAGAATCTTACAAAGTATTACCTTGGTCTTTATATAGGCATGTGGTTAGTTAATCATTGTCTTCTAATACTATATTAATTATTTCCCACCTATTTGTAAGTAGTAGACACTTTATGGAAAGCACAATCCTAGTTGTGTGAAAATAGACCCAGTAGGTGGCAGTAAAGCATCCAAAAGATGCAAGAGATTAAGATTTAGACTAGTTTAGTGCACGTGTGTTTGCATTGAGCCAAATGTATCTGCTTCCCTATTTGTCTATAATAAATATATATTATAAGGATATTTCTCAAAATAAAATATAAACAAGATTTGACCATTTTCTGATTTAAGAGTCTGCAGTTTTTGAAATACCCCAGTTTGGCCTGATTTAAACTGCTTAAAGTAGACATTTTAACACAACATCACACTCATAGACAGACAATTCAAAATTAAACCAATAGAAGTTGATGTTTAACATACTTACTTTACAGAACCTGGATATTTTGCAAATGCAAATACATATAACGTCAGTAGCAGACATTTGTTAAATTAAGTTACATTCTGTTTATCATTTCTATCAAGAATATAATTCAATAATGTCAGTGTTATGTCCAACAGAGGGGTTAACTTTTTCACATGTAGGGTGTAGCACTGTCTATGTAATGTGGGTGTGAAGATGTCGCAGGAACTCTCCTTTGGTGGTTGTGTCCCCAGGGAAAACTGCCTGGCAAAAGTCACAGACGTGTGACTGCAGAGACACATCTGACATCAGCAACCCACCAGACTGGCTCAGGAAATCAGTGAGGTGGGAAGGGCTGTCTGACATTGGCATCTAATTTGAACAGAGTACGAAACAGGAAGTTTGAGAAATGGACAAACCTGTAGGGCTAATATAGAGATGTTAAACACTACCTTTGCCGTATGCAGAGTCCTGTCACTACAAGTTTGAACTGCCTGTCCTGAGGTTTTAGAGTCACTGAAGCAGGCTCCTTTCCACTTTGAAGGCAGCGGTGCCCTCCACTGTTCCAGCTTCTTACACTCCTCTCTCCACTGAGGCCAATCCATACTAAGCTTAGACATATCTTCAGCAAGAACATCAGACACTGTCCCCGCTTTTTGACAGAAGCCATTCAGGTGACATTGCGCTTCCGAGTTGTGTGATGCAGCTGATAGCGGTTGTGGCTTTTTGTGAAAGTACACAGGAAGTTCTTGTGTACATTGGACAGGGATTGACGTCAGGTGACTCAAATCATTATTAAGAACGTTGATATCTGCAGAAAGACACACAATTCGCATGTGTTCACTGTATCACGCAACGCATCAACCTGAATATTGAAATTAGGCTTTGGTCCAACCTTTTTGTTTCTGCAGGGCTGTTGTAAGTTGATTCAACAGAGCTGCCTGCTTCAGGCAAAGTGACCTCAGTCGGAGGAACTGCTGGTACAGTTCAGTGTAAGCCTCTTCCATCTCACAGGCTCAATGATCTGCAGTTGGACAAGATGGGAATGGAAAACAACACAGTTGTGAAGAGGGCGGCAGAGTCTGCACTGTTGTCCAAGTAGTGTTGAATCAAATGCTAATGTCCAGTGATTAAAAGTCACAACTGCGACTGTGAAATTACTAAAATACTATTATAATTATTATTTGATGAAAATATTTTACACCTCAAACTACAATAAAAGCCTGTGCGATTATATCATCATCATTGAGAAGCATATCAACTTCTCAATTCTCACCTCCCGTGTTATCAGATTATTATTTTATTACCATTTACACCTGTTGTGGAACTTCAGGATTTGTCTTTGGAAAGTCAAAGAAACAGTGTTTAATCTCTGCACAGTGGACGCAACACACACTGACTGCAGCCTGCAGGTCAGAGGTCAGTGAGATTCCCTGACCAAGAGGTCTCAGCCCATCTTATACTCCAACCCTCACCTCTGATTTTTTTTTCCTCAGACAACTGGGTAAAAACAGCAAGTGTCACATAGCCAATAAACTATTTAGGAGGAAACATTTTGTAATTTCCCATACTGAGATCAACAAACCACTTCTATCTATCGATCTCTTCCTGCAGCTCTACAGAGGGTTTAAAATGTTGACACACACAGTGAAGGGGTCAGGATATTTTATCACCTCAAAAGACACATAAGACACAATACTGCAGCAAGTAAATCATACACGTTTAGGAAAAACAATACTGCAGCAAGTAAATCATACACAATATAGAATTACCACACCACACCTGAGATAGTTTTAACATATTATAGCTATACTTGCTAAATAAAAGGAGGCTAACTGAAGCATGTTCCTACCGTTGTTGACGAACCTCCTTCAACGGTTAAATACCGGTAACCTATATGCTGAGTCCGTACAACCATTTGAGGAAATAAACCACAAATATGTTCACACTGTTCTATCCACGCTGACTTGATGGAAAATGAGCTTCAACTGAAACACTGTATGTTGCAATGGAAAAAAATAAACATGAGGAAGTAGGTTTTGAAAAGGAGAAGTAAAACACATTTCGTTCAAAAAGGGTGTCACAGGATGAAAAGCACAAAAGCAACATTAGATTTTTTACAATGTGGAGTTTTAATGTAACTTAGCTTGGACAATTATTAGGAATGAGTAAGAAAAGAGCTTAATCTGAATCACAACAAATCAGCTGAGTTAAGAGCATTTATTAGATTTAACTGTGTAACAATTTGTCTACTAGAAAGCCAAAAGGCAACTATTTACTCTAAATATATTATTATTTTTCTATATAAGCTGAAAATGAGATCACACTATTGACTTAAGAGACTGTGAGTTACCAGTCCCTTTCGAGAACTCCTGAATTTAATGCAAAAAAAACCCAACAATATTATGTTATCCATAATGATTAACATTCACATTAAATGCAAACATTCTTTTCCATTTGTTGAATGACATTTGTCTCTCAAACATGTTTAATGAATGTTTTTGTGCCAACATAAGTGACACGATCCTGCCGCTCATGTGAACTGTTAAAGCGCTGCAATTTTTGAGTTTTATTACTGTAAAAAAGACAGATAAAGAAAAATACCATAGTTGAACAATAGAAAATACTAAATAATTTTGATTCCCTCTTACCCCCACAGCGCTACTGGTCACAGGCTCATCCTAACATATCGTGTGCTCTAGTCCAACAGCTACAAACAGATTTATTTATTTAAGTGTCACACATAAAGCTTAACTAGCGAACTCTGACGTAGGCTCACGTCCTCCGTAAACATTAAAAAATAAAGTTTACTTGCTGTGAGCGTCCTCTGGTCACGTGGAGCAGGATTAGCAAAGACAGTGTTAGACTGAGATTTCAGTCGTAAAGATCAATATGACGAACTCTAATACTGCTTACCTGACGTCAACACCTTCAAGGAAGTACTGAACTTCCTTAAACTTGTTGACGTCAGGTATCCAGGTAAACCTCGTCACAATAAATCATCCCGTTGAGCAAGGTTTCCTTCAAAATAAAAGATACAACCTTCCCGCAAGACTGAAAATGTTCCGGGAGACTTTTATGTGATTGTCTGTTTCTCAGCAAACATCCAAACAATTATTTACTCATTCACTCAGTTGTAGTTCAGTCAAACGTGTGTGTATTTTTCAAATTAAAAAAAGACCCTTAAGAGTATTAATAGTCTATGAATACTGTACTGCATCTTTCTCATTTTCTGAGCTTTTTAAGACTTTGGGACATTTCAGGGTGAAAATGTTATGCAAGAGAAAATAGAGTGTCATTGGCACTACTGTCAATATTCAAGCAGAATAAGCCCTTGGAGGGGAGACTTACAGTTGTAAATCATTAATCTCTAAATATGTCAATTGTCATGCTACAGTAGGTTCTCGTCAGAAGTTTTATATTCATAAATTAATACTTCAAGGCAATGTTGACAATACCGATTATGGGACCACAAGACCAAAGTTTCTCACACAATAATGCTGCAGTCAGTTGAGCCAATAGGCAGCAGTCCTGACTAACCTGTGGCCCAACAATATTAATTTTTTAAAAATATATTGTGTTTAAATTATCTTCAAATTTAAATGGACTTTCTGTGCATGTTCAACGGCTCACTGTCACAGATATGAAGTGGCCTGAGACAGTCTGAGCTGCCAACATGCATGCCATTGTGCTGTTGGCATTCAGCAGAGAAAAAAATAGACCGACATTAAGTCAGAGGAGTCCTCTGGGTGGCAGAGAGATCTCCATGCCATCCTTCCACTGGGAGGACATCGGTTCTGTCCTCGGGCCTGACAGCTGAGTTCACAGCCACCACCTCGTGATTTTGGAGCAGGGTGTTAGCCCCATCTGCTCAAGACTTAAGACTGATTATGTAACGCCGTGATGATGTGAAGCCTTTATCACGTTGATCCTGGAAGGGACGAATCTTTGTCAGGTCAACTAGTCCGAGGAGGTCCAGTTTGTTGTGTCTTTAAATGTTACCACGGCACCTGTTGCGTTCTATGATGAGATGCTTCATGAGTATGATGATTTACATGTTCCTTTACATATTAACAGGGTTTGTACTTTGGTTGTAGGTTATAAAAACAGTGACAAGATATTAATATTCACGGCATAACCACGGCAAACTGTCAGGTTTTTATAACAAATGATCTTTTATCTTATTGGTTAAACTAACAGCTGTGCCAGACTCCTCCATCACATATCATGGAAATTGTTTTAATTGCAACCAAAATAATATTTTTTGTCCTATATAACTGTATATATATATATAAAAATTTCATTTTAAAATTGTTTTAATGGTTTAAGTCTAAAGAACCTGTAGTGAAAAATCTAAAGCTAAAGGAACGACTTTCTTGGTAAACCAGGATCAGGAACCTGCAGTGAAGAATCTAAAGCTTGTGAACGACTTTCTTGGTAAACCAGGATCAATTAAAAACAAAAGTTATCTTCCATTTTAGCAGTCACGTAGTTGAACAGTTGATTGATGCAGTTATTTATAAGATGTTATACCTTTTACCAACACTCTTCGCCAGCGTGTTTGCTAGTTTTGCACTATGTTCGCGCTCTGACCTTGAACCTCTCCCTCCCTACATATTCACTTCACACACGCACCTAAACCTGTCATGCACTTGATCCTCATGCGGGGACTCTCTGAACTCTGTGTGTGTGTGTGTGTGTCTGTTTGTGTCTTGGATTTGCTTTGAATAACTTCTGGGCATACAGCCAGGATCTGTCATCTGTTGGTGCAACACTATCCATCCTGTCAATCTTGTTTTATAATTGTAACATTCTCATATTCTCTGGCTGAGCAGAGAGAAGATCACAGTTACACACATGTACACGCGCACACACACACACACACACACAGACATTGCAGTATGTAAACACACACAGCTTGCACATAATAGAATATATATATATATATATAGAGAGAGAGAGAATGTACAGTATATATATATAAATATATATATATATATAGATCCAGTATATAGATATATATAGATATGGCATTCAGCCAATTGCAAACCATTTACAAGTTTCTTTTTCTCCAGGTAGTGCTTGTTAAACTGTCTATAACTCCTATATATATATATATATATATATTTTTTTTTTTTTTTTAAATCTGATATTCAGCTTTGGTAATATTCAAAGTTACAGTGTTGGTTGTAATACAGTCACTGTCCAGCAGTTTAACAGAAGTATGGGCATCACTGATTTGCAAAAAGTGAAGTAAAAAGTTTATTTTGAAGTGACTGAAATCTATAAAAATATGCCAAAATAAATTACATCTTCATTTGAAAGAAATTATTAGTGGTTGAAGGCCCACAGACCAAAGTGATTTCCTCCCTTCCTTCCCTCCCTCTTGTTTGGAGTGATATTTCAGCAGGCTCACTGTTCATTTATGAATTAATCCCACAGGAACTGAGAGCTAAAGACGTTGATATGTGGTGCACAGCTATCACAAGGATGGCATGAGCGATGACGTCTGCCAACTCATTTATCACCAGACTGCCTCTAACCGAGCCAGACTAGATCCAATTACGGAGGTTTCTATGGCCCAAACAATGGTCCGCTATAAATACACGCAGAGGGTTTTCCACACTCAACAACACACCCACACACATATCAATACAGCTGCACCAAGACACTGATAAACAGTATTGTGCAGAAGTCGTTTTTGTTTTTCTTAATGAACGTGACACTGGTTATTCTATTCTACAGTAACTGCTGCTGGACTGGACTGGACTGGCTCCAGTTAATATTGAAGGATATGCACTGGGTAAATCTGTGCAGAGCAGGAAGAGCCACTGTGTGTAGGTGAGTGTGTAACTCAGTGTATAGGAGGAAAAAAAACAGGAGCCCACACACACGCCATTAACCAGCTTCACAAAGTTATTTAGAGCGCAGTCCATCAATAACTGACAGGTGCAGCAAATTCACAAACAAACCTATTAACTTTCCTCCCGCTGGAACAATATACACGACACAAATCGCCTCTCTCTCTCTTTCTCTCTCTCTCTCTCTGTCAGTCACACACACACACACATTATCCATTTTCTAATCAACAATCATAATAACTGAGTCAGTTAGTAAGATAAAGTAGAAGCAGGTGGTTTAAATATTTAAATTCCAAGAGCGGCAAAAGTAAAAGGATTTTATGGCAGAATAATGCACACAGTTAGTGTTAAATGATTACACTCACAGTGTTATATTTACAGGGACTATTTTTGGGGCCGGTCAAGCGGCTCTACAGATGGTTATATCAGGTGGTGGTCTGCCCCGCGAAACGTCCAGACTGAAATACAACAACTGTCAGATTAGTTACATAAAATATTGTCCACATATATATCCTCAGGGGACAAAACCCTGTGACCTTGACAGTCAAATGACATCAAGTCACACGATCTCTCTGTATGTGATTAGGAATGGAATGTTTGAATGGTCTTAAATGGCAATGGTATTAATGAATACTTTTTGCTCTTTAACCAGGTTTATCAAGTACAAACCTGTCACCGATTGTTTTTGTGCACCAACCTGACAGACTGCTGTCATTGTTACAGCCTGATCACGATGGTACTGTACGGTAGAAGGTTCTGTCAAGTGTGAGTGAGAGCAGAAGCGAAATGGGCAACAAGGAGGTCAGCAGTTTTTGAGCAACAAATCTCAATGTCAAGCACGTAACACATTACTGGTCTGAACACCGTGTCTCCTGCGGGTGTAAGACTACACTTTCTCCCCCAAGTATGGGTGTTGCACATGGGCCACTGGTCAAAGGCTAAGGCTAAGGCAATGGCAGCACCAGATGGTAACTTTCCTCTTTAGGAAAAGGAGGTGTGAAGAAACAGGGCATGTCTGAACGGGACTGGTGACAAATAAAAATTAAAACTGGCTTAAGAGCTTGGACGCAACATAAGCTGCTGCAATGCTGCTTTGATGATTAATGAAATATTTTATTATATTTTATTACATTTTACGAGTCTCAGGCGCTCAGTGGGTAAACAAATCCAAAGTGTTTTGAGTTAATATTTCACAAAAAGATGAATTTCTTTACATTGAATTACTTCAGTAAACATTATTATTAGAATTACTATGGTCTTCTTAAATGGAATATGTCAATTTTATCTGCAGAACTGCATTATGGGAGGCTCCTTATTGAGAAAGTTAAATAGTCAGACTTAAGATTCACTTGACACTTCAGAGCACAAGAAATAAACTAAGTTGGCCTGTTGTCAGCTACTCACCTTGTTGTTGTGTCACAAGAGCAACAATTTCCACAATTGTGCTTGTTTATTTATGCACATTTTCCCCCATAGTGTTCTTAGCTCTTGACCCTTTTGTGGCAGCTAAGTGTGTCCTAATGAACACACATTGTCCAACACACATTGTCCAACCCTGATCGCGCTGCTCTACCAATTAGGTCTGACTCTGGCATCACACTTGTTATTTTGTAACAAAATGAACACCCAACACCCCCCCCTCACCCTTATCTCCTTTTTCCATTTGGTGTGCCAGCGCCAGAATCCCAGTGACTGCTATGTGATGTACAGTGGGATCGGGTTCTTAGCAGCTGAATACAGACAGTCCTGCAGTCTGCTGTGGATCAGTGTTTGCTTCCTCTGGTCTGATGTACTGCCAGCAGTGGCAGCATGTGTGACAAACATCAGCGTTCCAGTGAAGAGGCGATGAAGAACTACCTTGGGTCACTTTGTTTTCTGCAGTCCACCAGCTAAGACAGAGTGAGAACAAGCATGGAAACAAATTGAAGACATTCAAGTTTTCCTCAGGATGGAGTGGGATGATAACTTGTTCAAGACAAAACACAAAATAATACAGTCAGTCACAGCAAGCACAGTACATAAAATATATTGTTACCACGCCATGCTACCATATAAACGTGGCGGTCTCTAAATTAAGCAAACATCCACCCATGCCGATCACTTGCAAACGAAGGAAATACAGAAAGGAAAAAGGACACAATGAATAATGTGGTTTGTGTGACCTTTTCTAAACCGCAGCACCTTGGTTTAATCGATTTTACTTCTGCTCGAAACTATGTTAAATTTTGATATTTGATCATTTTAATAGTACTCCATAGTGGGTTTTTTCTTTTGAAATGTAACATCAACATATAAAAACAATGGGAAGGAAAAGGACGACAGTGCCTTGATTAAAAAAAAATTTATCATCATAAAATTTCAGCATCACAATATTTTTGTTTTACAAAAAGACAGGCAATATTTTTGAAGTCCAAAAACTCGAAGGAGGACGAAACTCAAAGAGAAAAACTGTGAACAAGTGCTCAGACTGTAGCTGCCCCTAGGCTCATCACATTACACTGTGACTACTTAAGATAGGGTGAAATTATTTTTAGTTCATTTTGAGAATAAGTCAAAAAAATAACAACATGTTAAAGAAATGAGAGGATCCATAGGAATATAAAGGAGTGATCAAGGCAAGGTTCAAAGAATGATACAGTTACACATCAGAACCAGGTGATCTAAACAATACCATTAAATGCCTCCAGATGCATGATGGTTAGTCAACTCTGAAATGTGACACAACATGACCTCAAACTAAAACCAGGCAGAATTTTTAAAACAACTGTAAACCTTTACAACATTTTTTTGTGGTAATTTTATGTTCTTTGTCCTACTCCATTGATCTAATATTAAATGTGGGCCACAGTCTGTCATCATATCCATTAGGATATACAGTATATGAGTACAATATGAACTCCGATGGCCATTTACTGTATCTGCAAAATACAGGATATTGTGCAATGGGACGTTCACTGATGATTTATCACGAAACCATCAGGAAAGTTTCACAATCTAATGCTATTATGAAAGGCACTTTATTAAAGTTTTTTTTTTTTTGCATTCAAAAGCCCACACACCACTATAACATGGACATGCAGTTCAAAAGATCTCACTTTATACTATGGTAAAGGCAGCAGGGTGTGAAAGTGAATGTATCAAATAAGAGTAAACTTTGGTCCAAGACCTTTCAGAGGAGCAAACACCTACACCCACCTTATATGAAAGTACCATCTGAGATACAAATAAGTGAGTTAAAGTGAGCAACAGAAAAGATCTGCTTTGTTCTTTTTACAGAGAGGACCCCATCCTCACACCTCTGGTGGGGTCCAAAAATATTTTTTTTAAAAACGAAAACACCTTTTCTATTTAAGAACTTAGTGTGCTTGTGAGTATGAACCACTGCATTTCACTAACACCAATACCCATGTCTATTTAGTCGTGTAGTGGCATTCACACATAGAGAACAGTAACAATTCATACTTGTAAATTCACACGAAAATGTGAAACATCTGACGCCACACACACGTCCGTGATAAAAGGAGGATTCTAAACAGTTCAGTGCTTCATATAAAGTACTTCACACCTCCTGTGTATACATGAAAAAAATGTGTATTCGTGTTCAGGTTCAGAAGGGCAGAGTATCCATAAAGATTTTCTCCACGATTGGTGGAGGCGGTACCAGATCCTCCAGCTTCAGGTAAAAGATTCGCTGCAGTCCTTGTGTGCACAGGGTCCTCAGTTCAGGAAGTTTTCCCAGGAGACGAGACAGATAATTGGGTTGTGTCCTGGTCTGTTCCGATGCACCGCTGTTTAAATGTTCTCTCAAACAAGTGATGAGATGATTCTGAAAATCCTCCACCCGTTTGGGCTCCCTGAGACCATGGCGATCTGGGTGTGAAAGATTGGAGGATGTATAATCAGCCTGGCACCGAGTCACGAGTCAAAGTCATACAGGGCAATGTTTACAATAATGAAATAAAAGTCAAATAAACCCTCACCAGTGATGATAACAAGTGCAGCAAGGCAGGAAAACAAAGAGACGTCCAAGTTCATGCGGTGAAGACTGTGGGAGAATTCCATGATGGAGTCGATCCAGTCACCAAAACTGCGGACGCACTGCAGTCTGTGAAGGACGACGCCATTGCAAAAGATCAGCTTGTCCTTCTCTGGATCTGACCTGAGCATTTTCAAAACATCAAAGTGATGGTCAGCAAAATCAAACTTTTTGTACAACATGTATAAATGTGAGTAATACGTGGAGAAGTCTATATATCACAACAATAATGAAGACAGATTTAAATGAAGAAAACCTTTTTAACATGGTAAATGATGGGACATATCTCTTTTTTTATTTTTAATTATATATTTTTTATTAAGGAAAGCCAACCTGTAGGCAAGTCTGAGTATGAAGAGTTCAACAAAGGCAGATTCAAGCAGCAGATCCTGGTCCTCTGAGCAGAAGTCTGGGAATCCTGGTATGTTTTTAGCCCATCCTCTGATTACATCCATGGCACCAGTGAGCAGGTCGTAAAACTGCTGGATGTCACTCGCATCTTCCTTTTCTTGATGGTTCTCCACAGTCTGCTGGTACTGTTGGGTAACAGAACAGAACTGTTCTATACACCGAAATATTTTTCTATATTTGTTTGTGAATGACTTGTGTTTAGGTTCACCTGGGAATAGTCGAGCTTTCCAAAGCTGGGGTTTGAGTCTAAATGTGCCTGGATTAAAGTGGATATGATGTTCACATTGGGGGTTGTTGATGAAGGCTCAGCCAAAGTCTTGGGTTTTGAAGGCAGGCGACCCCTACGACCTTTAAGGTTGTCTGTGCGAACAACTATAAGAGCAGAGAGAACCCCCATCAGCACACGTTTGTTGCTCTCACATGGCTGTCGCTGCAGCCCACACCTTAAAAAACAACTGTTGAATCAGCTTCAGTTTCTCCTTTTCTGCAGTTGGCTCTGCCTGGCTCTGGTTTCACAGGGTATGTCACTTAGAGCAGTGGTTTCACATGGTAAATCTTTGTAGTGCACTCCTCGCTGAAGGATTTAGGGGAGTCTGACATAGTCTTACCTTCTTTGACCATTCCCACTGCGAGACATTTCTGGAAACGGCAGAACTGGCAACGGTTCCTCCTCCTCTTGTCCACCGGGCAGTCTTTATTTGCAAGGCACACGTATTTTGCATTTTTCTGTACAGTTCGCTGTTGGACAGGAGAGAATATTTTGATTGAATATAAATATTGTTGCATGCACACATTTCAAAAAATGCAACTGTAGAACTGGTCATCCATAGCCAGGCAGGCTACTAAACCGCTGTATTGTAAACTAAGTATAATTTTTCATCAGACCTATCACATTACTTGCAAAGAACTTTATCTGCAGACATGCAAGAGGATTGACCTGAATGCTTGGTCAGTGATAAATTATATTTCACGTTATATGTTTTTTATGTAAATTCTGTGGCTGTTTCCATACTTTCAAAAACATATTTTTAACTTAATGCAGGACATAATATGACACTGATTACATTTTCAGTAGTTTTCGGATTATTGTAGAAAACGCTACTCACTTTTGCTATTAAAATAAAAGAAAAATATGAAAATGTTTTTTTGTTTTTTTTTACTTATTACCTTAAAAAAGCCTTTGCAGCCCTCACAGGTACGGACTCCGTAGTGCTGACAGGATGCATTGTCCCCGCAGACGGCACAGCGACCCTCACTGGTTGCTGGATTTTGGGATTTGTTAGACATCATGTTTCCCTCCACTGTACTAGGGCTTTCCATTGGCCTGTGTTCCATGGGTATGGTGGGGCAATGAAGTGTGGAGACATGCTGCTGGTGAGGCAAGAAGAAGGGGTCGTCCTGTCCCAGCTGAGCATCATGAAGATGTCCCACTGGTGAATGTTGTTCCTGTGTGGCACTAAAGGTGAAAAAGGAGAGCTGCTGGGCCATGGCAGCCTTATCAGCCACAGAGGAGGGAGGGGCCGCAGAGTAGGGGCTGTAAGGGGAATCCCAGGAAGGTGCAGGCTGTGTCTGAAAGCCTGGTGTTACAGGTGAGGACGCGCCGTAAACTGGACTTCCATAGTAATCTGAGCCACATGATGACAATGTTTCATCGAGGCAGCTAAATGCAAAGGAGCCTGGATAACAGCCATACACTTGGAGTTCATCCAGCTTGAAGGCCTGGTTTTGCATTTGAGCACTTGAGCTTTCAGCTACTGTGGGGGAACTGAAAGATGCCGTGAAGGCGGGTGGAGAAGTGGTAATCTTGCAGGAATACGCATCAAACTCCCCCGCATAGCCATTTCCCACTAAGGTGTTAATGCTGGGCAAAGAAGATGTAGACAGCTGATCTTTTTGGCCACTGATGTCCATCACCAGTTTGGCACTGAGGTCAGGATTCAAGAACTCAGAGCTGAAGTAGGTGTCATGGGGCAGAGATGCAAACTGGGTTTGAACACAGGGCATTGCTAGGATAGAGAACAAAAAAACAATGTCATCCAACATATGAACCTCTAATATTTCTTTAATTTTACGACAGGAGGGTCGAGGGTCTTGGGGTAAATATAAATACATAAAGATCGTTATGAACAAATTAAAGAGTGTAAAACCAAACTGCACACCACAGTTAAAATTCTGGGAGTGTATAAAGGAGCACCCAGCATTGCTCTATGCCAAAAAAGGGTTTATAATAAAAAAAACTGTTAATAATCCTCCTGCTGCTCTGACCCAAACAGTAGCCTACATTAACACTTTTGGATCCTACTGGCTCCTTTCCCTGACACCCCATTCCTTCAGCTTCAGAGCCTCTGTGTCTTCTTTAGAAAATAGAGAGGGCGGTCCAGTGAGGCACAGAGATATTAGCAGATATTGTGTTACTGGTGTTGGCTGCTCTAAAAAGCTCCTACAGTAAAGGGCAACCCTCTTTCACAGGGACCATACATTAGAGAGTGTTGCAGGTTGTATTTCAGTGTGGGCTATGTGACAGCTTAAATGGAAAAGGTGGCAAATGCCTGTTCACAGGTGCTTGTGGGATTTTAAGTAGAAAATGTGGACCAGGTCTCAATTTATCACCTAAGCATTCCTAGAATAATGGTTATCGATACCAGAATTTTGAATTACTTTGTTTTTTTTAATTGAATAGGAAAGCCCCTCATAGTGAAGAATCCCAAAGGTCATACCCCAAATCCTAGACCCCAACCCTACGTAGATCAAGTTAATCACTAAAGTATAGCAGCTAACTCTAAACACATTAAACAACAGAACTACTCAAACCATCACATTGTAATTTCCATGGTGGAATTTCCCAAAGTGACTGATAATGTTTCATTTAATCTAATCTAATCTAATCTAATCTCATTTGAACTTTTAGAAAGTTCCTTTCTTCCAGCTTTCAACTGAAAGTCCCAAAAGCTTCACAGGTGTCACTTCTTTGATCATATTAACTTCCTTCACAATTACATTACTCTGTATACACAATTAAAACTGAGTAAACTTCAAATAACAATGACTTGTCTTAAGTAGACTTAGACTTAAGTAAGTAAGTAAGTAACACCAGCACAAGTAATGTGATATGTTGTAATCGTACATCTGTGCTGCTACAATGTGGTGTAACAACATATACTGTGTATTTGAAAAATTTAATTTTGATCCATATGTATTAAACTAATGTTTTCCACTACTGAACACATTTTGGGTTCATGTACTTTGTAAAACATTTTCTATACACATTTCTTTTTAATCCCTGTTAGTAATTTAATAATAGAAGTATTACCAACTCTAAAAAGCTATATGTTAAATAGATCGCTTTTATTTAGTGAACTGATTAAGAACTTTTGTGACTCCTCTGAGGGTCTAGACCAAGTCTTTGGGAATGACTGGATACGACTGCGTGAGTAATAGTAAGGTGGCCATTGCTGTCATACATGACTAAACATTCAAGTAAAAGTGTTATGTATTACTCGCATATATATGAATTTATTATAATTTCTTTGCTCATTCATAACAAATACAAGTTAACAAGACTTTTAACGTTTAACGAACCAGATGTGTTGTTGTTATATACCGTCAGATAAATGACAAAGTTGTAGCATCAAGTTAATAATACACAAACGTACATAAATGCACTTACCTGATTTCTTTAAATATCCAGGGCTTAAAACTTTTCATTTATTCCAAACTCATGTCAAAGTAAAACCAACTCTTAAGCGCACTCATTCAAAGCACACACACCCACTGGGCTCAAGGCGAACACACCGCTCCATACACTCTTGCTTTATTTTGGCTGCGTAATCAGAAGGGCGGGGCTATGTCCATAAATGGTCTACAGGGTGGTGGAATTTTCCGGGGTTGTAGCCAATCAGCACTGCGCTCTGTACAGACGTACTTCCGCGTGACGCACGCTCGGGATTCCATTGACGCAAGAGCTGCAGGATGGTGCGGTCTAAAAATAGTCCTCAACGACAGTGGCGCTCACGTGGGTCTATTACTGGCTGAAAAGTGCTAAGAATAGCGTCAGTTCGGAGGTGTGTACGTTTTTCAGAGTGGAAACATTAACGATTTGACATGTTCACTGCGGTGATGTGTGTAATTACTACACCACACACCAGGAAACACCTGTGGGGATTTCTCTTTTTTAACCAAAGCTTTGTGTTGATGTTCGAAGAGCACCAAAAGCAGGCACGATTGCAGTATAAAAACCGGAGAGTGGTCTAAAATTGTGATTATATAAATAATAAGGTTTATTTAACGCGAGGGGAGTATAACAGGTTAGCATTGCTAAGCTAAAAGTAATGGGCTTAACACTACTATGAGAAATGAGGTATGTGACTTCTACCAGCATCAGTAACCGCAAATATTACCTTCATAAAAAGTCGGTTTATGTTGCACAGGAACTAGAATAATATTCTGAGGAGGAGGACTACATGATTTTAACCATCCGGTTACATGCGAAGATGCTTGTTCATGATGACTTTGTTTTAGGTTTTTCCCCATGAAATAAAATATTGAATGAAAAATGTGTTAACATTTCTTTTATATTTTAATTATGCAGCAAATGACAGAAACGCAGTTGTATTATCAATGTCACATTTTAAATGACTTGATGATCTTAAATGAAAAATGTTCTGGTGTTTTTTGTTTTGTTTTGTTTTTTTACTTGGAAAGCAACATTAAATCTTGTGTGATTAAAATATTTCAGGATCACTTTACTTCAGATACACAGCATCCAAACCACAGCTGAAATAAAGATCCTAATTGTGACGACAATTCAACAACTTTGAAATTATAGAACATGTTACAATCTAATGTCATCAATGAATCATGTCTACTATGAATGTCAGTCACAGCCACAGCCGCAGACATTCAAAAGCAAGGGCATCAGTTTAATACTATCTTTCTCCACATCAACCAGGAAAACCAACACGTACACTAACACTTGAAACTTCTCAAGGGATCGTGCATGTGGTCTTGTTTCTTTTTTTAAGCCCCTAGAAAGCGAGAAGGACAATTCAGAGTATGCAAACATTGAGATTTACTTCCAAGGCAGCTGAAGAAAAGGCTCACGCCAAATGTAATAAGGGCTGTAACATTAGTACTTTATTAATTAGCTGAAAATAAGTTATTTCCAACAGTTTTGTATTTGACATAACAGAACACATCTGTTTGTGCTTTAGGAAATTTTTGTTTGCATAAAACTCGGTAATTTTTAAAAATAAAATGTTTCATATGAGGCCATTTCTTAGCTCTGTTTTGATTCTGTTCAGTCCATACACTGTTTGTGCTTTAGGAAATTCTTGTTTGCATAAAACTCAGTAATTTTTAAAAATAAAATGTTTCATTCATGAGGCCATTCTCTGTTTTGATTCTGTTCAGTCCATACAAGTTGATTCTCTAGACTAGAGCTGGTGTCTGCTCGGCTCAGCAGGCACACTTTGGATAAATAGTTACAGTAATGGTCGTAATAAGAAGTAAAACACATAATTTAACATCTAATTTGATGTTGACATTAGAAGTTTCCTCATCACTGAGCATTTGTAGTTGTTTTTTAATAAATGTGGTTTTACAGGCAGTGGAATTCCACACTTTCTACTCAGTTTTGCCCACAGTGATCCTGTGACACATAAAGACGTAAAGAGAGAAGGAGAGAGAGCGAGAGAGTGTATCACATGCTTCTAACACTGAATAACACCTTTGTTGTTGCCTCTTCACAACCTCTGGATTCATCCGCCTCTCAGCCGCCTGCTCGGATTCAATTCCAGCCTCTTTTTTTTTTTCTAAGTGCAAATACATTTTACTTACACTGCACAGTTAGTACTCTTTAAACACTACTGTAGATTATTTTTTTGTTTTGACCCATTTTATAAATCCTGTCATTTATATGAAATAATGTTTAACCATAGAAACAATGTTGTCATGAAACATTTGCAATATGGAAATTATTTTGGCAACTTCCGACACATTCTGAATATGTGTGAATATGTGTTTTATTATCTGAATGCAAGTACATTTTATTAGACATTTCCACATATGTATTATTATTATTATTATTATTTTCTGCATTTTGAACGATAAAACAATGATCGATGGTTTCACTTAAGTTTCCAGACACTAGTAGGTGGGATGACACTTGTAAACACTTGTAGACACTTTTAAAACTGCATTCAGTTATTTCTTTTATGTGTACCATAAAGTAAACACTTCATAGTACTCATAAAGAATCAGCACTGTACCGGCAAGGATGAAAAAACACATACACTCTGAATAAAACAATGATAAATCATGAAGCATTAGAAAGGACAGAGAAAACAAAAGATAAACTACTGTTTATTTATTCAACACCTTTATCCTAAATGCACAAATAAATAAACTACTGTTTATTTATTCTAATACAGGAAAAACACAACACCTTTATCCTAAATGCACAAATAATGTGTTGTTGTTTATCTGTAACCTCTACATTAGTGTCTTTAACCCCTTACATTGTCCTCGCAAATGTCAACACCTTTGTTCACCTGCAGCCAAAACCATCCAATATCGTTTTGATTTTATTTAAAGTACATAGTAAAAAGTGATATTGAAATCCATGTTGTAAAAAAATGTTTTTTTCTTTTTTAAATATTGGGCCAATAGACCATGTTTACACTACAAAAGTATAAGCATTCATTTTATTTGGGGTCAGAATGATGACATGAGGGTTTACCTTTTTTTTAACAGTTCAGAAACACACCAGGGATAAGGTGAAGAGCGCAAAAACAAGAATAACAAATTTTCAAGAAAATAACTCTTATTACCCAGTTAGGTTTTAACCTGAAAATACTTTTCCATTTCAGTAATGTATTCTATTTTGTCACTTCTTCTATATTTTGTTGCTGTTGTTGTTTGCTATTGAAGTATGTGTGGTCTACTGTGACATGTTATTGTGGAGGATGTGGTGGAACAGTTCCTCTACTTGTGGTGGAAGAAGGAGGACGGTTTAGTTGCGGCAGCCAGAAGCATGTTGGCTTGGTTCTTGTGAGTTATGTGGATCTAAAATGACGCAAACCAATCACATGATTATCTGACAAAGAAGTATTTTAATAAAAAGAAAAAATATATATTATCCAATTTACTATTTAGACCCAAGATACAACAATGCTCAGCTGGTGAAATCTTAAATACAGTGTAGGTTGATTGTTGTGGGTTAGAATTGTTAGATATACTTACAGTGCAAGGAGGCTGCATCCACGGCTCTCCGTCGATCTGCATAGGCAGAGCTTTGATTGTCCTGCACAGAGGGAGGAGTCAAAGAGTAAGAGCTTTAGTTACAAATAAAGTATACACAGGCAAAGTAAGTAGTAGATAATGGATTTTTAATGTCCTAATATTGGGCAAACTATATGGCAACTCTCATGGTTGCAAAAACACAGCACAGCTGTGAACCTTGATGGTGTTTACGGTTGTTTCTGTTGTTTTTTAAGAACATCACCTGATGGTGATTTGAGAAGTCTGGGCCAGCCTGTGTCCAGCACTCTTCATCCCAGTGTAGATTTGTCCCATCTCTATGGCTCCTCCCAGCCCCACCACCTCCAGCCGCTTATCACTCATATCTGCAGGGTGATCATACACGTACAGAAAAGAGGACAGCAGTAGTATTAATATCTGAAGTCAGTCCACTGATAATTTGAAATCTGCCAAAATATAGATTCTTCACCTTGCGAGACTGATTTTAGGAGTTCAGGGTCAATAATAACTTCAGAGTGTTCAGCCTCAGGTGCACCATCAGACTTCTTGGATTCCCCCCACAGGTTGGATCCTCCATGCATGCTGGGTATGTTAAGGACAGCTATTCCCTCTAGAGACAAGTGACTCAGTTCTACGAGCTTCCCACAGCACTGGTGGAGGAAGAGTGGTGAGTTTTTACAGTTAAAAGTTACCATAGATCAGTGATTCCCAACCACTGTGCCGTGGCAGACTAGTGTGTCGTGAGAGATCATTAGGTCTGCCGTGGAAAATTTCACTTAGTTGGACTGAAATCTATTATTTATTAATTGCATATCATTCTTCTTTGCTCTCAAAGCATGAAAGGTAGAACAATTAAATGCTCTTCTGATGGTGGCAGCAGATGGCTGTGAAAACTAAAAAAAAAGATAATCAGATCATCTTTGTCAGTGTCTTTCTCCAATTCCTGCCAGTATACCAGTGTTGTCTTTAATTAAACCTGCTGGGGTTTTAGTGAATTATGAGGTCATTTACACTAGAAGTGATTATCTTATTTCATTACAGCTACTTTCTGTGAGAATTTTGTTCGGTGATGTGACGTGGGTTTTTTCCCTATGATGTATATGTGGCTGAAAAAAGCAGAAACATTTACCTCAATCGAAAGACAGTCTGTCAGCTTTTTGCAGGAGGCAGAGATAGTTTCAGAAGTAGCAAACTCAAAATACCACAGTTTGTTCTTCATCCTTTAAATTCAAGGGAGATCAGCAAGAAAATCTTCGTTAAGTCCTGAAGTCAGACAGTAATTACACTTTCATTTATTAATGGAAAACAGTTCATGCTGCACCTGCTGTTGAATCTCTGAGGAAATTTCTCTCTCATGGAATGGAAACGATGAGCAATAGAGGCATCCTGCTCACATTGACCCAAACAAAACGTTACTCATCGTAGTGATCCATCACACAGTAGTGAGAGGTGTGAGTACTTTTGATAAGGCGGTGACTCACCACTCCAATAGAAAAATAGTTGTTAATGATCTGGTACGGTACGGGGTCTCCGATCTCCTGGGGGTCGTCAGGTATCACCCGGATGCTCCAACGATCCAGTGGAATCACCGTGCTGACTTCAATCTCCTTCAGGATTTCTCGCAGATCTGACCCCTCGTAGCCTTGAATAGTAACAGACCAACAAGGCCAGTTTATGAGTAGTTGTTTTTCAGTTTAGCAGTACTGCGCGTGTTGTTTTACCTCCTCCCCAGCGAAGACAGCGAGCCATGTCATTCCCAGTCCCCAGAGGTAGGACAGCTACAGGAGGACGCACCGGAAGTTCAGCTTTGTCTGAAATCACAGAGACATGAATTAGGAGCCTGTCTGCTGAGCCCAGACCAAACATCAGAACTGCAGTACCTATAGCATCCAACAGCCAGCCGACAGTGCCGTCTCCTCCGCAAACTAAGATTCTGTAGTTGTTGAGGTTGTGGAAAAAGTGCAGCCTAAAAGTCAAGGTTAGGTCAAGGTGAAGTCAAGGTTAATGTCAGGGAAAGAATCACGTGCTTAAAAGTGCTGCGTACCCTGGAGCAGGTCCTCCGTTGGACAGGTTGTAGACTTGCCGTGGGTTCAACAGGACATGAAACTTTCTGAGCACTCTGCAGCAAACACAGAAACAAATCAGATAGACATGACACACAAGTTAAACAAACATTTGGCAATTATTGACTTAGTATTTCAAAAAATGTAAAATATAGCGTTTTTAGTGGAAAAACATAACATACATAATCCAGATCTCTGTAAGTAAAAACACTTCTTACTTTTCACCCTGTTTTCCTCCACTTTTTGGATTGACAAACACCAACAGAGGGTGGGCATCAGAAACTGGAGCACACTACAAAAATAATACCTTCTATTAATGAAAGACAAAAAATGTTAAACTATATCTTATAAATACAGTATTGAAGTTTTCTTTAAAAGTGTTCAGTTCTTTGACAGAGACTGACCTGCAGGATGTGGCCGTCAGGAGTTACATTCAACAGAGAGGTATCCTCCTCCTGAAGGGGAAATAAAATAAAATGAATAAAAACAAATCAGATTTTTACACGTATCTTTTCTTTGCTGTTTTTCCCCCGACCTTTGAGACAGCGTACACGGCCCATTTTGCTGTTTTTTTCTCCCCCCTGACCTTTGAGACAGCGTACACGGCCCATGGAGGCATTATATGGTCTTTCAGCGGCCCACAGTCACAGGTTGGGTCGGAGAGAAGACAGTCTTCATGACGCTTCATGATGACAAAAGAAAGACACAGTGAATACAGAATATATTTTGTGAATATCGGTCGGAATTTGTATAAAAACGATGATCATTTTGTGAATATCGGTCGGAATTTGTAGAATCCACGGTGCTCACCCACTCCTGACACCACACACAACGTCTTCCCGCCAAAGTTTTGATCTTCTTGTGACAGACCTGACATTTAGTACTGCTGCCTTCAGCTCTGATCCAGTCATGAGCTTTAACCTGGGACACAGAGGAGACACACACACACACACACACACGTATGATTGATTTATATCACACCTTTTACAGTAATTTAATCCCAGACCTGTGGAGGAACTGTTATGTAAGTGGAAATGTGATGTTGTGTTTTCTTACACCAATGTCCTTCTTAGACTTGACAAATGTGCGGGCACAGGGCTCTGGGTTCTTGTTGGCACAGTTACTGTGGACCGTGTACTTGCAACCTGTTGGAAAACAGCATATCTAAACATCAGAATGAAATTCCTTTTTTTAAATATAATACTTAATTCTATCGAACTCAAATATGGTGAAACAGCCAAGTCAGCGGCATTAGAGATCTATTTTTTTACACATGTTTGCCCCCTGCTGTCAGCTGTGGGCACCTACAGGTGCAGCAGAGTCCCTGCTTCCTGAGGCCGAGGAGCATGTTGTGACACAGACTGCAGTAAGTTGGTTTGTTGAAGTTTTTCATCCTCCATATATGCTGTCCATCCTTCTCCGGTACCTGTGGGGGAAAGGGTCAAAAATGAAAAGGTCTGTCTCAAAGAAAAAACTCACAGCGATGTTATTGTTGTTGGTGTACATCATCACTGATAAATGTGAGGAATTATGCAGCACATTTTTTTCCTTTATATGTATTTAAGAATGTCTACATTACTAGTTGTAATTACAGACATCTCCAATCTCCGAGTTCTTTATTCTACTTAAAGGGATGTGACAGGTATCAGATGTTTGGCTGGCGTTGGCGGTGCCTGCAGACAGTAAACGTTCCCTGCATCATTCATTTTCTGCCCTGGCATTATCCATTAACGTTCCATTAATCACCGCTTCCCACAATGTGCTTGATTTAATTAAATTCTGTTTGATGTCATTTCCTTAAGACCTTCCTCTATTTTAATGACTGTCGTTTCCGTAGCGTACGCTGTTGAAAAGATTAATTCTCTGATGGCCAGCATAGCAAACCTGTTGAGTCAAAAGGACGTCTGAGAGAAGACCGTGCACATCTTCTGGAGGTGTAAAATAGCATTACAGTGACATAATTGCAGACCACATTATCACTGACTTATTGTCAGAATAGTAGGTTTAAATTTGCCTCATCAATAGCTCACCTTTGCAAATAGCACGACTTCCTGTCTCCCTGTAACTTTCAGATTCTACAGGCACTCGTTCACTCACCATAGTGGCCAGAGAAAAGTGTGAAAAAATCCTTTTGTTAAATTTTCTCAGTTTTGTTGTTGTTGTTGTTGTTGTTGTTGTTTTGCTAGATCAGTAAATCAACAAAATGTCTCCTTCCCAGACTCTCAGCCTCAAAGGAGCAAAGACTGCTTCTCCTACTACAGGGTTGCATGTCTGTTGTGATTTGTTGGTTCAGACTTGCAACATTATCTCCACACAAGAAAAAACAAAGATGTTTTTCCATGGTTTAGAAGTTTTACTTAATTATTTTGCTTTAAACCACGTTTTTAAGAGGAACCAAGTCACAACATGAATCTTAACCCAAACAAATAGTTCTAATTTTAGTCATTAAGAATGAAAGGCTCCAAAGAATTTTTTTGCGTCATATTGTAGGGTGTGATCCGGTCTGTGATCGACTGGTGTTTATACTGTAGAAATGTTTGGTTTTCACCTTCAGTCCAAGCAGAACCAGGAGAGGTACGTTGTTCATGCCTCCTTTCAGCCATTCCTCCAGCGTGACCGTCCCACTGGCATCAACATCGATGGCTGTCATCATGTCTTTCAGCACCTGCGCAAACACAATTTCTCATTCATTTATCATCCGTGAGCGCTTCATTAAACAAATTAGAACTCTTGAACGTTGGAGCAGATGTTTCCCTTTTAAAAAGTAGGAAGGAAAGAACTTTCTTACTGTTCTGAGCTCCGTCACATCCCAGCCCAGGTAGTCAGCTGCTCGCATCATTTGGGTGATTATCCGATCCACTTCCTAGAGGGCAGAGTATAATTTACATTCACAGTGGACTTTGGTCTAGGTCTTCTCCACCTTAGTTACATACTGTCCAGTGAGAATGGCCAAGTGTCACGAAAAAGTTTTTAAAAGGGATTTCCGATATTACCTTTTTTTTAATATCCTATATGGCAATATTGTCCAAACACCTAATTTTCGATAATAACTGATACTGTTATAGGCCTGGTAGTATTTATCTATATCTATATTTATTCATCTGTTCAAACCACTGTACAGTATGGAATTAATTAAATGAGCTGCAATGCTGCCATCTAGTGACTTCACTTTGGTATACAGCCGTTTATCCCCAAAACTTTCTAGGGCACACACCGGTTTTTATCGGGTTTTTATTATATGAGGAAAAACCAATAAAGATTTCTACAGACATTACTAATATGCTAATAACGGGCCGATAAAGAAACTATTTTTTGAATCTACAGGCTGTCACTTCAAAGGCATATGTGCCACGTGTCAATCGTTCCATGGTCGAGAACAGTTTTTTATATCAGTTGATGTAGAACCAGCCCTTATTTATTGTACTGTTATGAACTGTGAAAGGCGTTCATACAGCAGGTGCAGCAGGGCTGTGAGTTATCTGTGGCTGTCAGAGTCTGTCTGCTGCCCTGTTATATTTTTATGGCTCTGCAGATAGTGCAGAGCTAATTATTATTTTTAGACAGACTTTAAGTTGGAGGTTACCCATTGGTCTTTGCACTGAAATTACACGTACATAAATACATTTAAACTGAGTTTTCACTTTTATACAGGTTTCATCTTCAAACAAATGGTGCACCTGGTAAAAAATGTAAATGCAGTGGTTTAATGAACTTGCCTGCAACACACCATAAAAAGCTGGGACCATAGGTCGAGGACAGAATTAACATTACTGCCTCTGTTGCAGAGTAAGGCTGTGGATGAACGCCAGTGAACTCCCACTGTTTGAAACACTGTCGTTGTCATGTGAACACACTGTTGCTGTTTTTTTTTTAGTCAGCGTTTTTTCTTTATCATCTCAGTGTCTTCTTTAACAGATATATAAATATATATATATATATGTATGTATATTAAATATAACTTCTCACCACATGTGAGCAACAGTGTAATTGTCCAATAGGAGCCCTGCCACATGCAGTGAACTACTGAATCATCAGTAACTTACGCAACTGTCCAGGATTCCGTTGACGTCTTTGTCGTAAAGTCTGAAAGTGACTGAAAATAATGGGAAAAAAATGTTTATGTGACTTTTGTTTCTTTAACTTCAGTAAACCACTGCAAGAACTTCAGAATACCAACATTCAAGCTTCTCTCGCGGCTTCCCTTCCTCCAGCACTAAGAAGTAACAGGACACATCATAAAGAAAGACTCCTCCTGGAATCAGACAAATGTTTATCACATTAGAAAAAGTTCAACGTTGGATAGCAATAGACCTGGGATGTTAATGGAATACAACAGTATCAAGGAAAATATTACAACTGGAATAACATCGCTTATGTTTAAAACTATAAAAATTCATGTCTGAGATCTCTAAACCAAAAAACTGACAACAGATTTCCACAGGCGTCTCCAGTTTCTGGGAAAACCGGGATAAATTACCTTCTTGGTTGGACCGTTTTTTTGTGTCCCTCTCTGCGTGTTGGAAATAGTGAAAGAGGCGTCGACAGAAATCTGCAGGAAAGTCATCCACCTCCAGGTAAGTCTTCAGAAAGAGACTCAAACCCTTTTCATCGACGCACTGAGGAAGAAACAGTTGTCAGAGAAGATGAACGAAAAACTTTTACAACAAATTTGAATTACTTATGGCACAATTACAATTTGAACTTAATCTGCACAAAGAAATGTAAATACTTGACATCTAATTATAAGACAATGATGTTTGGGGTCAAACAAACATACTGACCTCTCCCACAGTGTGCTGGGCCAGACGGCCGCCCGGTTGAAACTGTTTAATGACATCTTTCACCTTCAAACTGCTGTCTGTGAATAAAACAGAGGATAAATAAATAAATAAAAGTGTTTTTTTTAAGCTCCATCCCTGTTGTATTTCCTGTTATTAATGCATGGAATGTAAAAAAGGAAACACAGGTACTATTTGCTATAAAAATGTTTATTTAGTTAAAATAATCAAAATGTTTAGCAAAATAATGTTAGTTTAATTTAAATAATCAAAATGTTTAGCAAAATAATGATGAATATGATTAAATATAATATTTGATAACATTTAATATAAAACTTTGGAGGAGTGAAGAACTGCCCTGGGTCACAGCTCCTCCGTACCCTGTCTGTCCCTCCTCTCCTCCATCCTTTAGTTTAAAAGGCATTAAGAGTTAAACAGATGAATGAGTGAATGAATACATAAGAAACAAAAAGATAAATGCCAGAAGCAGAGCTGTGACAGAGAGAGTGTGGTAAGAGTAATAATTGTTCTTCCATTAGTCAACATTATGAAACACATTCAGTCTAAAAGCCTTTGGATCCGTTTCATTTCTTCTAAACCCTCTAAGTGGAGCATTTTGTATTTTTAGCCCCATAATTCTCTGTGCCTCCACTCACGAGATCCATCAAATTCTGCATTACTTCTGAACAGCAGCATATTTGGATTTTGGAATTTTTGTTTGTTAAGCTCAGGAGAATTTAAACTCCCGGCCCAGGGGCCACTTCCGGCCCCTAAACCCTCCAAATCTGGCCCGTGACCTGATGTTGATGAATGATTTTATTTTTCCATTGAGATAAAAAAAATAATTTATGAATGAGACAAACAATATTTGTACTATAATTTTTGGTCTATTTATTTATTTGTTTTGTTTATTTATTGACATATTTTATGCATACAATGTAAAAAAAATTAATTTCTATTAAAAGCACTCATGGACATAACGAAAAAATGCTGGTCATATCGACAAAAAGTGTTTAACATGGAAATAATAATAAAAATGAAGCGAAAGTTGTTGAACTCACATTCCATGTACTGCTGCAGTTGGATGAAGTCCACGGGCGTGAGGGACCCCTCTGTGTCATCAGGGGAGGCCATTCTGAGCAGCTTTGAAAACAAAGGAGAAAGAATGCAAACAGGGTGAGTCTGGTTGTCACAGCAGAGTGCTGGAGGCAGGAGGACGACCACTGTTGTGATACTTGATAAAACAGATTATTCATCATTCAACTGCTGACTAGACTCTTTCTGTTTTTACACTGAGCTGAAGTGCTACCTCCACCCAGTCACCGCCTCTGTGACACGTCCCCCAGGATCAGCTGCTGGTTGACTAACTACTTGACCATGTTCATCAAATGAAATCAGTGAAATATCTGTCCTCCACAGGCAGAATATTTCCACACACAGGTCACAAAGAAGCAGTAAGTCATTACAAAGGTAGTAAAAATATTTTAGCAACAGAAAAGTAGCATGTTTTTGTGTTTACTCACCAGTATAGTTTGTCTTTTTTATTTTTGTATTTTTGTTTGAACAAATTTACCTAGAGACGAATATAAACATCCAAAGATGTTCTGTGATATCACAGTAGAGGAAAAAACATATTCATGAAACAATGGATCCCAGATGACAGGGTGGGTGATGACAGCAAAACATCCCAGACTTCTAGGTCATTTGATAGTAGTCTGCTTTGGCACTGACTCATAATGAACTGGTTTTCCTCCATTCCGTGAACTGCACACAACCGTACAAAGTCTGACACTCCCATGTGCACGGACTTTCCAGAGCTTAATAACTGTGGGGTATTTACACCATTAATGTGATATCCCAGAGACGTAAGACGTAACCTTTTTTTTTTTTTTACAGAACCAAGAGTTAAGGGCAAATGAGGTCACAGGTTTATAGAAGAGGACTGGAGAATGACAATGAGATGAATTGTTTTCTGTGTCAGACAAAGAACATCGCAAATATGAAAACATCAAAGTAAATATAACCTTATATGATAGATAAATAATTGTGATTAATTATATTCCAGTTAATTCATTTCATATATATAATTCATATAAAAACTGTGGATTTAATGTGGACAGTAGTTATTCATTCATTCATTTAATTATTATTTATTTTAAATCCATTCCATTATTGTTAAGCTTCATGTATAATCCCATCATTATTAATCAGCACCACACTGTCTGCAGACTGATTCACAAATCATGACAGTGTAGATTAAAAGGCACATCCATCAGAGAGGATTATATCTGCAGATCAAACAGACTGACACACAATGTCCTGTTTTTAAAAGTTGTTCAGGTGTTGACACAAAAAGAAAATAGAAAATACCCCCCTCTCCTCTCCCCCCACTCCGCCGCCCCCACCCTACCCCTCATTCTTACCTTTTCCTGGTGTGCACTTAAACTTCGGTAGAAACCAGCAGAGCGTGTCCCTGATGATCAGCTGCACCACACTGGACAGCACCACTGGCTGTGTTGGCTGTCAACAGTCAGTGTGTGCCACAGTATTAGAGGATAGAAGGGATTAAAGAATGGGTGGAGGAAGAAGAGGAGGAGGAGGAGGAGACACACACACTCAGCCGTGATCACAGTCACTCCCACAGTCACTCCCTACACTCACAGGTTTGTTTGTCAGTCGGTGGCACTTTAAACCTTACTGTTAACCATTTATTCTTGGTCATAAGATCTTTAGATTTGTCTACACAGTAAAACATTAAATTTGATTCTGTCCTTGCAATCTAAAAAGAGACAGAGACAGAAAGTTCTACACTGTTTGCAGCAGATACTTATTTTACTACTCATCTAATATACTGGTGGTGACAATGAAATACTTTTTATAGTTATGTTCTCCAATAACTTTTTTTGATATTGCTTGTGAGAAGACGAAAAAGTTTATATGTTGCATGTGAGATAAGAGAAAAAAATTGCACTTGCTGAAGATACTACATATATTGCAATACAACATATATAAATTGTATGACTACTGCTAATAGAACAATAATTTAAAAACCAACGCTGTACAACGACAGGTCCAAATGTGCCATTTACGAAGCAATGTGTTATTAATAACAGAAGATGGCGGTAAAGATGTTTGGTTACAGAGGAGCGCTCACTATTGTTTTTGACAGAAGAAGACGACGTTGACGCAAGTGTTTACGTTTTTCTTCTTCCGCACTCTTGGAAGCGGAGTACCATTTACCAATCTGACGCTAAATTCTGTCTTTCTGGGAATACCCGCGGCCATGCTTCTTATATTAAAATTAAGCAGTAGAGATACTAATCAGATTAATATGTTTATAACCGTTCGCCGTCGTCTGTAGACGTCGAACTGAAAGCTTTTCCTCTCGCTTTTCATCGCAGGCAAAGCTAACGCTAGCAGTGCTTTAGCAGCGGCTGTGGACGTAAATTGAATAAGTGATCTCCAGATTCGCTTGAGTTCACTTAGAAATCGAACAAGGCAGTCATGGCCACTAGGCGTCTGACCGATGCCTTCTTGTTAATGCGGAACAATGCAATCCAAAACCGGCAAATTTTGGCTGAGCAAGTGAGTACAAACGACCCCCGTCTGAGTACACGTAGCAATGCTGCGGTGAGTGGTCTGCATCGTTTTGACATTTTACTGTGTGTTTGCATTTTAGCCAGTCACCCAGAGCTGTCAGCTAAGTGCAGCTGTGTGCGCCTCTCACTGCTGCTCTCTTCATATGTTTGTTTCCACATTCATTATCATCACCATCATCATATTATTCTTAATATAAATTCCATCGTAAACATTTGCAAACCTGCTCGTTTGACCAAGAGAAGCCGTGAAAGTACTGTAAGAAGTCGTGTAATATCTTCTATTTACAGTGGTGATGGGGGAAACGAAGAAAATGAGATGTTGGCTACAGTAGCATCTGCCATTTTACACTCGACGACGTATTCTTAATTACATACTGTAACCCAGGTGTACTGTGGCACCTAAATGGTAACTTGAATCAAAATGAAAAATGTTCTACTAAAATCAGGGCCCTAACGTTATGTCATGATAATGACAAGCTGTGATGCCTTAGTCTTGTCTGGGCAGATCGTAATGTTTTGCGACAGTAGAAAAGTATATATACCAGTTCATGACACTGTTGGTAGAGAAACTTGTACAAAGAAACTTGGGTCTGTAGTTCAGTAATTAATATGGATTTTATTAATCAGAAAAATAGACCTTAAAAAGAACATTTAGTGATGCCTATAATTGAATAGTATTGTAAAAAAAAAAATCTCATGAAGTCAAGAGAAATAAATGTGTGTGATAATCTAGCATAGATGTCTTACCGCATTGGAAAATGTCATGAACAAAGCGACATGGGTTAAGAGTTTCTTTAGGAAATCATTGGCCCTTTACAATAAGAGAAATAAGTGATAATCTAGCATAGATGTTTTACTGTATTAGAAAATGTCATGGACAAAGCAACATGGGTTAAGAGATTCTTTAGGAAATCATTGGCCCTTTACACAGTCTGCAGCCACTCTGACAGTTTTATAAGTTACCATGTCGTATGAAACCACACTGTGAGCCTGGGGTAGCAAAGACGACAAAAAGATTGAGTGACTATGAACTGGGAAAATATTTACTGTAAATTCACATTGTATATACAGTGAGACGTGTCCTTACGCTGCATGGACTTTAACACAGTTTTTCTATTTCACTTTAAACCATCTACGCATGTGCAAATTGCATTTTAAGCTGCAAACATAAATAAACTTCAAAAAGACAGTAATTCATGACGTAGAGACACATCACAATAAATAGTTGTACTGTATGTTGTCATCCTGCCCCAACCCTACATTAGAATGCAACTGGTTGGCTCCTTTTGTTATGCGACTGGGTTAGAAACAAGAGACTGACTGAATCATGGACTTAGTTACAGTGACACCTTTAACAACAAAAAGAGGTTCAACGTCAGGTTCAGGTTAGCAATAGAAGTAGTAGGTTTTCAGGATCAATCGTTTCCTGACGTTTGTGTCAATTCATTGCTGCCTCAAAGCAGAACATTTGTCACAATCGTGCATTTTCATTTTCTCCGTGTCACAGCTAATTGTATACAGTGGAGCACTCTGTGTGGTTCCTGAGTCTCAGTATGGTAGAGTGAACTGTAGTGAAGAGCTCATATTGAACATCAGCATGCAGAGTCAGAGAAACTAGTGTTTATTCTCTGACCCAGTTCTTTAGGACACAGGATGTTATAGTTCACATACTGTATGTACTCCTAGTCCCACTGGTGTTTTGCTTATAAACTATTAGCATACCTTTGAGCATTCTAGAAAATAATATCCATAAGCCCAAAGGTAAATGTTATAGAGAGGCCTGTACAAAGTCTTAGCTACAGTAACTGACAACAATTACAGAAAACATGAATCTTTTTGTTAGGACTGGATGCAAACACACTCCTGTCTTTTCACTGCTGTTTTTTTTTCTCCTGGGCTCACTCTCTGTTACCTCTTCTGCTTCTTCTTTCTCTGTTGGATGGGACCACTGCTATCTGTCAATCACATTAGGAGCTTGATGAGGTACTGCTCTTTTATTTCCCGTGCAGCATTGCTAACACTGGTGTTGTTGTTTGGGTTTACTACATTGAGTGTATGCTTTAAATAATTGTCAATTATTTGCTAATGTATGAAGTTGGCTGATGATCGAATGGCCCTGGTGTCTGGAATAAGTCTGGACCCTGAAGCAGCCATTGGAGTGACCAAGAAACTTCCCCCAAAGTGGATCGATGGAATCGATGAGGTGAAAATTGAATGAGATATTCTTTGAGTCTGATGGGAGTCCATGTGTAATTTTCTTTCGCTCAAAATTGCTTTTGAATACTTCAGATCCAATATGAAATCACAAGGATTCGACAAAAGATGAAGGAACTGGCCCTACTTCACGACAAGCACATGAATCGTCCAACGCTGGACGACAGCAGCGAAGAAGAGCATGCAATAGAAATCACTACACAGGAGATCACACAGGTGATTCACTTCACAGACCAGAATTTAAACAGCAGTGTTTCCCACAAGATTTTGGTGGAGGGATGGGGGAGTTAGAGCTCTACAAGATTTTGGTGGAGACTGTGGTGGAGGGATGGGGGAGTTAGAGCTCCCTTGCAAAATTGGTGGAAAATATATTCCGTGATGCTATCTCCTCCTGTGTGTCCACTGCAGATGTTTCACCGTTGCCAGCGAGCTGTGACAGGTTTGCAGGCTCGCTGTGGTCACTGCACCGAGCAGGAGGAGCGACTCCTGAGGAACGTGGTGGCGTCTCTGGCACAGAGTCTGCAGGAACTCTCCATCAATTTCAGACACACACAGTCTGGCTATCTAAAACGTAGGCAGACCTTCTCCCCAAATACTTTGACTCCTGCTGCTACAGCAACTGTCAGTGTCCTTCATCATCTCATGTCGTTGCTTTGTTAACCAGGTATGAAGAACCAAATCACTTTTTTGACTCTGGGCCTTTAATGGAGGAGGATGAAGATCTAGCGCTGTATGACAAAGTGAGTGTGACTTTTTGCCAACTCTGCTCTATAGGCACTGGTGATGACATTTGTACGAACCCAAAGATACAATGGAAATATGTTTAGCAAAAACAATGTAATGTTTTTATTTATGTATTGATTTGCAGGTGCTGTGACAAAATCTAATGTCAAACTAAAGAGATGATTTGTGTTACTTCACTAACAAGTTATATTTTCTTTTTCCTTCTCGTGTTTCAGGGATTTACAGATGACCAGTTAATGCTGGTAGAGCAGAACTCAGTCATGGTTGAAGAAAGAGAGCGGGAAATTCGACAAATAGTGCAGTCTATCTCAGACCTGAACGAGATTTTCCGGGACTTGGCTGGAATGGTTCTTGAACAGGTAAAAATAAGATTTAAAAAATCTACCAGAGCTGCATTTCACAGAGACTCATACAGCTGGAAAGTAATTTTGCACCTTGCAATTTTTTGTATTATATTGCATAATTTATACTTTTGCACAACTACTTTTTGGTGTTTATCAACAAGTGCTGTTTATTTAAAATACCACACTCAATACAAACAGTGGAAGAGACAGTCGTGGTGATCGTGTATAAAAAAAAAAGGTAAAGATGTAACAGTTGTTGTGATCTACCTTTTGCTGGTTTCTTTTCAAGGGTACCGTACTTGACCGGATTGACTTCAACGTGGAGCAGGCCTGCGTTAAGACAGAAGATGGATTTAAACAGTTACAGAAGGTAAATGTCACACTGGTCACTAAAATGGTTTTTTGTCCATTTAAGGTTAATTTTATTTCTTAGTAAAAGCAGTTAAAAAAGACACTACAGTAAAGTTGATACTTTTTGAATTGAACATAAAAATATATATATATGTGTGTGTAATTCCATGTTTTCCTCTGTGTGTGTGTGCAGGCGGAGCAGTATCAGAAGAAAAACAGAAAGATGTTGGTCATTTTAATCCTCTTCGTCATAGTCATTGTTCTAATTCTTATTCTTTTTGGAACAAAGTTTTAGTCCTGCATTCCACCGTCTGTGTGTGTTTTCTGTGTGGCTGTATGTTGTGCCTCTGTGTGGACTTGGACTTGGACTTGGTTTTACTGAAAACAAAGCTGACTGCCTTTCAAACCCACTTCGACGTGACAGGAAGGGTCCCGTGTCTGCTTGACTGTGTGAGGAGATTTCTGTGATGACGTTTCGGTGAGAGAAACAATCAGCCGTCTGTCCGAGCTGCTCTAAGACATTTAAATCACGTTTAACCCTCAGTGACAGAGGTTCATCAAACATGGCTGTGCTGACATTTCTGTCTTAAGAACTTTGGGGTGTTTAAAAAAGGACTTCCAGAGGCTGAGACTGTGTTCTCTGCTTGACCTGAAGCATTTGACATTTCCTGTGAGTAGAAGATTATTTTTGTCTTTTCAACATCAATGTGAAAAGAGAAACGCTGTAAACAAGAAACTACAGCAAAATCATTTTGATCCTAATTTGGGCTGCTGGAACAACTACTTCAGTTGTCTGAATCATAGAAGAAAATTACCTAAAAGTTGTGCAGTACAAAAAAAAGCAGATGGTAAGTAGACTGTCGTACCGGATCAATCGGATAATATCAACATTAAAGAATGTATTTTATGTAAACTCACTCACATTTTTATTTTAGAACAGCTGTATACTTTATCTTTCCATCGCCTCCCAATCACTGCAGCCCTCGTCCCGCTGAGGTTCAGTATTTTGTGTAATGGCATTACCAGGTATGTTTCAAAATGTAATCATGAAGTACAAACAAATACTGTTTGGTTTGAGGACCATGTTTTTCTTTAATTGTGTATATGTGACACCACACTTCACTAAGCCCGCCCCCTCTTCCTACTGAGGTCCTTGCTTGTCCACTGATGATGCCACAAACATTTTGCCTCTCAACTCTGATCTCTTACCATTGTCACACACTCACCACACCAGGCTTTGAGAGCTTGTTTTAAAAACACTTATTTTTATTTGTTTTTGTTCATTATGGTCCTTGTATTAAGTGCTACCTTAAAAAAAAAAAAGAAAATTGCAGTTTGCACAAATTGAAGCTTGGGTAGGATTGGGGAGGTGTAACCGATGTGATACTACTGGCATCGACATATTGAGAAAAACTATAATTGATTTATTTATTTTAAATAGCTTTGAGTAGCCCAGAGGTTAAGAAGTGTGAGGCGTCAGACCTCAGGCAAATACTGTTCAGTGAGTACATGAGTGTATGTGAAGCCTGTACCTGCCTGTTATCGTCCACTCCAGTGAGAAAGCTGTGAACTGAACTAGTCCAACACAAGCAAACCTATGAAGACTGCATTACCAGGTTGTTTATTTGTTTTTCTTTTGTTCTCATTCTGGACATGTCATATTTTAGCGAACTGTTGGAGTCTAATTCTTTTATAAAGACTGATGAGCTGAAATGATGAAGAGCTTTATTTGATATATATCTGTACACAGCTGTTCAGTTGTCTCATTGATGTGAAGTTATATGTGTGTGTGTGTGCGTATGTGTGTGAAAAACAATTATGTCTTATAGGTACTTCACTGGAGTTTTGTTTCTGCAAACAAAATGGTTAAGGACAATGCAGCTTTTTCAAAAATAAACAAGGAAAGTGGTGTCGATGTGTGTCTGTTGGGAATGCCATATATTATTTAACTTTTACTAGTTTTAAATTTGATTTTTTTCAGAGTTGAGGACAGTAATGTCAGTAACCTTTAAGGATTTATTTACTAAATATCCATAAAAAGCAAGAATTCTTTTAATGTACTTTTTTGCAGTTTAACCTGTTGAAAGAGTCTCAAACTTTTATAAAAGAATATTTTGAGAATTCTGACATACAGTTTATGCTGGTGGAAATCTGGAATTTGGAAGTGAAAGCCCCACTTAATGTTGGAATCCTGAAATTTAAGGAATTTTGACTTTAGTTCCAGAATTCTAAGATATTTTGACAACGATTTTAATTTCTTACATGGAATGCAATTCAAATCAATAGAATGTGTAAAACTCTTGGAAGATAACTTAAATTTCTCGTACAGAACTGAAATTCGTAGGATGAAATTTAGAAAACGTTGTATTTTAAATCTGCATTCTAAAATTTTCCCAAAACACAAAAAATGATGACTTTAAACCCAGAATTGTTCGTTGTCACTACTCGTTTAAAGTTCACATGTTGGGAGCCACACTCCAGAGGAGGCAGTAACGTGCCCAAAATCAGCTTGGACACCTCCATTAACCACAAAAAGAAGAGAGTGCTCCGAACGATTTGAGTTTTATCCATATATTAAAATTATAGAATGAGCTTTACCGTAGAAGAAGATAGCCCGTTCCCCGCGGATGACGGCCTGTTCGCGGACACCTTTTCTCAGGATATCGACTACACTCTGTGGGGTCAGCAGCTGAGGATTAAACAACTGTTCGGTGCGAACCTCGGCGTGGCTTCGACGGTCTGGGATGCTGTAAGTCTGCAGATACACACAGTTCAATCAGTGAGACAGAGAGTGGATTTTCTGTGTCAGTTAAGTTGTGATGATGGCGCTTGTGTGTTGGGTTTGTTTAAAGGCTGTGCTCCTGTGTCGGTTCCTGGAGCTGCAGCGTGTAGAGCTGAGGGGGAAGCGTGTGCTGGAGCTGGGAGCCGGGACCGGTCTGCTCGGTACTGTGGCGGCTCGTCTCGGTAAGTAAATAAAACACACACTGGGTTTATTTACTCACAGACGTTCTATGTACACAAGTTTTTGTTGTTATTTTTTTTTTGTTTTCCCTCTGCGTCTCCACGTGAGAGAAGAAGAACGAAGTTGCTCCTTCACTCTGTTCACTCAGGTTGCTCATTGCTGCCATCTTCTGGCACATTGCAGACATGCTGCTGACGTGTTACAGACAACAATTCAAACAAACATTTTTTTTCTTTTTTTCTTTATGCTGCATTGTACTATGGTACATTACACTATAATGTATTATGCTAAATTATACTGCGCTCTTTACTTTACTTCACTATACTGTAACTTCATATACTTTACTATTTTGTGTTGTAATTTACTGGACTCTTCTAAACTGTAATATATTATTCCTAAATATACTTTACTGTGTTTTATATATGATATAAAACACAGTGAAGTATATTACAATATTTTATAACTTCTAGCTTCCACTGTATTAAATCATATTATACCCCACTATTCCTGATGTTTTTTATATAAACTGGACTCTATTACAATTTTTTGTACTACATTATATATGGTATATCATACTATTTTGTATTATGCTACGATATACTGTAAGATTCTGACCTCGGGTTTGGTCTGTCAGTGAACTCATTTCCAACATTTGTCCTCAACTTTTCTTCAACTATCCTCTCCTGCAGGTGCGACAGTTGTGCTCACCGACCTTCCCGTGGCCGTCCCACAGCTACAGTCCAATGTTTCAGACAACATGCCAGCCAGTGGTTGGCCTTCCACTCCTCCCAGAGTTCTCCCTCTGTCCTGGGGTGAGGATCACAACAACTTTACGTCCGACTGGGACCTGGTGTTGGGGGCAGATATAGTTTACCTCAGAGACACGTTTCCGCTGCTCATAGAAACACTTAGTCATTTGTGCAAGAACGGAGCTGCCGTTTACCTGTCATCAAAGATGCGAAAAGAACACGACTGTCCGCGTTTCTTTGAGGAAGTTTTACCGAGAAGATTTAATGTGGAACTTCTGCACCGTGATGAAAAACAAAACATTAACATCTACAGGGCATTTTTAAAAAGAGATCAGTGAGAACTGGACCAGCCGTCCTCAGGACTGGGTCTGCACCGTGAGATCATCACTATGATGCTACTGTTGTTGTTTTCAAAATCTTTTTAAAAAAAATTTAAATAGTGTTTCAACTTTTTTCAACAAACTTTTTAAAAAAAATTTAAATAGTGTTTTGTACAATTGTCACATCAAATTGAATTACTGCTGATTCATTTCCATGAAGTGAATTTCCTACTTTACAAGTGAACTTACTTTGACTCAAGGATGTAATCGACAATCAACCGACAAAGAAGGACTGTGTTCAAAATACGTGTATTTTTTTTAAAGCATTCTGATTTTTAATTTGTTTTCTAATCTATCTAAACGTGAAGGTTGTTGATCTGTTGTTTCTCTCTTACCAAATAATAATGTTCATAATCAGTGTTGTGTTTTTATCTGGTATGAACAGCAAAACAAAGTGTCCTTGTTTTTTAAATCGTTACAGTGTTAATAAAAGGAAAAAGGATCAAACCCAGTTGCAAACTTGACTGTGATTACAGTGTTAATAAAAGGAAAATCAAACCCAGTTGCAAACTTGACTGTGAGTGTGTTTCAGGTCTTCATCTTCATCTTCTACCAATTCATCAAATATTTCTGGTTTTATTATATTTTCTTTTCTCCATAAATAACTTCATCAAAATCTTTGAATGTAACATAATTGTGAAGTCGTGATTGTCGTGTAGCATTCCAACCCTATCCCCACTGTGCTGTCATTAACGGGCAGTTCTGTGTGTGCGTGTCCTTCATCCTCTCCCCACTGTTCTCTGCTGATGCACTGAGTTTCCGTTCAGAGGAGTAAAGCCTGTTTGTTACGCTGCAGAGTTGGAAAGAAAAGAAGAAAACCCTGCTGCTGCCGCACTTTGTCTGCTACAGTTCAGCAGACAATACAGCAGATCCCTATCTCCACACAGTCAGCCGGTCGTCAGGCCCAGCATCTGCAGGTGTCAATCACCATGATCAACGGAGGCCTGGTTAATAAGAACGTTAAAAAGTTTTAATGTCCCACGGACCTGGAAAAGTCTGAGGCCCAGTTTTCTACACACGTTTAAATTAAAAATTGTTTTATTTTCTACTTGATTATGAACATGAATGTTTTGTTAAAGTACATTACACAAACGACTGTGTTTAATAGATGATGATGTGGAGTGTGTGTGTGTGTGTGTGTGTGTTTGTCATTGTTTTGTTTCTTTTTTTCTTTTTAAAGAACATGTAAATTGAACTAAAGTATGATGGTTGATTGAAAATTCATTGCATACAAAATGAGCAGTGAGTTGTTTTATCCTACTGGCCAGCGTGTGTGTGTGTGTGTGTGTGTGTGTGAGGGAGGGGGGGGGTGAAAACCACAGTTTCCGAATCTTTGTCCCATTTGACTTCACTTCAGCCCGTCACACATCAGCAGCAGCAGAGACTCTGATCAGAGAAGGACAGCTGAAGGTTTGGTGATACTTTTGATGTATATATATATATATTTATTTTATTTTTTTCAGTTTTAAATATATTTACATTTCTACAGACAAATTATTGACGCTTTGTTTAACGTGCCATGTTTTTTCTATGTTTCAGATTTTGCTGAGATCTGTTGAATGATGGAGTTCAGCTGGGACCATCAGGGACCACATTACAGCAGATACGGTTCAATTCCTGGGAGAAGTTCTGCACATGAGTGAGTTCATTTACTATGAAAGTGTGTACATTTAGTTGTAATGTCTCAACAAAACTAATGGTTTGCTAATATATATTTCAGATGTTTTGCTTAAACATGACGACATTTGTACCAGTGTTGATTTACAAAATGAAGTGCATTTTCATACAGGGAAAATGAATAATAAAAAAACAGTTGTGCCAACATTTGATGTATTTGAATTAATGCACATATTTTCCCACAGTTACCGTACCAAGCATCAAGGATCCCATTGTCTGTTTTACTATGGTGAACAGCAGGATTCAGGCTCTGAATGTAGTTACTGGACTGTACCAGGCTCAAGACGAGGACGGGCTCTACAGGACTCTGTAAACCAGACGGACCCGAGGACATTCTCTCCATCTTCCTCTAACCTCCCTTTTATTCTGGACTCTCAAACTCAGCAGCAGCGAGCTGTTGAAGAATACCTCCAACATGAGAGAGCGAGGGGCAGAGAGAGGGCTGCAGCTCAACAAGCAGCGAGGCAGTATGAAAGTGGATTTCTGAGAGGAGGATGGCAGAGGAGCAACAGAGAGACGTCCGGTAACAGACACGACAGCTACCAAGAGCTGAAGGCCTGGGCCACTCGACATGGTCTCTCACTTCCTCGGAGAAAAAACACAGCGGCAGAATCTCGAGGCAGATCTAATGGTCTGTTGGTGAGCAGCGAGACACCAGGGAGGGACAGCAGGACATGGACAAACCTTCAGGTCGTGGCATTGGATAACATTAGACAATCTGCAAAAATCAAAGAATCAAAACTTTGGGACGGAGGCGACGGACGACAAACTCATCAACTACAAGCTCCTCTCTGTGATTTCTGCCCTCCAGTGGACACTAGAGACAAGACAAGTTTCCAGAAAATGATGTTTAGCCAACCTCCTGGTTATGTCGCTCCTCCCTCTTATGACAGCCCACATACAACCACACCTGTGATACCACACGGACACACCAGCTGTGAGCAGGAAAATAAGAGACACAACAACTGGACACGGACAACACCTAAAAGACATGATGTGGAGGTTAGAAGACGGGCAGAGAACCAAGACCGAACAAAACCAACTGCTAAAAAAACCTGTGACGTCACAGACATAACACCAGGAAATGACTACACCTTCAAAAGTCTGAATCTGGAAACAGATAAACCAATGACCCCAAAGGTCATTGAAGGTAAAAGGTTTAGAATAAGGAGAAAGACGGGTGGACTGACCATATTCTGCCTGGTTTCCAGAATAGCCGACGCCACAGAAACTCCCTCTCTGCCGCTTAGTCGCTCACACAAAGATGTTCAAGATGCAACAAACTTAGTAGCGGTTTTAAAAGACAGGGGTGAAATTCATCAAACACAGACATTCGCTGACGAAGTTGACTTTAGGGTATCGTCTCCCGCTGAGCCACCGACGTTCAGCTCCAGAGATGATACGACCAAAGAGAAGAAGATTCTAGAGATCACAGACGACTGTCGGTTAAAAACATCAGAGATGCCTAGTTTTTGCCCAGAGAAAAATGACAAGAATGAATCAAATTCTACACTTGGGAGACGAGAAACATTTGTAGAGCCTGTGTCTCCAAAATATCCTTTGTGGAGGACACCACGTTTGACAAGAACAGCTGCCACTGAAAGAGACAGAGTGGAATCAAATCACCCAGGCAACCAAGAAAATGATAACAACGTCCATCCAGTCGATGTTGACGTCAGGGACCTGGTCCCTGACACGTCGTGTGTTGTTAAAATGGAACTGGTCCCTTCACCAAAGAAGGATCACGTTTGTTATCTAAGCTCCACAGTAAACACTGAAGAAAATACCAGTGACATCAGTTCCAGCACCAGTCCTCCAAATCAGGAAGTCATTTCAGATTTACAGTTTAACTTCCCACAGATAAAAGACAGATGTGTGAATGAGTCTGGCTGTGGATTAGAAGAGAACAAATCTTTTACTTGTCCTCCTCCTTTCACCTCCTCTAAAAAGGAAACGTTGGAGGAGCGCGCTGAAAGAATCCTGGGTATCTCTGTGCAGAGCTTCGTCACAGAGAAACACCAAGAAGCTCCACACTGGGTCGACCTGTGTGCTGAGCATCAAGATGACGGAAGTAAACTTTCTCCACACGCAGGTGACGTGCATGTGGAGGAAGAACTGATTTCAGAAAACAGTGATGAATCCTTGGAATCATGTCAAACTGACACTCAGGCCCTGAGAGAGAACCGAGATCCTGAGGAGCAGGTACAAAATGAAGACGGGTTTCTGCAAAATGTTTCCCAGCTCTTTATTGGGTTTGAAGAGAAGAACAAAAACTCTGAAACTCTGGAGGGAAAAGACATTAATATGTTGGAACCAACCAACGACAAAGGTCCAGATGAGCAGAATCAGGATGAAGAAGCTGCAGATAATTCTTCAACCAAACAACCATCCCAGTTTTGCCAAAGCTTCTCTACTTCTTCTGTGTCTTCTGAATCGAACCCCAATTCTCCTCTACATGAAACTCCATCAACCACAGATGAAGATCCCAGTCCAGAATTAGCTTCGTTAAATACATCTGAAAACCACACACATTTTTCTGACCCGCCTGGACGTAAGAATTCCTCCTCGAGCTCTTCTCCACTTCATTTTGATTTGACCCCTGAATCTAAAGAACCACCGTCCAATGATATGATTTCAGACAACAGTAAAAAATCTAAATTTGTAAATGATGAAATCTGTGACGTCTTGATGAACCCTGAGGACCAAGATGTTGTCTCCACAGTTCCTGGAGAAGAAAGTGACGTCACAGACGAGGGACAGACTGAAGATGACAATGTTTTAGAAAAACAACTTCACGGTCGTCAAGCAGAAGACGCTGCCTGTGGAAAAGAGCCTCAAATATCTGAGGAACACAAAGCTGATACGGATCCAGCAGAACTTGGAGAAACCACAGCTACAAACGAGATTTCAGGAGGACAAACTCGAGAGAAGGTCAATGTTTGGCTGCAACATTTAGTGAATGACAAAGATGGTTTAGTTTCTTGTGAAAAGGAGACTTTTGTGACTGGAGAAACAGCAGAAAGAGAAATCAGTGAAAGAACCAGCTGCTTCTGTCAGACGCCTGATGAACAACAATCGGATTCTGACCAAGAAGAAAGTGTGTCGTGTAAAATAATCAGTCAAGATAAATTACATTTGGATTCTGCTGAGAATCTATCAACAAACAATCAGAATAATTCTGCAGACTGTCTTGGTCAGGTCCAAGCTGAAATCTTGCAGCTCTTAAACCCTGGTGATGAAACCTCAGACCCAGACTGTGAGGTGTCGTCATCATCAGACTTCTCAGAG